CGGGACTCAATTGAGGTGTACCGTTGAGGTATGTTCTGAGACTCAATTAGTTTAAATTTAATTTCGGAGCGGGCCAGTTGAGCGCGGGCGGTTACAAGTCGATAAGTGTGAAAAACAACGATTTCTTGCACTTATCGACATGCAACTTTTTAATGAGTGATCAGACTTGATCCATCCAATTGGAAAAAAGATTGGGCTCATCGAGAGCTTTCGTTTGATATAAGATTCATTCTAATTGTATCAAGCATAAAAAAGTTAGCCAATCAAATTCGGCAGACGCTCACCGGCCGCGCTCAACCGTCCTGCTTCGCGAAAATTGGCGAAATGTTTTACCTATTAAAGTTGGCGCAATATTTGAAAAAAGATGACATATTTAAGCGGGATTCCGTTTGTCCTTTGTTTTTTCATTTTCTTTTTCTATCCTTAAATAATAAAAAATTTTAACAGAAAAAATCTTTTAAAAAATGCCACCAGCTGGAGTTGCTGATACTCCCGTTAAGGATGCTGCTGCTAGTGAAATTAAGCCAGATCCGGATTATGAATTTCGCCGTAAAGCTTTGGATCTAGTTGAAGATTGGCAAAAGCATGACAGCGACAGTCAAGAAGACAAAAAGCACCGAGAAGAAGCAATTTTGCCAAAAATAAAAGAACTTGTGATTCATAATTTGAATCACAATGCTGAGATTGAGGCCTGTGATATATTGATGGAAATTGAGAGAATTGATCTTCTGAAAGAAATGGCACAAAAATTGGAACATTTGGACTATGAACGAATTTGCCTTTATATTTTGAGGTTTTTTCTTTAAAATTTTTTTATGAATTGACGTCTTTTAGTTGTGCTCCTTTCATTCCTGATCCAGAGAACATTACTCTGATCGATATGGCAAGGGATTTGTATATGCACTTTGGAAAGAATATTGAAGCTTTACGTTGTGCAATGAGAACCAACAATACTAGTGCTATTGAAAAGATTTTTGGGTCAACAACTGACGGGTATGCTTATATTTCTTATATTAGGAGCGCGTCGTAATACCTAACGCCGAAATACCAAACTTGAAAATAGAAAACAGTTGTTATGATTAAAACACAAAAGGTTGCCTCAACAAGGCTGAAGGTCTTTGGGGTTTGGTATTTCGGCGTTTGGCATTACGGCATCATACCAATTTTTAATCTTCTTGTTTTAAATTGTAGGGCAGTAAAAATGCAAATGTCTTTGATGCTTGGACGACAACAAATCTTTCTAGAAGTCGAGGATCAGCTTCTCTCTCAATTAAATGCGAATTTCTATTTGAACAAACACTTTCTTGCCTTTGCTCGCGAATTGGATTTGATGACACCAAAAACTCCGGATGAGGTTTACAAAACTTATTTGGAGCCAAATCGTCCATTTGCTACTCAACAAGTTAAAAATATGACCCTGCAAAATTTGGCTTCTTCCTTTGTTAATGGTTTTGTTAACGCTGGATTTGGAACTGACGCGTTTTTCAAAGATGAGAAGAGCACCAGTGATTGGTTAGCAAAACACAAAGAATGGGGTTGGTTTGTTTGGAACTTGTAAAATTAAAAATTTAATTGAAGCCGCTTTTTCTACCGCTGCTACGTTTGGTTTGATTCACCATTGGAATGTGGATTCACTTAACAACTTTGAAATTCATACGCAGTCAAAGGATATTTATGTGAAGGTTATTGACAATTGATTAAATTTATTTCTTTATATCTTTAATTTTTTAAGGCAGGCGCTCTATTTGCCACTGGTATCGTCTTTTCTGGCGTCCAAGATCCTGAAGTCGATCCTGCCTATGCCATCTTGCAAGATTTTCTGTTCAATGAACACTTACCTTTACGCGTTGCGTCAATATTTGGACTGGGATTAGCCTATGCAAATAGTAAACGCCAAACAGTTATTGACCAAGAAGAAAGTGTTGTGCAGAGTTTAAGAAAGGTTTTTTTTAATTTTCTGAATTTTTTAAATAAATTTTTTTAAAGGTTATTGCGGATGATCAAATTGTGGCTAATCAAGCTGAAGTAAAAGGATTGGCAGCATTGTCTCTTGGTTTCATTCTTATTGGATCAGGACGAGAAAATAGTGAAACTGTTTGTGAATTGCTTACTTATTTAATGAGCGGTGTTGATTTGAATGATGTTAATATGAGATTGGTGGCACTTGGAATCGGGCTCATATTTTTGGGTATTTTTGATTTTCTAAACGATTATTTTTTTATTCTTTAGGAAGACAAAATGAATGCGATGAAACAATACTTGAACCACTTCGGGCACTTTCCGACCCATTTGGAAAAATTGCTTCAACATTGGTAGATGTTTGTGCTTATGCGGGAACTGGAAATGTGTTGAAAGTGCAAGAGATGTTACATATTTGCTCTGAACATTACGAGAAGGAAGCGCAAAAAGAGGAGGTTTTGGATTTTTTTAATTCTTGGAATTAGAGACATTTTTTTTATTTTCTAGTCAAAAACCAAAGTTCCTTCTGGTGCTCCATTGCCGGATATTACAGCACCTGCCTCTGTACCAACTAATTCTGCTAATGGAGATGCAGAGGAAGGGGAAGCTGCTACCTCCACAAAATCACAAACAAAGAGTGAAGAGGCTCCAGAATGTTTAAGTCAAGCAGTAGCTGTTCTTGGAATTGCGCTTGTTGCAATGGGTGAAGATATTGGATCACAGATGTGCCTCCGACAGTTTGGACATTTGGTTATTTAAAAATATTTTTTTTTAGTTTTTACAAAAACTTTTAGTATCGCTATGGAGAGCCAGTTATTAGACGTGCCGTTCCTTTAGCTCTTGCTCTTTTGAGCCCATCAAATCCTCAATTAACTGTTATTGAAACACTCAGCAAGTATAGCCACGATTCTGATGCAGAAACTGCAAGGAACGCAATCTTTGCCTTAGGATTGGTTGGAGCAGGAACTAATAATGCAAGAGTATTGGCTATGTTACGACAATTGGCTAGTTATCATTCACGTGATCAGGTTTTGTTTTTTTGAACTTTATAAAAAGAATTTTTCATTTTTCAGAAAACAATGATTCTTTTACGCATTGCTCAAGGATTAATTCATTTGGGTAAAGGAACAATGACTTTAAACCCATTCCATTCTGATCGTCAATTGATTTGTCCAACTGTTGTTGGAGCATTGCTATGCACTTGTTTGGCTTTTATTGATTCTGAACAAAGTATTTTTCTAACTTTAATTTTTGCTTTATTCTTATTTTTAGCCGTACTTAATGGTCGACAACACTATTTACTCTTCTCATTAGTTGCTGCCATCCAGCCAAGAATGTTAATAACGGTCGTGCAGGATACAAAGGATGAGAATGAATTGGTTCAAAAATCTGTTAGTTTTAATTTTGTTACCAAAAAATTTTTTAAATTAAAGGTGCAAGTTCGTGTTGGTCAAGCTGTCGATGTTGTCGCTCAAGCCGGCAAACCGCGTGCAATTACTGGATTCCAGACGCACTCAACACCTGTACTGTTAGGCTATGGCGAAAGGGCTGAACTTGCCGATGATGATTGTAAGGAAATTGTGTTTTATTTTTAATTTTCTATTTTTCAGATATTCCATTGACACCTGTTTTGGAAGGAATCGTGATTTTGAAGAAAAAGGAGAACGAGGAAGAAAAGAAAATTAAAAAGTGATAATCGTTTTTTAATTAAATATTTTTAAAAAAGTGTAATGATTTGTTTGACCCTTCTATTCTTTCCGTATTTTCTCTTATGGCAAATTGGGCCTAAGTACACTTTACCGGGGGATTTTAGATTTGAACAATTTATATGTCATTCGAAAGAGCTCGGCGAGCTGAGTCGAACGACACCAAAATTAGCCCGCGGACTCAACTGTGGGCCAAGATATAGGTCCCCAAAAATCGAAAAACCATAGGGGGGACCAAGCACATTTTGGGGGTGAAAAATTCGAATATGCGAATTATACCTCATTCGAAAGAGCTCGTCAAGCTGAGTCGAATGAGACCAAAATCAACGAAATCCGACTTGATTGGACCGAGATATAGACCCCTAAAAACCGAAAATCCAAAGGGGCGATTATTGGAATTAAAATTTTTTAACCATATTAAAGCTCTTTCGAAAGAGCTCGACGAGCTGAGTCGAATGACACCAAGATCACAGTGATTGAACAAATTTAGACAAAGTTACAACACAAAATACAAGCAACATAAACCTATGGGGCGAAGGCGAGGCGCTTGTGCAAAACCCCGCGCTTCGCGCGGGGTTTTGCGGCACGCGCCTCGCGGGGAGTCTACGGGCGCTGGGTCTGGGCTCGTAACATAAACTTATGCCTATTTTAGCTGCGGTCGGCATGTCTGGCTTCCTCCCCAGTAAGAAAAACCTGCACGTAGACCAAAGGTAAGGAGCTAAAACAAATGCTCATAACTTTGTCAAATCAAGTTAGATTTCGTTGATTTTGGTATCATTCGACTCCGCTCGACGAGCTCTTTCAAATGAGGTATAATTTGTATATTCGAATTTTTGACCCCAAAATCGACCTTACTCCCCCCTTTGGTTTTTCAATTTTCAGAGACCTGTAACTCGGCTCATAGTTGAGTCCGCGGACTAATTTTGGTGTCATTCGACTCAGCTTGATGAGCTCTTTCGATTGACATATAAATCATAAAAATCTAAAATCCCCCGGTAAAGTGTACTTTAGCCGCAAATTGCATGATTCGAAATAGCTTTTCGTGTAAAGCAAAAAAGCTCAAAATGGTCAAAGAAAGATTAAAAAAGGAAGGGTATTCGAGAACTTGTCGAGTTTAATTGAGTGACATCGGACAATATTTGGACAATATTTTATATACATCGAACAATATTTGAACAAAAAATAGGGAAACATACAAATAGTCGACGCGTTAAGAAATTAGATATTCTCGTTTAGCAGAAATGCGCAAACTTCCTTGTATTACAGTCGTCCCTCATTCCCTATTTTTTAGGATAGTCAATAAATCGGTTGATAGAACCCGATGAGCTGAATCAAAAGACATCGGAAAAAGTGTGAGAACACCTCTAAGCTGGGTTACAAGGGTTCAAAAATTGTTGAGGGGTTAAAATTGGTCAATATTTTAGCAATAGTCGAGTTCGCAAATGATAGCTCAAGAGCTAGTCGAGATAGTCCGAAAAAGAAAACGATCGAAATCAATGTGGTTGAACAATATTTGACGAAGACGCGATTAAAAAAACACTTTGCGGAAAATGCAAAAACAACTATCGAACATCACAGCAAAAAATTTCGTCCCCAAAGAGGGAACAACTCCAACTCTCAAGTGAGAGATTCGAACCATACAATTACCAAACAAAAGAAAATCAATTTTATTCAATTTAATAAATATCAAAATTATTTAACCTTTTTTTATTCATTTACTTTAACCTCAATTTAAAATGTCAACAGAAGCAGCTCCGGAGGAAGCCGGGCTAACTGCATCCTCCCCTCCACCAACAATACCAGCTGCAGCAGCTACAAAACCTCCACCAGCATTCCCGCCTCCACCAGCATCATCGCCTCCATCTCCCTCTTAAATTAAAGCGGATAAATTAAATATCAAAACTACAAAATTCTTACCCACAAATGGAATTGTTGAAGCCCTTCCTTCTTTAAAAAGAGCAAATTGTGTTTCTAAATCTGACAAACGAGTGTCTGTTCGGTCATGGCGAGCTCGAAACTGAAAATATAATTTGTAAAATTTTATTGTGAATGTCCAGCTTTGAATAAACACTTAGGATTAGATTTATTTCAGTCAAATCATATGGAGAACGAAAGTCAAAAACTACTAGAAAGGAATTGAAAATTTTCAGTTTTAAAAAAACACTCAAAGCTGGACTGCAAATAAATCAATCATACTTCATTTCGTAAGTCAGTAATCATTGCCGCCAGCGGCTCAAAAAAATGATCCGAATATTATTCAAAAGAGCAATGGCTAAATCCATGTTGATTTTCTAATTTTTTTTTTATTTTAAGTGAGTATATAAACTTCCTAAATAAAAAATCTAGCTTCCCCAAAAACAAAGTAAATCAAAATAAAAATAAAAAAATCGTAAATGGAGAAAATCGAAAATAAAATTTGAAAGGAAAACAGTTTGCCAATTCCGCCAAAAAAAAAGAAAATTTAAAAAGTAAAATCCGGTTCGGTGCCAGAGTTAGAGTGTCCCAGTTACAACCTGACAACTGCACGAGTGAAAACCAGCCCTTCTAAACTTTTCTACATTTCCTAAGGGATAAGTCGGGTATTCTCAAAATATCAGATTTTTTAAAGCATTTTAAATACCTGTTCAAAAAAATTCACTTGCCCATTTGGGATTAAAGAATGCCCAAAAAATTGATTGTTTTGCAACAGAGCCACATCCAAGTTCTATAAGGGGCAAAAATAAACATAAAATTTTTTTATTATTTGATACATGACCAGTATGAGTATGATTCCGAGAGCTAGCTTCGTAAAGCTAGTTTCGCATTTTAAATTTCATTGAGCCCCAAGTGTTTTATTATTTTGAATAGAGAAATCTTAATAAATATATAGAATCGTTACATTTTGAAAAAAAGCATTGTTAAATAAATCCAACTGCATAGATGGATAAACACTCTCCCCCAAAAAATAATTGTTCTGCACCAAAGACGCGTCCAAATTGTTCTTAAATCAAATGTATTGATTAATAGGAAAATTTTTTTTGGTAAATATTAAAAATTTGTATTTTGTAAGGAGAGGTGCGTGGTGGGAGTTATTCGGTATGCCCAAGACTTTCGGTTTTGCGTCCTGATTTTAGACTTTTCTTGGTGGTTTTCGGTCTTGGAGCCCGGTCTTTGTTTGAATCTTGCAAAATTTTTAATTTTGCCACTTATGTGGCAATATCCACAAAATTATTGAAAATTAAGGAATTAAAAAATATTTTTTAAATAAATATAAACGCTAACATATTGAACCAAAGCTTGGCTAGCTTCATTTAAACAAATATTTTTTTGATTTTCAATTTTTGAAATTTTTTGTTGTTTTTTCGAAAGACGTTTTGTATTTTTTTAATATTTTTAAGTGATTTACGACATTTTTTGGCTCGTATATGTCGATTTAGCAAAAATCGAGTCGTTGATTTTTTAAAAACTTTAAATTTCTTGTTGTAACCCATTTTTAAGCAAAAAGTGTTGAAACAAATATTTTTGAAGATTTTTTTAAATTTGCTGAATTTTCCAAAGCTTTTTAGGTTTAAATAACCTTAATAATTTATGCTAATATTAAATCTTGTTAAAAACTTTTTTTAATGAAAACACAAAAAATTTTTAAAGAATTTTAACAAGAGAACTTTATATAGTAAATATTTTATCGATTGAAAGCATTTCATTTTGGTAATTCATAATATCTGAATTTTAAAATGTCCATCGATTTTTGGCCAAATGTTTATTTGGTATTTTTATTGGAGAGGGGCTGGACTTTTTGGATTTCCGTGATTAACAAAAAAATCAGAAGACTTTCCAAAGGGTACCACGAATAGGAAGAAAGATCCCTTGTCAAAGTTGTGTCAGCGGCAAAATGGGCTGTTTCAGATCATTGAGTGTCGAAGATTGAATTTTGGCCTTTTTGATACTGTACCCACAAATTGAAAATTTTATCAAAAAAAAAAGTTTTTTTAATTTTTTAGTCAGAATTTTAATTTCTTTTAAGAAAATGGACAAAATATTTACAATATTATTAGCGACAACAACAATAATTTCAATTTACGAAGTTGTAAGTAATGAAAATGCTCAATTAAAAGAGGAAGGGGACGAAATTAAAACACCAAATAATGACAGAGATTCGTTCAGTCAATTTGATGATATTGGAAATGAAGAAGAACCGGAATATAAATATAAGGAAGAGGCCCAGGATAAAGTAGAGGAGGAAGAAGATGAATTAAGAATTAGAGAACCAACGAGGGAAAAGCCAAAAGGAGGAGGGGCGTTTAAACCGCCAATAAATATGCCTCCAGTGAAATTTTCGTTTTGGTTTTTTTTGAATTTTTTAAAAGTTTTTTGAAATTTTATTTTAGTGTGTCTTGTGGATATCGACAGGCATATGAACAATTTGCTCAAATTTTGAGAGAAAAATATCCGGGGATTGAAGTTGTAGGAGAAAATTATGCTCCTGGACTGGCTAGAGGATTGGCGGCACAGGTTTGGAAATTTTAATTTTTTTTTGGGTTTTTACTGTTTTTTTTGTTCAAGTCAGGGATGTCACAGCTATCCGATACTCGAAACCATGACATTTTTATACCCAACCAGAGAAATTTTCGAGAACCCAGTCAGAACCCCGACCTGGCGTTTTCCGCTCTTAATCTTTTAACTGATCCGACTCGAAATCTTGACTTTTAGAAACTCGAAACCCGGCTGACTTGTTCCTCAACCAGTGACATCCCTGGTCCAAATCATCACTTCGTTGATAATTTTGGTCTTAAAAATTTCATTCAAAATGTTAAAATTTTTTTAACACTTCACCTTTAAAAATAAAATTTTTTTTAATTTTTAGTTGTTAGGCTTTGCAAAAATTGCCTTAATTATTTGTATAATTATGGGAAGAGATCCATTCCCTTCTCTAGGCCTTCAAACTCCGCGATTCTTTCAATGGATGGCTAATAATAAAATGTCTGCTTCTATAATGATTTTTCTGTTTTCAAATGCTATTGAAGGGTTTTTTTGAATTTTTGTTTTTAAATTATATTTATGTTTTAAAAGAATGTTACAATCAACGGGGGCCTTTGAAATTTATTTGGAAAATGAAAGGATTTGGTCTAAATTGGAAAGCGGGTATATTTTTTATAATTTTCTGTTTAAAATTATTTGGAGGTGTAAAAGAGTCAAGGGCTGTTCTTGCAGACCTTCTCTTTGTTAAAAACGAGCCAAGGGAAATTTGAAAAGAAAAGTCTGCAAAAACAGTGCTTTATTCGGTATGAGGCCGTAATACCAAACGCCAAAAACCTACCTCTCTAAAGATATGCCGAAACACCAAAATATGGATAGCTAACAACCTTCCGCCCAGTTGATTTGAAAATACCTGTCTATGTTTGTATTTACCCACAGTTTGGTGTTTTGGAAGTTTTTGGGGGGTTGGTATTCCTTCGTTTGGTATTACGGCACGCTCCCGTTTGTAAGGAGTGAACTACTTTCTTCCAGTAATTTTAAATAATTTTTAAATTATTTTTAGTCGTGTTCCTTCTCCGCCTGAATTATTCGAAGCAATTGACAGTCAAATAACTTTAAGAGGACCTAGCAAAGTATTTTTTCTAATTAAAAATATTTTTTAATGAAAATTTGCAGTTTTCGGGTTCTTCATTTGGTATAGACGATTCAAATTAAATTTATTTAAAAAAAGAAAATGGGCAAGTTTGAACCTCATATTGTTGGAAAAGAATATTATTTTGGTCACTCACTTTGCTGCTTAAAAAAATTTTTTTTTGATTTTATTTTAATTTTTGTCCTTTTTTCGTTTGTTATTTTTAATTAAATTAGGTAGATATTACAAAAAAATTTTTTTAATTTTAAAATTGTTAATTTCACAATTGGAATATTTTTTAAATTTCTTTTTTAAATTTTTTTAAAAATTTAAAGGAAAATGTTGGATATAGAGGATTCAATAGAAAGAGTTCCTCTTGCTCAAAACAATCAAAATGGCTTGGTTAAAAATAAATTTGAAACATTCTTCAATATTAAAACTAGAAGAAAACGAAAAGAGGAGGTTGAGGATGAAAAACAAATGGCGAAAAAAGAAGTTAATGAATTGGAAAGTGTTCTTCCTTGGAGTTTGTTTTTTTTAAATAAATTAGGGGAAGGGGGGTGACAGTTTATCCAAAAAATAAATTTTTTGATGTAGAAGGGATTGTGGGCGGTTTATTAAAAAATTTGATAATAGAGTGGGATGGGTGACTTTTTGTGTACGAAATTTTTCATAAGGGGATGGGAGCTATTTTTTCTAATTTTTCTAAGTCTGGGTAGCTTGATTATTTTGATTCTGACTTTTAAATGTATCAAGTGAGTAAATAATTTTCTTTGGAACTTCTGACTCTTTTAGGAGATGGGCAAGAAAATATGAGGATTCCATTATTTAATTTTCTACTCAACTTTTTAGATAGAGTAGTCTATTTACGAACTTGGGGATGCTCTCATAACAACTCTGATTCTGAATATATGGCTGGACTTTTATTAAAAGCTGGATTTAAAGTAACTTCAGAAAAAGAAATGGCTGATATTTGGCTTTTAAATAGCTGTAAGTTTTTTTTGAAAAATTTTTTTTTATTTTTTTAAAAAATTTTTTAAAGGCACAGTAAAAACCCCATCAGAAACAATGTTAGAAAATCAAGTAAAAGAAGGCAAATCAAAAATGAAAAGAATTGTTGTTGCTGGATGTGTTCCTCAGGTTTTCTTTGGTTATTTTTTGGAAAAAATTCTGTTTAAAATTTTTAGGCAGGGCCACAAATTTCTTGGTTAAAAGATGTTAGCGTTATTGGAGTTCAACAAATTGATAAAATTGTTAATGTTGTCGAGGAAACTTTAAATGGAAATAGTGTTAGGTTTCTTTCTAGACAAAATAAATCTGCAAAAGCGATGGATCTTACACTGCCAAAAATGAGTTTGTTTTTTTTTTTTTGATTGTCCGCAAGAATATTTGCGGTTTTTGGAGGCATTGTCCGCAAATATTTTTGCGGATGTCCGCAATTTTTTGCAGATAAAAATTTTTTTGGGAAGAATTTTTTTATTATAGGAAGAAACGAATTTATAGAAATTCTAGCAATTAATAGTGGATGTTTAAATCATTGTACTTATTGCAAAACAAAGGTTTTCTTGATTAACAAATTTTTTAGAATAATTTTTAGGCTGCCAGAGGAGATCTAAAAAGTTTTCCTTTAAATGCTTTAGTTGACCAAGCAAAAAGAGCCTTAACGGAACAAGGTTGTCGGGAATTGTGGTTAACTTCTGAGGATTTGGGTGCGTGGGGAAGAGATTTTGGTATGGTTATTCCGGATTTACTTCAAGCTTTGGTCGAAATAATTCCTGATGGATGCATGGTTTGAAATTTTCGATTTTTTGTTTTTAAAAAATTTTTTGAAAGATGAGAATGGGAATGACAAATCCTCCATATATTCTTGATCATTTGGAAGAAATTGCACAAATTTTAAATCATCCAAAAGTTTATTCATTTTTACATATTCCTGTCCAGTCTGGAAGTAATGCTGTTTTGAGTGATATGAAAAGGGAATATACAAAAGAACATTTTTGTCAAATTGTTGATTATATGATTAAAAAGTAAGTGGTGTGTTTTGAAGGCTTGGGAGACCCATGGCTAGTTAGACTCTTTTTAAGACTAGGGAGGGAGGTGGGAGACCCAGTTTAAGAGTAGAGAGACCTAGAGGCCTTAGGTCCTGAAACAAGTAGTGTTCTGAAATCGATATGTCGTCTCGTTATGTCTGGCTCCTGCTTCCATTTAAAAGTATTAAAAAATTTTTTTCTTTAAAGTGTGCCAAATATTTATATAGCGACAGACTTTATTTGTGCTTTTCCAACAGAAACTGAAGAAGATTTTGAAGAAAGTATGGAATTGGTCAAATTATACAAATTCCCAAGTCTTTTTATCAATCAATTTTATCCCAGGCCGGGAACACCAGCTGCTCGTTTAAAGAAAATAAATACTGTTGAGGTTATTTTTATTTTTTTAACTGACTGTGTCGGGTTTAGGATTAGGAGTTTAAACTGGAAGTTCTCTATTTTTCGCCGAGATATAGGTATTAGAATGGCGTTCTCAATCCTTTTCTAGAACTTCAGTTTTCTTTTAATTCTTACCAAGGGTGGGAGGGTTGCCCGAAACACTCAAAGGCAGAAACCTTGACTTATCTCGACCCGAAATCCATGACCCTATCATCCGAAGAAAAGTTTAAAAACCGAAACTTGACCCGGCTTTTTTTCTTGTCAACCCGTTCTATCACTGTTTTTCCCCAAACTCTTTTTTATAATTTTTTTCAAAATTTAATTTTTCAGGCCCGTAGACGAACATCCGAAATGACTCGTCTATTTCATTCCTACCATCGTTATGATGAATCTAGAATAGGAAAAGAATATTGGGTTTTAATTTGTGAACGTGCTTCTGATGGGAAAAGTTATGTTGGGCATAATAAATGTTATGGTTTGTGGAGAAATTTTTTTAGAAAAATTTTTAAAAATTTTTTAGAACATATTTTGGTACCAGATCCATATGAGGATGAAATTTTAAAGAATGAGAATTCTTCTAAAAATGGTTTTTTACTAGGCAAATGGGCTTATGTTCGAATTATTGGTGTTTCTAAATTTTATATGCGCTCAGAAATTTTAAATTGGGAAGGCCCTAAAGATGAAAATATTTTAAAGAAAAATTCTCTAAAATTGGCAAAGGATTTATTAGGTTCGTCTTCTTTATTTTTTATTTTTGGTTCTTTAATTTTGGCTTTATTGTTGAAATTTTATTTAAATTTTGTTTAAAAAAATTTTTCGGTGCCTTTTTTTATTTTTTAGTTGGGAACTTTTTTAGAATTTTTTTTTTGGAAAAATTTTTCTGAGAATTTTCAAAAAATTTTTTAATGAATTTTAACTCTTGCAATATTTATACAAGCTTGTTTTTATTTTAAAATACATTGTATAAGTTGCTTGTCAAATTTTTGAGGAAATTTTCAAAAAAAATTTTTTTTGAGGGGGGGGGGAGGGGGGTTTGAATTTTTTTTTAAAAATTCAAAAGAAATTTTTTTCTAGCGTTAAAAATTTTTTTTATTTCTTTCAATTTTTCCTTCTCTTTACCGCTCTCTTTGTTGCGTATCATTTAACTCTTCATTTTCATCAATATCATCAACAACATCATTCTCTTCTTCTTCCTCTTCAATTAAATATTTTGACAAATTATTTCCTTTAGAAGTTTTTGAGGGTAAAACAGAAAACATATTTAAACAATTTCTAAATTTTGTATTTTTATAACAATTTTCGGTACATTCTGCTCTAAAATTAGGCATTGAATGAGAAAACATTTCATGACATAATTGACAAATTCTGTCCATTAAAACATGTAATTTTGGATTTGAATAAGCCTTTAAAGGGAAGGGAAGAAGGGAAGATTTTAATTAAAATATACTTAAACTTACTTTACAAGTTTTTTGTTTTAACCTTAAATTATTTGATGATTTAACTTTATAAATACGTCCTTCATTTGTTGAATAACTAATTAATAAAATTAGGCAAGATAAGGTTGAAAAGGTGGCTTAAAAAAATTTTTTTTAATTAGAAAATTTTTTCTTGTAAGATTTTTTTTCGAATTTTGAATATTTGAATCCCCCCCCCCCCGTCCCAAAAAAATCTGCTTGATCTCCTTTACATTTTTTGGTCATTATAAGATTATAACTTGGCTATTAGTTAAACACCGAGCTTAATTTTTAGTGTCTCATTCGACTCGGTTCGGTGAGTTCTTTTGAATGACATAGTGTTTATCCGAATCGGAGTATGTATAGGTGATATGACGAAATTTTTTAGGGACGTCGAAGACTCTTGGTCTTGAAACTCAAGACTTTTTTTTGAGGTTTTTTCGGGCTTGGTCATGGGCCATGTAAGCTTTTTGATCTTGGAAATCCTTAGAATTTTTCCAAAAAAAATTTTTTAAGAATAATAAAAAGACTTACAAATTTTTAAATTTGTCATTTTAACTTGAGAGAAGTTTTCTTTTCTTTGTTAAAAAATTTTTATATAATTAAAAATAAATGAATGATGAAAAGAAAAATGCCAAAAATAATATATTTATAAAAATTAATTAACGCCGTTCTTCTTCTTTACTCTTTTATTTTCTTCTAACTTTTTTATTTCCGTTTTTATATTTCATTGAATTTATGTATTATTTATGTACTAACAGACAAAATTATTATTATTTTTTAAACACATTTTTTGAGTGTTTTTATCCTCATTAAAAGTTACAATTGTTAAAGAATTCTACAAAAATGGCACTGGCATTTTTTTCAAAGAGAGCAGGCCAAAACGCCGCTAGGACAAAGTGCCGTTGGGCTATAACTTGGTTTAAAATTGTCGAATCTGGGAGGTCTTGGTATGATTCGATGCGCCTCGACCTGCTCTATCGAACCATACCAGGCTTTTCCGGATTCGACAATTTTGAAGGAAGCTATAGCTCGACGGGCCTTGCGGTACTTTGGGACGTCCCTTTTTTCTCAAACACAACCTACAAAAGAATTTTTTTGATATCTTGAGATGACAAGAAGAAGGAGAAATTGTTAATTGGCAAAATTGCAAAGCTCAATTCTTGTTATTATTTTACACAAAATCTATTTTTAAATAGAAAGAGGCACAAAAATGGATCTTTTCTTTAATCCGCTACAAAAGACTTAATAAGGCTGATGTGGGGAATAATTAGAGTGGATGCTTTAACCACCTTCGTTTTTTTACAAAAAAATTTTAATAATGAACCAAAAAGGGTTTTAATTAATTATTTTTAGGTGTTTAACTCGAACGTGATTGAAATTTGCCTCATTACCCTTTTGAATTTTAAACTTTATTTTATTTTTGGCATTTTGTATTTAATTTGGATAATTTGTCATTTAATTTGTTTTGGTCGATTAGAGTCTCGGAAATTTAATTTTTTTTTGATTTTCTGCGGATTTTTTTGTTAGAGAGCGGACGCGACGGGATTTAAGGGATTCGGTACCGAAATCCGAGTTTTTCAGCAACAACCAGGATTACCGGGTATTGGTCCTATGGGATCCCGTCCCGGGAAAGATCTCGGATTTGCTATTTTGCCATACTCTAGTTTTTCTGTCATCAAGCATTGTTTTTGTCTAATAAATTTTATTTTTAGATTTAAACGATAAAAAATGTTTCCAAAAATTCTCAAGTGTATTCCGGCTGTCAAAGTTGCAACAACTCTTCAAACAACGAATCCGGTGCTTTTCTTGCAAGCGCGAGGTGTTAGTAGGCGCCCACATGAGATTTGTGCGCCTCCTCAGCGTCATATGACCTTTTTTGTAGGTTTTATATTTTATATAATGTTAGTTTTGTCCGCAAATATTTGCAGATTTAATTTGCGGATTCTTTGAGGTTTTGTGTGCAAAATTGTTTTTTGCGGATTTTGCGGATTCCGCAAATTTTGTCCGCAAATATTTGCGGACTCGTTTTTTGCTAATTTTTTGATAATTTTAATTTTTAGCAACACGCTGCACTTTTTTCGTCTTTGGTTCTTCTGATGCTCTCATATCCAACTTATCTGTTGTGCAATCTTGACAATCTCCGTGATCTTCCACCGCAGGAATTTTCTGACGAAGTGAAGGCCGAGTTGGAAGAGCGTAGGAAGCTTCGTGCTGAGGGCAAATTGAACGTTTTGGTTGCTAAGACTTGAAGAAAGTTAGGAGCAAAAAGATGATAGGAAAAAAAGTATTTTTTTAAAGTAAAGGTTGAATTGGAATATATTTTGTGTAATCTTTTTGGATAGATGGGATAAAAAATAATTTTTAAATTGGTGAATAAAGGCTGGGGAATGTGGTTGGGGATTGGCCAGAGACGGGGATTTTACTGAATTTGGAGTTCAGACAGGTTTTGGACTTCCTTCGATTTTTCTTGGACTCGGCATCAGGTCCTGGCCAACCCGCCCTAAGCTATTGGCCAACTAAATCAGAGACCCAAACACTAAGAAAATCCAATAGACTCCATCAAAGACTTTTTTCTATTTTTAAAATTATTTTTATTCCATTATTGTTCTAGTATGTTTGTGGATTTAAAAAATTTTGAGACGATAAATATTGTAGTTGTTTATGTTCTATATGTTTTTTATTTTTTTTTAAATTAAAAAAATATCTTTCTAATTTTTTAAAATAATTTTTTTAAGTATTTAATTTTGTTATTTAAAAATGTCTACAGAAATTCCAAAACAATCGAGTTTAGAATCCTCCAAAATATCTTCAGATGGATCCCCTCCCAGAGAAGAAAATTTTATTGAATCGTTAAACTCACAAGTGGACAGAAGCAATATAGAAGAAATAATTAAAACACAAAAACGATCGTAAATTTTATTTTTATTAAAAAACTAATAATTTTTCACTGAGATGGCTCGAACCTGCTTCCCCTTTTTTAAGGAAGCACTGTTAATTGGATAAGTCAGCCACCAATATTTAATTATTTTTGGGTGTTTTCTTTCCATTTTTAATATCTTATGTTCTTATATAGCTTAAGATAATTTTAAAAATATTTACCCTCGAAGGGGTTCGAACCTCCCTCCTTTTTTCAGTGAAGCAGAACATTAACCCGCTAAACCACCCACCAAATTTTTCCTAAAATTTCGGAATTTTCTTTCCATTAAATATTCACCAAAATAAATTGATTAAAAATTTTTTTTGAAGGTTGGAACGTTTCGAAAAAACAAATGAAATGTTGGGGAATTGTTGTATTTTGGCAGAAAAGCGATTGGAAAAAGCCAAAAAAGAATTTGCTTCAAATAAAGAACAAATATTGCAAGCAAAACAAGATTTGGATTTTATTTTTAGAAAAATATTTAATTTGAAAAAAATTTTGGCTAAAGAATATCCAAAGGAATATGAAGAAGAAGGTTTTTTTTAATTTTGTTTTTTAATATTTTTTTTATTTTTTTTAAAGTTGGACGAGGAAAGGAATAAAAAGAGAGTGGAGGAGAATTGGAGCGCTGCCGTAATACTAGCCGCCGTAATATTAAAGGTTTCTTCTAGAGATCGGGCGGGTCTGGACTAAGGCCCGGGTTTTTCCTGTACCCAGAGTTCAACAATTTTTTGACCTTCCTGGGATTTTCCTTGACTACAGGCCCAGGATCCGGCCGAGGTCAATAAATCAAACCAAGAGGCATGCCCAAGCTTTTCAAAAATCTCGATCTCTAGTTTCTACAAAAGGAAAGTTCCATTATTTTTGCTGATGTTGTTTGTTCTTGTTCCATCAATCTCCATCAAAGATTGCTCTCTCAACGTGGAAGGTTGTTAATAATCAACATTTTGGTATTTCGGCGTGTTTGGTATTACGGCATTCTACTCAGAGAAATGTAAAAATTTTTTGTAAAAATTTTCTGCTAACTAAATTTATTTTTGAAGGTTTTTTGTTTTTAAAATTTTTGTTTTTAATCTTTAAATATTTTTTTTGTATGTTGCAGACTTTCTTAAAATTTTGTTTTAATTTTTAGAAAATTTAAAAATGATCAAAAAACAATTAAAAGGACCCCTTTTCTTTGCCTTTTCAGTTGTTTTTTCTGTTGGTACAATTTCTGCGGTTTTGTGGGACATTGAAAGACAAAAGGATAGAAGGACTGAAACTGTCAGGTTTGTGTTTATTTGCTGGATTTTATATTGGGTTTGGGGGCTTCTTAAATTGGCGATTAGCTTGTTTTTGTATAATCCTGAAATAACTGTTTTCGCTTCTTGTCATTTTCCTTTGGAATTTCCTACATTTATCAGAAGAAAGTTAAAACCTGATGTTCCTAGTTCCCAGTATAAATAGGAATGGGCAGAAAAGAAGTGCAGGGGTTGGATTGATCTAGTTTTGTGTTTAGAAAATCCGGACTTCAGGTAACTCAACGCGTCCCTGATAAATAGTTATTGTAGTCTAAACATATATTGTAGCCCTTTAGTTCCCTTTCTCAAATATTTTATAAAATCCACCCAATTTTCAAAAAATTATTTTTAGATATAGAATGCAACAAACAGCCCAGCAATACCAAAATTTAGCTGAATATATGGAACAAAAACAAAAATTTGAGGACTATAAAAGAAATGCTTTGATGGCTAATAGCGGGAATGAGGTTAAATAGAGGAGAAGATTAATTTTCTGTTTTAAACTTTGTTTAAAAAATATTTTTTGGAAAAGTTTTTCTTAATTTTTAATTTAGATTTATTAAATTATCTCAGAAAATGGTTTTTTATTAATATTTCCCCGAAAGGGTTCGAACCTGTCCCCTTTATTCAAAAAAGCAAAATGTTAACCCGATAAGCCACCAACCAACGTTTTTGATTTTCGAAGACATTTTGAGTCATAACTTTTTTAATTCCTAACCGATTTAATTAATTATTATATCAATCGAAAGCTGTTGATGTGAGGATTATTTTGCCTAGTAGGATTAACTTGATCAGATACTCCTACTCAAAGTTACAACCAGATAAGTCCACAATTCAAAAATTTGCGTTATTTGGCATAATGCAAAATATTAAAAATAAATGACACTTCATCCCAAAAATCAATAATCGATTTTTAATGACTCATCTAATGTTCTCTGTTTCCATTTATGCAAAGATGTTCTACAACAGAATGATGGCTTTTCCTTATTTTTGGGGATTAACCTTTTTGAGGGGGTCGGGGGAGTAATGACTTGCGGACAAGACTTGCTTTTTTTCAATTTTTGCAAAATGTAAACTTTTTTTTTTCAGTACTTCAACAGCAACACAACAAAAGCTCAAGTGGTCTCTTCGGAGATCGCTGGGCACAGAAGCTCAAGTGGTCTCTTCGGAGATCGCTGGGCACAGAAGCTCAAGTGGTCTCTTCGGAGATCGCTGGGCACAGAAGCTCAAGTGGTCTCTTCGGAGATCGCTGGGCACAGAAGCTCAAGTGGTCTCTTCGGAGATCGCTGGGCACAGAAGCTCAAGTGGTCTCTTCGGAGATCGCTGGGCACAGAAGCTCAAGTGGTCTCTTCGGAGATCGCTGGGCACAAACGCTCAAGTTGTCTCTTCGGAGATAGCTGGGCACAAAAGCTCAAGTGGTCTCTTCGGAGATCGCTGGGCACAGAAGCTCAAGTGGTCTCTTCGGAGATCGCTGGGCACAGAAGCTCAAGTGGTCTCTTCGGAGATCGCTGGGCACAGAAGCTCAAGTGGTCTCTTCGGAGATCGCTGGGCACAAACGCTCAAGTTGTCTCTTCGGAGATAGCTGGGCACAAAAGCTCAAGTGGTCTCTTCGGAGATCGCTGGGCACAAACGCTCAAGTTGTCTCTTCGGAGATAGCTGGGCACAAAAGCTCAAGTGGTCTCTTCGGAGATCGCTGGGCACAAACGCTCAAGTTGTCTCTTCGGAGATAGCTGGGCACAAAAGCTCAAGTGGTCTCTTCGGAGATCGCTGGGCACAGAAGCTCAAGTGGTCTCTTCGGAGATCGCTGGGCACAGAAGCTCAAGTGGTCTCTTCGGAGATCGCTGGGCACAGAAGCTCAAGTGGTCTCTTCGGAGATCGCTGGGCACAGAAGCTCAAGTGGTCTCTTCGGAGATCGCTGGGCACAAACGCTCAAGTTGTCTCTTCGGAGATAGCTGGGCACAAAAGCTGCTGTGGTCTCTTCGGAGATCGCTGGGCACAAACGCTCAAGTGGTCTCTTCGGAGATCGCTGGGCACAAAAGCTGCTGTGGTCTCTTCGGAGGTTAGCTTTTTTACTTTATTAAATTCGCAAGTTTTGTCCGCAAAGTTTCCCCCTTAAATAAGTTTATCCGTTCCCAATGTTAAAGCCAATTGAATGGTGGCCAAGTTCTTGTCAAACGAGAAGACGTACAGCAAATGTTCCATTGGTTAGATGCATTGATTTGCTTGTTTTGAATGGTTGGTCTTTTTATAGGTTGTTTTTATTTTTAAAAATTTTTCAATTACTTAATTTTAGCTTTGAGAAAGTATCCAGAAGCTGTAAAACTTTTAACGAGGTTATTTTTATTTATTACTATGGTTTCAAGATTATTTTTTAGGGCAGCGAATTGTTGCGGAAGACAATACTTGATGAGAATGCTTTAGAAGAACAAGAATCGGCAGAAAAAATGACTGAAGAACTGCAATATTTTGTTAGAATAACAGCAATTTAGGTTTGTTAGAAACTCACTAATTTAAAGATTCTCTGTTATGGATGTTTAAATCTCCGTCCAGTTGCTTCCCTTGGGTATTGTGACTTGTAGGGAGGTTTTTGTTTGCCTATCCGATTTCGACAAATTATAAGTCATTAGAAAAAGCTCGTCGAGCTGACATGAGTCGATTTGGGGGGTAAATGGTTTGCGCTATCCAATAAGTCAAGGGCGTAGTTCCCCCCTGAAATTTGGAAAGTGAAAATGCTCTCATTGAAGAATGCCGAGAAAATTGAGTCCTTTGACCTTTTCTTGTCCGAAAAACTGGCTTGGGATAACCCACAAGTACCAATTGAAATTGGGGATTACTTGTTTTTGTGGACCACTGAAGTGGCTGTTTTCGCTTCTTGTCATTATTTACTTGGAATTTTCCTACATTTATCAGTCCTTGTTCCCAGTATAAGAATATCAAAATTTTCAAAGGAGTGTGTTTCTAGTTTTGTATCTAAAAAGTCCGGATTTTGGGTAACAACGCGTCCTTGATAAGTAGAGGTCTTATATTGTAGTCTAAACATAATTCCCTTTAGTCCCCTTTCTCAAATATTTTATAAAATCTATCTAATTGTCAAAATTATTTTTAGATATAGAATGCAACAAACTTCCCAACAATACCAAAATTTAGCTGAATATATGGAACAAAAACAAAAATTTGAGGACTATAAAAGAAATGCTTTGATGGCTAATAGCGGGAATGAGGTTAAATAGAGGAGAAGATTAATTTTCTGTTTTAAACTTTGTTTAAAAAATATTTTTTGGAAAAGTTTTTCTTAATTTTTAATTTAGATTTATTAAATTATCTCAGAAAATGGTTTTTTATTAATATTTCCCCGAAAGGGTTCGAACCTGTCCCCTTTATTCAAAAAAGCAAAATGTTAACCCGATAAGCCACCAACCAACGTTTTTGATTTTCGAAGACATTTTGAGTCATAACTTTTTTAATTCCTAACCGATTTAATTAATTATTATATCAATCGAAAGCTGTTGATGTGAGGATTATTTTGCCTAGTAGGATTAACTTGATCAGATACTCCTACTCAAAGTTACAACCAGATAAGTATCAAAAATCACGATTGCGCTCACTTATTCGGCCATAACTTTGGGTAAAATGGTCTGATCAAATTAGTCCTTTTAGATAAAATAATCCTAACATCCAGAGCTTTCGATCGCTACAATAATTACTTGAATCGTTCATGAATAAAAGAAGTTATGGACCAAAATGTGGGCTCTAGACTGACACGCCGATTCCCCTATCCAAGCAAACTTAAAACTTTATTTGCTTTAAAACATTTAAAAATAAATTATTTAAAAATTAAAATTCTTCTTAATGCTCTCCTTTTCTCATTTTTTCATTGCTGTTATTTTTCCTTCCATCTTGTGAAGTAAGCAAAGAAGATAATATTTTCATAAAAATATTTTCATTATTGTCCAAAGGTCCACATTCTGTTAAATTGCTAGAAAATAATATTTAAAAAAATATTTTTTAATTTAAAGAAAACCTGTCAATTTTATTAGGAAATAGACCAAAACAGCAACCCTTCCAAAGAAGACTTAAAAAAATTTTTTTAAGAAATTATTTTAGGGGTAAAAATTTAACTGAAATTCTCCGTTGCTAAACAAAAAATTCGTTCCAACCGGACAAGCATTTTGATTACATAATCTTTTTTCTTCAGTTTGACAGCTTGTTTTATTACAAATTCGTTTCCTTTTAATTTTTCCACACCCCCCACATATTTGTGTACATTCTTCCCAATGGGACCAATTGTCGCAATTTAAACAATTATTTATTTGTGTTGTTGGGGTTGTTTTTAATTCTGTTGGTGTTGTAGTAGACGAGAAAACTATAAAAATAAAAAATAGAACGTTTAAAATTGTAAAAATAATTAAAAAACCCCGAGCGGGTTCGAACCCACAACCCTTCTGATCGATGCGTAACTTACCAGATCGGACACTCCAATAAATTTTTTCGATTTCCCTCCCTCCAAAAAAATTTCTCTATATTTAAAAATTAAAAAATAACCAATTTCTTTTCCTTCTGTCGTATTTTCAATGAAATTTTCAGTTGTACCAGTTGTTGTAGTGTGTGGTTCTATTGTTTCTGTTGCAGTTTCCTTTTCTTTATTTATTTTTAAAGTTGTTAACTCTAGAGTTGTTTCCTTTATTGAATTTGGATTCTAGATTTAATATAAAAAATATAAATAATCCCAGAATTTACTCTCCTTCCTTGGATAGTTTCGCCGACCTTTGCGAACATACTTACGGAACCGACATTTGCGAACACACTTACGGTGACGACATTTGCGAACATACTTACGGATACGACATTTGCGAACACAGTTACGGATTCGACATTTGCAAACAGACACTTGAGGATCCGATTTATTTATTAAATATTTACCTTTTCCCAGTCCAAATCACTCCAAATATAAGCCAAAAATCCTTCACTTGAAGGTCCCTGTCCAGAATGTATAACAATCATTTCTGACCCAGAAGAACGAAAAATATTTTTTGGAGCAACAGAACAACAAAACCTTTAATTTAAAAATTAAGAAAAAAAATTTTTTTTAATTTTTAACCGATATCCAGTAATTCTAAAATCTGGCCCAGTCTTTAATTCAATAAAAGACTTGTCACATGTATCTTCACAAGAATAATAAAAATTTTCTGAAGAAAATTGTAAAAATATATGCCCTCCAAGCGGGGCTTTTAACAGCCAAATACAGTCAATATTTGAAGGGAATAAATTTGGGTGTGAGGGGGAAGATATTTTTATTTTAGTTTTGGAAAGCTGAAAGGTTTTAAAATTATTTTGAATAACACCCAGAAGATCGACAGAGTTGATCTTTTGTTTTGTTGATCTTCTGGGTAATTAAGTAACCTTCAAAGTACCCCCACAGGGGGATGGCTGGACTAATTCACACAATTTTCCAGAAAATCCGAGAGGACATTTACACTCCAAACATTTATTTGGATTTGGATAGCCTCCATGTAAACAATTAATTAAAGGTTTTGAACACTTTTCAGAACAAAAATAGGCTCTATTTATTGATAAAATGTCCAAAAAACTGGGCCCAATTCTTTGGCCTATTGTTGATTGCCAATTAATATCTAAGGTCGAAATTGTTGGTTTGTATTGGTCTGAAGCAAAACCATAGGGCCCGTAATGCATTACAGAACCTTTGAAATATTTAAATTTGTGGGCGGCCATAAGATCAACACTAGTCTATTAGTGGTGATCTTTTGGACAGAAAATTAATACCCCAGAAGATCACCACTAAACTTTCAGTGGTGATCTTCTGGGCAGAAAATAGGTTGTTCCAGAAGATCACCACCCCATCGTTAATGTTGATCTTATAGTCTTGTATTTTAAAAAACCTGGATCGTACGGTAACCTAAAAGTTTCTGCTTGGTCTTCATTTACTGGCTGAAAGTTATTCCACCGAGTTAAAGGAATATTACTTAAACACAAATTTAATTTTTAGATTTAATTCATTAGTGGGAAAAAATACTTGTAATGAATAGCAATGTGCCTAGATTGATCAGGCCTAGCCTGTTCGTGAAATGTACCCAAAGCGTGCCCAATTTCGTGCGCAATAATTCCAATAAAATCACAGCCAGGGGTTGAAATTGAAATTCCCTTTAAATTTTCAAATTTAAAATTTTTAGGCCTACCCCATAAGATCACCACTAAATGTTCAGTGGTGATCTTACGGGCTTGTCCTATTTTTCAATTTTCCCACCTGAGTTCCTCCCGTTTTCCCTACAAATGAAGAACATCCTCCCCCATCAAAAAACTCTAAACGATCAACATCTGGACCATTTTCCACAAAAGAAAGACAAGTTTCGCTTTCCCAGATGGCCAATGCTTGACGTATTTTTTGTCTTGACTGTTCAGGCACATTATCAGCAAAATCATAACTTATTGGCCTTGTCTTGTCCCAACGCTTGTAGAAAGGTTCCAAAAAGGGGAAAAATGCGATTTAATTTGCAAAAATAAATTAAAAATAAATTTTATTGGGGTGTCCGATCTGGCAAGTTACGCAACGTTTAGAAGGGGACGTGGGTTCGAACCCGCTCGGGGTTTTGAATTTTTTAAAGCAACTTTAAAATAATTAAAAACGTTTACTTTTCCAACTTTTCTTTTAATTCTTTTATTTTCATCACGAGAAAACATTAATTGATCTTCAAAATATTTTTGAATCTTTTCTGCCTGCCAATCAGCCAATTCCAAATCTCCCTTTCAAGTTTAATTGAAAATTAAAAAAATATTTCTTCAAAACTACTTGAAAATAATCCCCATTAATTCCATTAACCACTAATTCATTATGATGCCTGAGGGCATTTGGATCTCGTTGAGGTATTTCTGTGGGGGATATTGCATCGTTTTGAACCATCTCTCTAAATTTGGAAAGAATTTTATACCCAATTGATCAACAAATAAATGATCAACAAAAGGAAATTTTTAGAATTTAAAAAAGGGACCCATAAGGTCAACTCCCAGGAGGTCAACAATCTAGAGGTCAATTCCCTAGTTGTCAAATAACTCTGGAGGTCAATTCCAGACATGAGGGTGGATAAAGGATTTGTGGAGACTAAGAAAGGGGATTATGGAGAGTAAGGGACACAAGTCGGAAACGTATTTTGAGTCCCCCGCCCAAATATTTGGGGTCAAAACCAACAGGAAGTTGACCTCCTATGTGCTGCCCTAAGGGGTGGACCTTTAAAAAATACCTCTCAACTTTTTCATTAATTAATTGTTTAATTTTGTCAACAATTAATTTATCAGCTTTTCTCGTCCTTTCATTAGCCTCATTATAATTAGTCATCCATAATAATAAATAAAATAAAAAAATAAGAAAGAAATGATTAAAACTTTTGCGCATTGATTTAAACAAAAAATGAAAGAGGGAAGGGTTTAGAGAGATTACTTTAACTATTTAATCACCATCTTCTTTTAACTAATCAAAAATCATAGAGCTATTAAATAATTATCGATATTATTATATATCTTGAGGCGTTTTTGGGGGGAAAATGGACAACCATAATTTAATAAAGGGTTATTTTCTGTGTAAACCTCAGTTCAGTTCGGCACCTATAACTTAGGAAGGGGTAGATAATTTTTAGTGTTCTTGATACCATTAGATAGAGAATTAAACAGGCTACAAAATATCAAAAAATCAAAATTTTAGATTGAGTGATAAAAAAGTTATGATCGATAAAGTGCCAAGAATCACATTTTTTTGAAAAAGTTAGTTTTTATATCATAACTTTTTTATCAATGAATCGAAAATCCTGATTTTTTGATATGTTGTAGACCTTTTAATTCTCTATTTAATAATACCAAGAAATTGAAGGAGTGACCATCCCTTCACGAGTTATATGGTCGGGACTGAACTAAGCCGGACTGAACCGAACTGCTTCGATTTTTTAGTACTTGGAGTATTTAAGAGTTTAAATTAACAGATTTTTTTTTAAAACCAAAAATTTTTTTTTAATAAATTGAAAAAAAACTAAAATTTTTAATTCTAAACAATTAAAAACATTAATTAAACTCCTATGGCTCGGTTCGAACCACCTATGCTTAAATACTATTTTCAACTCCAAGCCTAACACACTACCGACTAAACCACCGAAACCTCATATGAGACAGTCTTTTAAAAAGCTTATAGATGCTATTGAATTATTGTAAATTTTGTATTCTCACAATAAAAAAATTTTTTTAAAAATCTTTTTAATTTTAAAATTTTTTTAACAATTTTATAACAAAAAATAATACTTGTTTTTCAATTTCCAACAATTAAATTAGATACTTTACATTCTTCCATCAATTTTTGAATAATTAATTTATTCCTTCTTTTTCTAATTAAATCAAAAGAATTTGGGAACTTCACAATCATCGACTTTATTTGTTTTCTTAAAATTTTTGGAAATATTTTTTTCGATTTTTGATTTTCTTCTTCTTCCATTTCCATTTTATTTCCTTCAATAAAATCCAAAAATAAATCAAAAGCAGCCTCTGCCTGTTTATCACTTAAACGGTGCAAATCAAGCAAAGTAATTAAAAATTCTGTAAAAAAATTTTTGGAGTCGACAGAAGTTTTTTCTGGAAAAGAAGAAAAAATTTTTAGACAGAATTTTAAAAAATTTTCAAATAAATTTTTAAAAATTCAAAAAGAATTTTTAAAATCATTTTAGGACCTAATAATTAAATTTAAAATTTTTGCGGACAATATTTGCGGACTTTTTTTTCGAAAAAAGATCAGTATTTGTCCAAATAAAACTGGAAAAAATTTAAAATTATGTCCGCAAATTTTTAAATTTATTAAAAAAAAATTTTTTCTTACCAGAAATAATTTTTTCAATTAAAATTCCCCAAAAAAGTGAAAGAAAAGCAACCATTTCATATTTTGACATTAATTTTAGAAGCAAATCGGATAATTGGAAAAGATCAAAATCGTTGATTAAATGCAAAATTGATCTAGAAAAAAATTTAATTTTTAAGAAAAAAATTTTAAAAACTAAAAATTCTGTAAAAAATTTGTTTTGAAAATTTCTTGTCCGCAAAAAAATTTGCGGACAATTTTTGCGGATTTTTGAAAAAATTTTTATTTCCAGAATTTTCAAGAAATTTTCAGAAAAAATTTTTTGAAAAAAGTATTTTTTAAAGAACAAACTTTTTAGGTAATTTACTCAATTCCAATCTCTCACAAATAACATTAGCCGTTTGAAAAGTAATTTCAGCAAAAAAAATTTCAAAATTATAAAAAAGCAATTTTAAAATATTTTTTGCAATTTCATCGTTGATGGAAACATTTACAGCTAAAGTACAGGAAATTATAATTCCAAAATATTTGAATGCTTCTACTTTTGATCTGGAAAAATAATTATTAAATAAATTAAAAAAATTTATTTTTGCGGACAATATTTGCGGATTTTTAAAATTTTTAATTTTGTTTTAAATCAAAGATCAGGAACAGGGCTATCCTCTAGTGGAGATTTGGGGACGGGAAAAAATGTGGAGAAAAAGTGGGGAAAACAAAAATTTAGAAATTAATGGAATTTTAAATTAAAAACAAAATTTAGGGTCGGAAATAATTGGGAAAATTTTTATTATTAAAAAATAAAAATAGGGAGAAAAGGGGAGAAGTTGGGGCTCTGTTATACCCTAATTCTCAATAAATTTCCCAAAAAATTTTTAACAAAAAAAAACAAACTTTAAAGAAATCCCAATAAAAGGCATTAAACGAGAAATTAATTGATCATCAATTGCTGAACCTCTATTTTCAATTAAATTCCCGTAAAGTGAAGCCAAAAAAGTAAAATAATGTTGCATACTATTTGTGTGTTTTTCTTCCAAAATTTCGACAAAATTAACCACAAATTTGTTTAGACAAGTTATTAACCAATAATCACGTCCACTTTGACAGAAACGACCTGAAAAATGTTTGAAAATTAAAAAAATTTTGCGGACAATTTTTCGGATTTCTGACATTTAAAAAATTGCAGACAACCAAAAAATGCGGACAATTTTTTAAATTTTTGCGGACAAGCTTTGCGGATATTTGAAATTTTTTTGAATTAAAAAATCTTTTAAAATAAGAAAAAATTAAAACAAACATAGAATATTTAGTGGAATAGGTGCCGCGTCCTTTTGATATTCTTCCAACCAATTCATATCTGGAGAATTGAATTTCAAAATATGTAAAAGTCGACCAAAAGAATTAATTGAATGGAAAGGCAAAAAAGTTAAAAATAGAGCTTCTGCATTGTAGGAATGAATCTGAAAAAATTAAATTTTGTTTTATTGATTTTTAAAAATTAAAAAAAATTAGAAAAATAATAAATAAACAGCGAAAAACATTAAAATCCTCCATCAGGACTCGAACCTACGCCACTCTAGTTAGTGAGGCAAACTCACTATCCATTACACCACCCGACAACATAAACAAATTCAATTAAATTTAACTATAACCCAAAATGAATTAATCAAAATAAACCTGAAATTTATGTATAAACCATTCAAGCACTTCCCTAGAACATTGGTGATGGAAATAAGGAGATAATAGCAGCAACATTTTCTCAATTTTTTGATCCAATTCGGTATTCTCTTCTTTACTAATTATTGCTCTGTTAAACTTGATTAATTTCTTTTCAAATAATTCAGGTAAATAAGTATCGAAATTGTCATCCAATTTTTTCATTCCAGCCAAGCCAGCGAGGCCTGAAAAAATTTTTTTTTGAAAATTTTTTTGAAAATTCTTAAAACTCAAAAAAATTTTAATTTAAAAAATTTTTGAAAATTTTTTAAAAATTTTCAAAAATTTCCAACCCACAAAAAATTTTCAAAAAATTTTTAAAAACCCAAAAAAAAACAAACCAATTTTATAAAAATCATCCTTGTCATAACTTCCAGCTTCTTTTTTATTAAATAAAAGTGAAGAATAATCACGTTCTACAGCTAAAGCACGTGTTGGGGCTTTTTTAAGTTTTTTGAGTTGAGTTGAAAGTGAAGTCATTTTATTATTTAAAAAATTAAAAGAAAATTAAAAAAATAAACACCGAAAAATATTTCCGCGACAAAACGGCTTTCAACAAATAACAAAAGTTAGAGAAACAAATTCTCCCTTTATTGAAATTAGAGATAAAATATAAAAAAATATAACAGAGTAGAGAAGAAAATTAAAAGAAAACGAGGTACGGTATTTAATAAGCTCGCCATATTCTGCCAATTCCACATTTTGCCAATAAGGCAAAAATACCTCATTTTGTCAATAAGCTTGTAGACAAAATGAGGAGTTTTGGCCTTATTGGCAAAGTATGTAATTGGCAAAATGTGTGTGAAACGATATTAAAATAATGGCGGATTTTTGCATTGTATTTAGAATAAGCTCTGATATTTTCTAATTTATCGGTATCCTGTTAAATCCTACTCGATCTGTACTTAAAGTACAGTGTCTTAAAATTGCCTCTCCTGCTTTAGAAATTAAAATTGAGCTTTTAAATAAAAGTTTTTAACATTCTAGTTTGCTTTTCTTTCTGAAAATCCAAAAATTTTAGCCAGCCTAGTTAAATCCCCTAATCCTTTTTTTAATTATATTTTTCTTTTTTTTAATCTTTCAGCCAACTAATTTTTGGAAACAAAGTAAACAAAAAAATATTTTACTTTAAAATTATTTCAATTTTTGTCAATTAAACGAATCTTTTCTCGATTCTTCTCAACTTGTCTCAAAAATTTTCTTTTCAACAATTTAAAAAAAACAACAAAAATGTTAAAGAAAAACAATCAAATTTGTTTAAATAAATTTAGCAAGGCTTTGGTTGTTAATAAGGTTTATTTTAAATTTATTTTTTAATTTGAAAAAAAAATTTTTTTTTAGAAATTGGACGTGGATTTGTTGAAAAAAAATAAATTTTTTGGTTATCAAATTATTTTAAATAAGCCAATTGTTGTTAAAACGGTATTTTTTTTTAATTTAATAAATTGAAAAGAATTTTTTTGGGGAAAATCTCGGTATTAGCTACCCCATTTTTTTGTTTCTGTGAATAGTTGAGATTTTTAAAATTTTGAGTTGACACTGAAATTTTTGGCGTTCAAGCGTCCTTACTTTATCCAAATTCAAATTTTCGCGAAAAGTGGCAAATTGTCTATTATTTATTCTAATTTTAAAAAGGTATATAAGAAGGAAATTAGTGCCTAAACTTTCATTCCTTCAAAAAAATTTTTCTCAGATATCGACTTTAACAATGACCGCTTATTATTTCTCTTACTCCTCGTTTGAATCGATTGTTATTTCATTGCTAGTGGTTATGTTCATTCAATTACTGGTAATAATTGGATTACTTGTCGACATTATTAAGGTTAATGCTGACATTATTAAGGTTTTGTCTTTTCGTTTTACATTTACAACAACCACTAAACTTTCTGAAATGTTGAATTTTTCGTTATCGTCTCATTGATTACTCAGCAATAACCAAACTTTTTTAATTGATTTTTGTTTTTAGAGACTTGACGACCTGGAAGACCACTCCATTTGGGTGCAGGATCAAGTGATAAGGTTGAGGAATGGTGTGACATGGTTGGTGGATGAAGTTCGTTTCTTGGATGATAGTATTGACTGGTTGACGGATCGTATTGACTGGTTGACGGATCGTATGGACCTTGGCGTTGCTGCTGTATTCAATCTACTTGCACGAGTTCGATGGTTGGAAGACCGAGTTTTGCGGTTGGAATTTTTTGCTCGTAGAAGAAGTTCAAGAGGAACAAGAGAATCAACAGGAGGGAGTCAATGGAGGTTGTACTTTATAGGGGAAATTTTTTTCACTTGTCACTATTAAGTTCGGCTTAAGCTAAGTCTGAATCAAGCGGGAGTCGGGTTGCCCGAAACTTTTTTGCTAAGAACCCGGCCCGACTTTTTGCTCAGCTCGGCACATTCTTGGTCCGAATATTACGTTTGGTTTTCCTAGGCAACCCCCCCCCCCCCTCCCTCGCCTTACTGTTAGAAACAAAATTATTTTACAAATTTGACAGGTCTGGTTCTCTTTAACGGCCATGGAGAGGACGTGAACATTCGACGCCGCCGCCGTAATAATTGACACAAATTTAAATATTCGATAATTTAACTAAAATATTTTTGTTAAATTTAATTTGCATTTAACTTGTATAAAAATAAATACACTCTTTGCGTTTAGGGAATTGATTGTCTAGGGAATTGATTTTTTTGTTTCTAATGTTAATGTCGAACCATAGGCATGTTGTTTTTCGCTTTAAGAATTTTGATAAATGGGTAGAAAAAATTTTACTGATTTTAAAAAAATTTTTGCGGATTTTTATTTAGACAATTTTTTGTTATTTTTAATTTGTGATTTGATATTATCTTTTGATGCTTAACCCCTCGAATGTTTAAAAATTTCTTTGAGTTTCGAAGAATTTTTTTATTAAAAGTTTTTCGGAGATGCTGCTGTAAAGAGCAGCGCGCCTTAATAGCAAAACGCCGAAATACCACGAATGTCGTAATATCAATGCGGTCGTGGTACCAAATGCTGTATATAATACAAACATCAAATTTGGTTAATCATCTCCCCTTCACCATTTTTTGAAACATTTCTCGTTGCCGAAACAGCTTCCACCCTTCCCTAAATGTTAAAACGATCTGTCTCCAGTTTGGTATTTTGACGTGATTACGAGGGAATTGGAGCCCATCAAAACGCCACGATATCTTCTAACTTTATTCCCTCAAATTTCCCGATATCCCACTTAATCCCCATTCCCAAATCTCTTGATATATCTCCTAATACCCCAAAATATCATATCCCATTCGTTCCCTCTAAATCTCTCAATATCCACTCTAACCCACCGATACCCCTTAATCACCTAAAATCCCACTATACTCTCGATATCCTCCGAATCCACCGACCCTTTTCCAACTTTTAATTCAAAAATTGCAAAAAAATTTCAAATCAATTTTTATCTTCTGTCCTATTAAACTCGCTCCAATCAAAAATTGTTTTTGGCAGCAAAATTTCAGGAATGTTCCTTTCTCTATCCCGGCGAGAAGCAACCCAAGTTTCATAATCATTTTTTGATTCAAGTACCCAAGTTATTGCTGTAAATGCTGCACAAGACATTGCCACCAACCTAAATTAAAATGTATTGAAGGTTTTATTGCTAAATTTTTAAGTCCTCAAAAATCCGCAAGTTTTTGTCCGCAAATTTTTGTCAGTCTTAAAAAATTGGCATTCAGTTTCTAACTCCTCGAGCAACACAAAAGAAGGTTCTGAAGATAAACCGTCCCATGAGCTTTGTTGTTAGTTGTGAAATTTCACAAAGCTTCCTGCTAACCCGAAAAATTTTTTTGAAACCCCAACATGACTTTTTCCTCAACAGCATTTCCCTGTGGCTTAAAGGAGCTGCTGACCCCAAGAAATCTATTCCCACGATATTAATTTTGTTTATAAAATATTTATAAAAATTTACGATGCTGCTTTAGCATTCCCAGTTATTCCAAAAACAAAAATTCTTGACCAAAAATAATTTGAAATCATTGCATAAATTGTTGGGCCAGTTGACGGATTGGTCGAATTTGTTACAATTTTCTAAAATTGAAAAGATAAAAAAATTTTAAATAAAATTTAAAAAAAAACCATTTGAACAATTCCGTTTGGCCAGTCTTTAAAAATAGTCTAGAAAATATAAAATTTTGATTTAAAAAAATTTAAAAAAAAATAAATTGAATAATACAACAAGTAAATTTTAACACAAAATCAACGAGAAAAAAATTTTTATATTGAAAAATAATATTTAAAAATATATATAATACATAAAGAGGAACAGTCTTAAGGGAAATCAGAAAAAAAATTTTTTTTAAACTTCTTATCCATGTTGAGGATAATTTTAAAAAAAATTAAAAATAAAGGGAGGTATTTATGCATGTTGAGCATAAATATAGTTTAAAAAATTAGAAAAAAACCTTTTAAATTTTTACAAAAATTAATTTTTTTTAATAGTCAAAGTAGTAAAATATTTAAAATATTACATAAAACAAAAAAGGAAGGTATATTACTGAAAGACATCCTCCCATTTTCAACATTCCTTCTCTCCTTATTAAGCTCCTTTCAGTGAGGAAAATTTTTTAAATGAAGAAAATTTATTTTCAAAATTTAAAAAATGGTTTAACAAAAAGGAATATTGATCCAAATCGAAAAATTAATCCGCATGTCAAAAAATTTGTCCGCAAGCTTTATCCGCAAAAACACAAATTTAGTAAACGCCCTAGTTGATCTTCTTTTTGTTTCTAACAATTGAAAAAGGAAAAGAAATATAAATAGTAGGAAATAGGGAGAGGAAGGAGCAAAGGGTCCTTTCAGTATTACCAACCACACAAAGTGAGGGAGAAACAAGTCAAAAAGACAAACAGGAAAAAGGAATTTTTCTTTTTGGAAAATTTTACAGAATGAAAAAAATTAAAATTTTTTTAAGTTTGGTTGGGTTTAGCAGCACTTGAAAAAAAATTTTTTTGTTTTAAAAATGCTGAATTTTTTTAAGATTAAAAATTAAAAAAAACTTGTTTTTGAAAAAGACTAAGCTTCTGCTTCCCATTCAATGCTTGGATCTCCTGGTTCTTGCTCTACAACAGTTTTTTCTTTGATTGAAACTTGGATACAACTATTTGTCTGTTTTTCACTAAAAAATGTCTTCTTTATATTAAAGAAATTTTTCAATGAAAAAAACCTCTCTTCAATAAAACAAACATCGGTGGTGGATTTTGACTTGAAAAAAATAAAATTTTAAAATTTTTAATTCAAAATTTGGCACTCTTTGGAAAAAATATCGAAAAATAAGAAAACATAGGGAGCGGACGCCCCCCTTCTCCCTAGGTTGAGGGAAGAAGGACGGCTTTACTTAAGATAAACAGGAATGATCTGACTTTCTTCCTTCCTCAATTCCAAACTTTCTTACTTCCTGAATTTTCTCTGTGGTTTATTAAAATGAGAGACAATAAGGAAAAGGAAGGAAGAGTGTGACCATAATGTACATCTCAAGTCCAAAAAGCAACCAAAATTCAGAATTAAAAAACAATTCTTTACTTTTATTTCTTTAGTGCTCAAAGACCGATGTAAATCAGCTAGTTGAACTTGTCCAAGTTGTGCACTTCTTAAAGCAGCAGTAGCAACAATGTCACGGGCACAGGATAATCCGAGAGTTCCCAAGTTTACAACCTTAAAAAAAATTTTTTTTTTTAATTTTTAGAAAAGAAACCTGTCTGTACGACTCATTTTTAGCCTGTTCCAAAAATACATCAATATCTCCTTCGTGTTTCATCAACATTGGATGAACCCATTTTCGATAAAGTATTGAAGAACCTTTTGTCCTTTAAACAAAATTTTAATCAAAAATAAAAAATATTAAAAAAACCAGGGACTCAGCAACCACACAACAAAAACAATTTTTAATTCGTAATAGAAGGGGAACCTTAAAATTAAAAAATTTTGAAATTTTCAAAAAATTTTTTAAGTTTTCCAGTCATATTCCAAAAAATTTTTAATAAAAAAATTCCAAAAAACTTTTTCAAAAAAACTTTAAAAAAAAACCAAAAAGCCAAAAGAATATCAGCCAAAGCTTCACTAGCATGGAACAATGCAAAAACAATCCAATACATCATCCATTTTACATATTCTTTTACATCTTTAGTTCTAACAGCCTTGTAACTTTAATTTAAAAAAATTTCAAAAAAATTTTTTCCAAAAAAATTCAAACCTTCGATAACCTGGATAAAGAGTTCCTGCTAGAAGAATAACAATACGAGAAAAGAAGGCTGATATAACCATTAAATATTTTTTCTGGAATTTTTAAAAACCCGCAATTAGTTTGAGCAAATCTTTTCAGAGTTGGTGTTGTTGTTAAAATGATTATGTGCTTTAATCACTGAAAAAAATCAAAATTAAAAAATATTTCTTTAAAAAAAGAAGGGAATGAGCGATAAAAAGGGCAGGAAGAACTTAAAGAATACAAAAAGTTTCGCAAAAGCACATCCTAGTTAAAAGGCTTTGAGAAATTGACAGGTTAAGTAATTCCTCCCCAGATTTACCCATTTCACTAATATGGTTGTTTAAAACAGCGTTTTGTTTCGAATTCAGTTTGTCGAAACGAACTTGCGTGTTTAAAGATATGTATATTAATTTAAATAAGTAGAAAAAAAAATAAAAAAAAAGTAATATAAAAACGTCTAAAAACGTTAAGAAGAAAATACGGATAAATAAATTTTTATTTAAAATTTTATAAAAATGTCTTAAATTAATCACAAAAAACCTCTACTCGTTAAATTATTTTTAAATTAAATTTATTCAACCCATTTTGGCTTCCGTTTTTGCAAAAATGCAGAAATTCCTTCTTTTGCATCAGGCAATTTTAAATTATTACACATTACAGTTGCTCCTTGTCTTAAAAATTAAATTTTTAAAATTAAAAAAATTTCAAAAAAATTCAGAAAGATTTTTTCCAAAAAATTTTTCAAAAATTCAAAAAAAAATTTTCAAGAAAAATTTCAAAAAAATTCAGAAAATTTTTTTCCAAAAATTTCACAAAAAATTAAAAAAAAAATTTAAAAACCTGTTTGCCGTCGTTATATTCTGTTCAATTTGTGTGTAAAAAAAGGCCTTCCCCAATCCACAAATATGTCTAGAATATTTACAAATTTCTTCAGAAATTGACAAAACTTCTTCTTTCGCTTTTCCATCTTCTACTAGACGAGAAATTAAACCAAAATTTAAGGCTTCTAAAAAATATTTTTTTTTTTAATTTTCAAAAAATCCTCAAAACCTTGTGCAGTTATTTCTCTAGCAGTCAGTAACATATCCATAGCCAATTTTCTTGGTAAATTACGTGCCAAAGCAATTCCAGGAGTATTACAAAATAAGCCTATTTTAATTCTAAAAAATAAAAATTTTTGAAAAAATTTTTTAGGGAAGTTTCCAAAAAAGTTTCCCAAAAAAAAAAACAGAATCTTCCTTGGAAAAGGAGGCCCCCAAAAATATTAAAAATGGAGTGAGGTCCAAAATTATAGGCTGACCTTGATCCTAATCAGACAAAGAATCTTACCAAGTCCAAAATAAAAAATATTTTCAGTGTTGTTCGATTTTTCGATTCAAAAAACTACCGAAACTCCAAAAAATCGAAAACACAAGTCAAGGCCAATATGGCCAACAAATGACATGAAAACAAGAATCAATAGCAAGTTTTTTTTATTTCTGACCCTCGGGAACAAAAATGATTCGCCAAGTCCCCAAAAAATGTTCAAAAAAAATACCCAGGGCAGGAAAAAGTAGATCTTTTAGTAGCAGCAACAATATCACAAGAGCCAACTAACTGAGTAGCTGCTGCCGTCACAAGTCCATCAACTTCAGCAATAACAGGCAAAGAAATATTTTGTATAGTTTCCATTAATTCAACACATTTATTGAACACTCTTTTGTGTGAGGAAGGGCCCGATTCTGCCGTCTAAAATTTAAAAAAGACTAATAGTAAAACTAACTTTAAAAAAATAAAACCAGTTCATTAAGATCATGTCCAGCCGAAAAAACATTCCCCTCGGAAGCAATTATAATTGATCTAATTTTCATGTTATTATCCAATTCCTTCAATTCTTCGCGTAGACATTCCATTAAATCCAAAGAAAGCGCATTTCGACGTTTTGGACAATTTAAAACCTGAAAAAAAAATTAAAAAAAGAAGTGGGAAGGTATTGAGTATATCTGACCAAGGTAGGCTAACGGGATGAGGGGGGGGGGGTATATGAAACCCGGTCTCTGAACCCAGTCAACCCCAACCTCGAGTTGGGTCACCCCCAAAATCCGGTCTTCTTCCTCAACCCAGGCCATCCCTACCTACTAATATAAATTTTTAACACTCTCCCCTCTCATAAGTAAGTGCACGCCTTTGTGGGCTGATTTAATTATCCCCCAAAAAATGTAATTTGAAAAATACCAATCTAGCAACTTTGCCATCCAAATGAAATTCTTGTTTAATTAGAGGTTGTGAACTTTCTTCTTTTAAAATTGACGAAAGTAGAGGAGTTGAAGAAGAGAATAACCTGGCATTTGAAAAAACTGGTGAACATCTCAAATGTAAAAATGGAGTAATTATTCTTTTCATTTTTAACTGAAAAAAGGTTAAAAAGTACATTAGTTTATTGATTTCTAAAGTTGAAGGGAAAGAATAGACTGCGCGCTAACATCAGTAAAAATTACTAAAGATAAGATAAAGGATAAAAACCAGTCAAGAAAAATGATAAAATCAATCGAATGTTAAAAAAGCAAGCGACTCGTAAAAAAGCAAATGAAAAGTTTTGTAGGGTTTACCATTTTTATTTTAGACATTTTTACGTTATCTACAAAAGTTTACATTTCGACAAGCAAATTTCAAAGTGACAACTTTTCTTCAAAATTAATTTAAAATTGCCACATCACCTTTCGTCAATACACAATTCGTCCCACTGAAGAAAAACTTGCAATTCATCGTCCCTGTTAGGGGTTTTTCGTGTCACATATTTGATTAATTACATATTTTGCCAATAAGGGCAAAATCCTACGTTTTGCCAATCAAGCTTATTGGCAAAATGGTGTCTTGTACCCTTATTGGTAAAATATGGTGTTGATCAAATAAGGGAAAAGAGCTTTTTTTTTTCAATGGGGCGAATTCAATCGGCGTCTTTTTTAAATTATTAAATTTTTAATTTAATTTTTTCTTTTCCAGATTAAAAAGTATGTCAACAATTCATGTAGACGAAATTTTAAAATTGCCATCTCAGGTTCACTTTAAATTTTCAATTAGTTTTTAGCTTTTTTAGCCTCCCGAAAAACGCCCTCGTCTAGCCGAATTTAATCATGAAGAAATTAAAACAACTAAAAATGCAATAGAAATATTGGAATCTACAGATGATGAAGCACAAGAAGAAATTGATGAAGCTGCTATTAAACGATTATGTCTTCAAGTAAAATTTTTTGGAATTTTTTCAATTTTTAATCGATTTAGCTTGAACGGAAGCAAGCGAAGAATGCTGAAACGCGAGTTAAATATCCTGATGATCCCAGAAAGTTTATGGAATCTGAAGTTGAGTTAAACACTGCAATACAGGCATGAATTTTATTTTTTAAATTTTTGTAGTAATTTTGGCAATAGTTACGTTTATTGACCTCTTTTTTTATCCCCCTATCTCCAAGTTTCTTTATTTTTGTGCCAGTGTTGTCATTGCGTGGTCTGGGTTTAGTTTGATTTTAACAATTTTCGGACCTGCTTTCTGGACGAAAACAATCCGGGTATCGGTTTTGGTTAGTTTGAATGATTAAAGGGATATAAAGATTAAAAGGATTTGGGGGATATTGAGGGATTTTGAGATCCACTCGAATTTCTCTTAACCGGAGGAGCTAGTGGAAATACCCATAAATCCCCGAAATTTTTCAGGAAATGCACGTAATAGCTGCAGAACCTCAATTCTACTCAATTTTGGTGGAACAAGGTTCTCTACAAATTTTGTTACAACTTCTTTCTCATGAAAATGCGGATATTGTTGGGGCTGTTTGTAATTTGTTACAGGTTAAATTTCAAAAAAATCCTAAAAAAAACTTCTACAAAATTTTTTAGGAATTGACTGACGTTGAAATTCTAGTTGAAAGTGAAGATTGTGCAAATTTGTTGATTGAAGAATTACTCAAAGGCCAAATTGTCGAAACTTTAGTTCAACAAGTTTTGGGCAGACTTAATGAAGGAGAACAGGATGAGGCTGATGCGATTCATAATGCTCTGACGATTATTGAAAATGTTAGGAGGGAGTTTTTAAATTTTTTAGACTTTAAAATTTTTGAAATTTTTCGGGTCCTTCCTTTATGTTTTAAAAAATTTTTTTGAAACTTTACTCTAATTAAAAAATTTCTAAAAATTTTTTTGAGACCTCAGAAATTATTAGAAATTTTTTGCGACCTCTCTTAATTAAAAAATTTTTTCAAGGCCTCCCTTTATTTTTAAAATTTTTTAGTTACTCGACTTCCGTCCTGAAGCAAATGAAATTTGTGTTTCTCAAGGCCTATTTGAATGGTTAATGATTCGAGGAACTAAGAAAGGAGCTTTTGATGCAAACAAGCTATTTGCCAGTCAATTATTGCACATGTTATTACAATCATCGGCCTCTGCTAGAATTAAATTGACAGAAAAAAGGGATGGTGTTGATCTTCTTTTGAGGGTTTCTTTTTTTTAATTTTAAAATTAAAAACGCAAAAAAATTTTTTGTCCGCAAAAATTTTTTAATTTTCAAAATTCTTTTAAAGGCTTTGGCAACCTTCAAAAAACACGATCCAAGCAGTCCAGATGAATACGAACACATGGAAAATTTATTTGACGCGTTGTGTGCTTCACTTATGCATGCCCCCAATCGACAAGTTTTTCTTGATGGAGAAGGTTTACAATTGATGAATTTAATGTTAATGTAAGATTTATTTTTAAATTTATTTTTTAATTAAAAAAATTTATTTAGGGAGAAGAAACAATCGAGAGAAGGTGCTTTAAAAGTTTTGAGTCATGCAACAGCCATTCCTGATGGAACTGCAAATTGTGATAAATTTGTGGAAATTTTAGGTTTTCTTATTTTTAAATTTCATTTAAATTTGTTTTGAAAATTTTTTTAAGGTCTGAGAACTTTATTTCCTCTTTTAATGCGTACACCTCCAAAAATGAAAAGAAAGGATACAACACCTGATGGTTTGGAATTTTTTTATTTATTTTTAAATAAGTACACACGTTTTTCGATACACTCGTTTTTCGGCTAATCCACAAGTTTAAAATCCCTCGATGAGTTTAAGTTAACTCTCTCATTTCAATAAAAGGAGAGATCCGCCTCTCATTTTCAATAAAATTTTCGGATTTAAAACCGGCGACCAACATTCTCAATTAAAAAAATAATTTTTTTTTAATTTATGTAGATCATGAAGAATACTGCTGTTCGGTTTGTTTTTTAAAAATAAAATTTTTTAAAATTTTCAAAAATTTTCAAAAATTCTTTAAAATTAGATAATTGATGCATTATTATTTTCCTGCAATCAAACAAATAAAAATCGAGTTCTTTCAAAATTTGCAGATCATTGTTTTGAGAAAATTGACAGAATGGTGGAATTGTATATTAAATACAGGTTAAATTTTAAATAATTTTTTAACGTTAAAATTGATTCTTTAGTGAGAAATTGAGGAAATTCGAAGTAAAGTTTGAAAAGAGACTTGCAGAAATGCATAAAGACGTTAAACCGGATGAGGACGAGGTTTTTTGTTTTTCTTCTTTTTTTAAATTGGAGCGCGCCGAAATACCAAACTCTTTTTTTGGGGGTTAGGTATTGGGTTGTTTGGTATTACGGCATCGTCGTACCGTTAAAAATATTCTAAATTTTTTTGAAATTTTTTCTGATTCTTTTTAAAGATTTACATTGAAAAACTCAACAATGGCTTATACACACTTCAACGAATTGTACTTATTTTAGCAGAAGTTTGCATAAAAGGAGCACCTGGCAGTAAAGAAAGAGCAGAAAAACTGTTTAAAATGCGGTTTAAAGGAGCACATTTAAATACTTTGTTGGAATCGGTTAGGAAATTTTTTAAAATAATTTAAAAAAAATTTTTCTTTAGATCCTCACAGAATTTTACGATTCGCTAGATCCAGAAGCAAATGACCAAAAGGAAAGAGTGGAACATTTAATTGCTTGTTTGAGTGCCTCGTAAAAATTTTCGTGTTTTTTGACTTTTTTTTGAAAATTTTCTGTGTTTTTTGTAATTTTATTGACTATTTAACAAGGAACAAAAAATTAAATAAAATTAAAAAAAAATGAGAACTAAACTATAAAAAAAGTATTTTTGGACTGACACGTATTTTAAGTAATAAATCATCAAAAAATTTTTTTAAGACTAAATAGAAGTTTGTGTGTAATTTAAAAAATTTTGTAACTAATTAATCATTCTCTATTCAATTTTTTCATTACCAAACGAAAATTTTCCCCAATTTCTTCCATTTCCTCGTCGGTTACGTCAACACGACAAGTAACTTTAACCCTTATTTAAAAGAGGATTATAAATCTTATTTTTAAAAAAAAAACTTACGTCGCCTTTTGAGAAAATGCTTCCTGGTCTGAAAGGTAGTGTGCTCTAGATACAAGAATCCCGACTGTTTGGAGCTGAAAAAATTTTTTTAATCGAATTTTTAAAATGAATTGTTTAAGACTTGGAAGATCGTGTCGTTCTTAATGTCTTTTAACCAGCTTGAGACTAGATCTCTGAGAGAAAAAGTCCCGAGACCCTGCTTAAAACTCACTGATTTGAAAAGATTATCTAGAAACTATTACCTAGAATTCTCCACTTCCCCGTCTATGGAAAATCAGGAAAAAGATGGAAATAGTACTTAAAAATCACAAACCTCAGAAACAAAGTCATTCAACACTTGTTCAACCACATCTTTATCTTCGTGTTCAAATCCAATATGTTTCAACGGTGATATTTCATCCCCAATCACTACGAATTTTAATCCGTCAGTTGCATTAAAAATTAATTTGTGCAAAGCAATTGACTTTTGACGAAGAATTTTCGGAAGATTTTCCTTCTCTTGAATAATATTTATTGCTTCGCCTGTAAAATTTTTTTTTAATTTTTTAAAAATAATGAGAAAGCGGACTTGCCGCTACTGTTAATAAAGGTGGTAATGAGGCCGAGAAACAATAGCCGAGCCCTAAAAAATTAAATTTTATTTTATTAAAATAATACAAAAACCAGATAGTCGTTGATGTCCAATAACAAATGATCGACCCGCACAGAAACCTCCAGTAGTTGCAATAGCATTTTCTAGCGAAGCTGATATTAAATCCTTAATATTTAAAAGGTTTATGAAAAAAAATTAGAGATGTTTCCTTTTAAATAATTCTGAATTTTTAAGTTTAAACTCAAGATAATATTTTTAAATAATTCTGGTCTTTTAAGTTTAAAAAATTCTGATTCTAAAATAAACTTATCGCAGATAATTCTGATTTTTCAAGTCTAAACTTAGATAATAATTTTTTAAAAATTCTGATTTTTCAAGTTTAAATTCTGATTTTTAAAGTTTACTAAAATTCTGATTTTTCAATCTTAAACTAAAATTCTGATTTTTTAAGTTTAAACTAAAATTCTGATTTTTCAATCTTAAACTAAAATTCTGATTTTTCAATCTTAAACTAAAATTCTGATTTTTCAATCTTAAACTAAAATTCTGATTTTTCAAGTTTGAACTAAAATTCTGATTTTTCAAGTTTAAACTAAAATTCTGATTTTTCAATCTTAAACTAAAATTCTGATTTTTTAAGTTTAAACTAAAATTCTGATTTTTCAAGTTTAAACTAAAATTCTGATTTTTTAAGTTTAAACTAAAATTCTGATTTTTCAAGTTTAAACCAAAATTCTGATTTTTCAAGTTTAAACTAAAATTCTGATTTTTCAATCTTAAACTAAAATTCTGATTTTTTAAGTTTAAACTAAAATTCTGATTTTTCAATCTTAAACTAAAATTCTGATTTTTCAATCTTAAACTAAAATTCTGATTTTTCAATCTTAAACTAAAATTCTGATTTTTCAAGTTTGAACTAAAATTCTGATTTTTCAAGTTTAAACTAAAATTCTGATTTTTCAATCTTAAACTAAAATTCTGATTTTTTAAGTTTAAACTAAAATTCTGATTTTTCAAGTTTAAACTAAAATTCTGATTTTTTAAGTTTAAACTAAAATTCTGATTTTTCAAGTTTAAACCAAAATTCTGATTTTTCAAGTTTAAACTAAAATTCTGATTTTTCAACTTGATTTTAAGTAATTCTCACTTTTCCTAGTTTAAACTTGAAAATGTTGATGTTTTTTATAGCGCAAGCGCCTTTAAATAAGCGCTTAAAAATAAAAAGACCAACCACATCAACTGCATTAATGCCAAAGTGTTCAGTTATTCCTGAAAATTTTGAAATTAAATTTTATTCAATTTATTTCCATTTTTAATTTTAATATTAATTAAAAAATTTTTTTCCTATTTCCTTTCTAAATTTAATTTATAGATTGGAGAACAATCCATCAAAAATTTAATTTAATTTAAAATTTCTCAAAAAATTTTTTTTTAATTTTAAAATTTTATTTAAAGAATCACTTGAATAAATTTTAATAATTTTCCTCTTTTTTTTATTTAATCACTTGAATTTTTTTTTAATTTTCAATTTTATATTAAAATAAACATTAAATATTTCTATCAATAAACGTGTCAAACCAACAAAAAATATATACATCCCCCTAAATATTTTGAAATGTTTAACAAATAAAATTTAATAATAACAATAAAAAATGAGAAATTTACGAGAAAAGTGAACCAAAAAAAATTGAATATTATAAACGTTCCTCATAGAAGATTAGTAAGAAAGTAGAGACTGGCAATAAAATTTTAGGGGGTTTTAATGAGAATTTCTGGGGGATAATAGGTAAGGGATATATCTAAAAAAGGGCATAGAGGGAATAAGGTTAGTGGAAATCCTAAAAAAGAAATAAAAAAATTTTTTTTTCGAAATCTAAGAATTTTGGAAATAAATTCTAAAACGCTTTTTTGGCCTCTAAATGTATACAAAATAAAAAAAATACAATTTAAAATGCAAATCGCGGCGTGAAAAGTTAAACAACTGACAGAAAATTTAGTGACATACCTAATTTATAATCTTTCCTTCTTATAATTTTGGAAAGGTTAAATAAATATAATAAACAATTAATTAACCTTTATTTTGACCAGTTTTTTTGTTTCTGTTTACTTTTCTCAAAGAACATAAAGCTTTTAAATACACACACACGTAAATATAAACACAAATAATGCGCAAATACAACCACCAACCACCTAATGTAACAATAAAAAAAGAAAAAAAAGGGAGAGGATGAAAAAGCGGCTGGCTAATGATTAAAAAGAGAAAAAAACAGTAAAAAAATCAAATAAAAAAATTACAAAAATATATTTTTATATGTTGCTCATTTCTGTTATATGAGGACATGTTAAAAAGCGAAAAGGGACGGAGAAAGAGGTAAATTTATTGCGCATTTTTAATAAAATATTTTTTTTATTTCTTCAAAAAATTCTCGCGCACATTTTTCAATTTTTCTGAGAACTAAACAAATTCTTTTTCCTATCAGTTTTATTATTGTTTAGAGAATTTGTTTATCTATCGGCCATAAACTTAAAAAACAAATCGTTTTTTTATAGTTTTCATGAATAACTTTTCGAAAATTGCGTAAATCCCCTTTATTCCTTCACTCTTCTTTTCTAAAATATTTTTTCTAAAATATATATCTTTTTATTCAAAATGTTAAAAAAATTTTTATTTTATTTTTCATTAAAAAAATTTTTTTTTGAACGTTAAAACAAATTCGCCAAATTTTATTTTTTTCCCCGTTATAAAAATATCTCTCCCCCTTTTCCCCGCCTATTTTTCTTCAATTTTAAAAAGTAATTAAAAGTACGTCGAGAAAATTATTTTTATATTTTTACAAAAATATTTTTCTCTCTATTTTTTAAAACTAATTTGAAATTGTATTTCTTTTTTACTACAAAATTAAACAAAAACAATTCACGCAAAATTTATATTTTTAATTTTGCAAATTAAAACCACAACGCTTTTTTCTCCTCTCGTTAATGATACCGTTTAAATAACTTAAATTAATAAAGTAGCTCCGAAAAAAATGAGAAAATATTTTTGAAAGCACTTAAAATTGACGCTTAATAATAATTAAAAAAAATTTTTTTATTTTTTTTTTTTGAAAAATCTTTTCCTAAAAAACAAGAATATTTTTTAAAAGTACCCAAATCTACGCTTAATAATAATTAAAAAAATTTTTTCCTAAAAAATAAATTTAAAAATTTCTTCTAGTCTAAAGTCCACGAATTAAAATTCTATTTTTGTAGTTTTTTTAAAGTGTGACAAGATTACTATTAAATATGACAGATGATCATTACTAATATTTTTTAAAATTTAAAAAGAAAAATTAATTAACGATTTTTGGTCATTTTTTACTTAAAATCTTCTTTTTTTAGTTGCGCAATTAAAACGTTTTAACATTAAAAAAATTTTTTTTAAAAATATTCCCGCCTCCATTAGGAATTTAAATTTATTTAAAAAGGGAAGGATTAAAATGTGTTCGCCAAAATCTATATTATTTCCTGTTACATTTATATATTAAACTTTAAAACCTAGACTTGATATCACTAAAAGCTTTTAATGGGCAAAAAACATTTCCTTACCACACAAGCATACTTAAAAACAGAATTCTGGCCTAAAACTTGAGAAATCGAATGCACTTTAATTTTAAACTTAAAAATAAATTCTAAAAAGATAGCGTAAACTTTAAAAATCAGAATTTAACAAAAACTTAAGAAATCAGAATTATAATAAAAACTAAGAATCAGAATTTATGCTTAAACTTGAAAAATCAGAATTTAGCTAAAACTTAAGAATCAGAATTATAATTAAAAATCAGAAATATAACAAACCTAATAAATCAGAATTAAAGCATAAACTTAAAAATCAGAATTTAGCTAAAACTTAAGAAATCAGAATTAAAGCATAAACTTAAAAAATCAAAATTAAAACGTAAACTTAAAAAGGTCAGAATTATAGTGTAAACTTAAAATATCAGAATTATAGCATAAACTTAAAAAATTCAGAATTATAGTACAAACTTAAAAAATCAGAATTATAATTAAAACTTAATATAGCTCAAACTTAAAACATAATTATAGCAAACTTAAGAAATCATAATTCTAGCTCAAACTTAGAGTTAAGTTAGAAAAACCAGAATTAAAAATATAATAGAATAAATAGAGGGATTTTACCTAATTCACATGAAAAACTGTTAAATGCTGTCAATGTAAAATTAAGTTACATTAATCATACTAGCTAGAACATTTATTTTTAAAAAAGAAAACAATATTATTCAAGGCCCCGTTCCACCAATAAAATAAACAAAAATTGATTGCGAAATTTTTACGTGTTTTTCTTTTAAAAATGATATCACTCTTATCAACCTTTATTTAAATTTTATTTAAAATTTCAGGAAGGGAATGGGAGAGTCAACTCAACACATTATTATTAAACTAACAAGACCGCAGCTTCTGCTACTATTATTATTATCATGTATTTTAATTATTTCAAATTCACAAGCATTAGAACATCCAAAAAGGCTAATATTAAACAACAACGACAATGAAACACCTAAAATCATTTCAAAACATTCTGATGATAATTCTGAAAATTCTTCTGATGATTCTGAAATATTAAAGAAAAACAAATCCACAATAATACTTCCAAGGCCGCCTTTTGAAGAGATAGAATTTTCCCTTAAAAATGTTTCTAACGACTTGAATACTAAAGACAATTTAAATTCAACTGGCTCTGTAATAAATTCTGAAGACGAAAAAGAAGTGGCGACAAATGGAATAATAAGTTGCGATTTAGGAGATGATACTATACTAGAGGCAAAGGAAAGTATTGCTGTATGCAGTGCAAATTCTGAGAATTGGCATATTTATTGTGCTGGAAAGCTACTTGAGGTAATAGGAGGCATTTTAACCTTGGACCCCGAACCCTTCAATTCTTATCCAAAATCCCGATCTCGACCCCGAAAGTCTCAATCCCTGAAGGTCCGAGACGACCAACCTAATATTAACCAATACTAATAACCCAAAGCCTTAAAAAATTTTCATTCTAGGCCGTAAACTATCATCAATTATTGGAAGAAAATGATTCAAAAGAATTTGTAGATCGTCCATTAAAGAAAAATGCAAGTATTGTAATAGAAGAATTTGATAAATTATTTGGCGAAAATGTCTCAGTTCACGATATTCCAAAACAAAATTTGAGCAAATTTTTGGAAGAAAATTTTGACCATGCAGGAGGAGAATTGAAAGAATGTACACCCGAAGATTGGACACCAGTTCCAGCTGAGTTGGAAAGAATTAAAGATGACACTTTAAGAAGTTGGGCAATGGAATTAAATACGATATGGAAAGATTTGTGTAGAGTTATACCTGAAGAAATTAAAGATACGAGAGACAGACATTCATTAATTTATGTCAAAAATCCATTTATAATTCCTGGTGGACGATTTAGAGAATTTTACTATTGGGATGCTTATTGGATTATTAAAGGATTAATTGTGTCAGGAATGACAACATCTGTGAGACTGATGATCGAAAATTTTTTGGATATTGTGGATAAATTTGGTTTTGTTCCGAATGGAGGAAGGATTTATTACGCAAAGCGATCACAACCCCCGTTCCTTACAATGTAAACTTTTCTACGGTATATGCCCGAATAATACCCCTCTATCAAATAATTACCTCCTCTCGATTAACCCACCCACCCCCCCCCCAAGAGGTTGAAACGCATATTCAAATTTCACAACTCGAATTACAACCCCCCCCCCCCACTATTAATCACCACCTCTAACGAGAGGCTTAACAAATAATTGCCCAGGGTAATTATTTGAGCACATACAGTAATTTAAAGCCAAATATAAAATTATATTTAATGCTGAATATATTTAGGATGGTATATGAATATTTTGAGGCAACCCATGACTATGATTTTATTAAGAAAGCATTGCCTATTCTAGAGAAGGTAAAAAGATATTCAAAAATATTTTAAAAAGGATTTTAGGAAATGGAGTTTTGGACAAATGAACGAGGTATCGAAGTCCCTATAGGTGACAAGACTTATAGAATGTTCCAATACAGAGTTGGATGTAACGTTCCAAGACCAGAATCATTTTGTGAAGACGTCAGACTTGTAAAACAAAAAACCAAAGTTGAAGATAAACGTCAAATATGGAGAGATTTATCTAGTGCCGCAGAATCGGGCTGGGATTTTAGCAGCAGATGGATGAAAAATCCAGAAAAACCAAAACTAGTAGATATTGAAACAACAAATATAGTTCCTGTAGATTTAAATGCTTACATTTGTGGGAATTATGAAATACTTTCACATTTGTACTTACAATTAGGTGGGAAACTCAAAAATAAAAATTAAACTATTTAATCCTCTCCTCCTTTCAGAAAATAATTCCAAAGCTTTTGAATACCACACAAAACATTACGAATTCCGTGAAAACTTTCAAAAAGTATTTTTTGTACAACATGACCGAGAAACAGCAGGCTGGTACGACTACAATCTCCGAAAGAAGGATCACAATAAAAACTTTTATGCTACAATAGCTATCCCCTTGTTTACACGTTGCTATCATTCCATTGATTTGCAGCAATCGGAACGCATATTTCGTACAATGGAAACGGCTGGTGTTTTTAAAGAGCCGGGTGGCATCCCAACAAGCATGATAAATAGCCACCAACAATGGGATTATCCAAATGGTTGGCCTCCTCTCAATCACATGATTATTGAAGGTTTAAGGCGTTCAGACAATAAATTGTTTGTAAACAAATTTTTGCTTTTTATAATAATTCCTGTTTTTTTAAGAATGCAGAAAAAAGCATTTTGGTTAGCAACAAAATGGGTATTAAGCAACTATCGAGTTTATCGCAATGATAGTCCAAAAGGAAAGATGTGGGAAAAGTATGAAGTAAACAAGTTTAAACCAAACAAAGGAGTTGGTGGAGAATATCAAGTTCAGGTAGTAAATTTAAAAGAATAAATGGTGAAAAAGACATTTGATCCAGGGATGTCACGGGTTTCAGAAATCCGGGCCTTTTCCACCAGAAAGCCGATCAGAAAACTGTTCCAACGCCCGACCCAACTTTTTCCCTCATAATCTTCCTAACTGACCTTACCTGAGACCTGGACTTTTTTCGACTTAAAATACTAACCATAATTTTTTAAAGGCCGGATTTGGATGGACAAACGGAGTAATCCTCGATCTATTAACAACATTTGGTGACAGAATAGAATTTAAAAATGATTTAGAAATGAATCCAAATGCTGTAGCAAAAGAAGTAATTAGTAATGAACCTCCAAATCTTCCTGATGTTGGTGGAGGAAATTTACAACAAAACAATACTTTACAACAGAACCAAACAATAGATACAAGAGAATCAAGTTTATTACACCAAGGTTCTTCTTCTAATGGTTCGAGAATGACGTTATCTTTAACTTTTCTTTGTTTATGTACTTTAATATCAATACTGGTCAAGTTTTATACTCTTTAATTTATTAGTAGAACTTTTAGATAAGGAAGGTCACAAAAAGTTTAGTGAGTGAAATAGACCCCCCTCCCCCCAGAATACAATTAATCTCACAAGAATACAACACCCTTACGTCTCCCAAGAATACACCCCCCTTCCATCTCTCTAAAATTTAGGAACCTCACAAAATGACAAAACACAAAAAATACACAAGCACAAAACTTCGAAGGACCATCCTTATTTTTAAACACTATCAATACTTACTGTTCAAAAATTCTCCTCTTCCCTTCTTAAAAAACCAAAACAGCTTTATTAGTACAAAACCCTCTGTCACAAAAACCCCTTTATACAAAACCCTCTAACTTCACAAAAAATCCTCCCTCTCCTATCCTTAATTAATTTCCTTTTTTGTAAAAATGTTTTCTTTTAATATTTCCATTTTTAAAATTTTGTGTTAGTAAATTTTTTTAATTTTTCTTAAAATTTTTCTCACCCACCTTTTCCATTTTCTCCTAATACACCAAAAGAAAGAGATTCATCAACAAATATCCGAACCTTATATTTCCATTTAAATTCAACCAATTTATCCAAAGGGCATAAATCTGCAGTGTTTGCATAAATTCCTTCAACAACAATAAATTTACGTATTGTAGCAGCCTTCTTTTTATTCTTAAAAAAATTTAAAAAAATTAAAAAAATAATTTTAAAAGAAAATATACTTTTGAATCAGCAAGTGATTGTTCTTCTAAAAGCCTTTCAAGATGATCCATATCATTGTGGTTAAACCTGAAAATTATTTTTTTAATGGATAGTAAGCCGAGGAAACAAAAAATTTTTTGAAAAATAATCTTTAATTAAGAAGAATCCGCAAATTGTTTTTGTCCGCAAATTTAATCCGCAAAAATTTTTTGTCCGCAAATATTATCCGCAAAAAAAATTATTTTCCAAAATATTTTTTCAAGCTCGAAACAAAGTACTAGCCTTGCCCCCTTTAAAAATAATTTAAAAAATCGAACCAAATAATTTTGCTTTTTGAAGCTTGTAGTCCTTTTTGAATAGAAAAATTGACACTTTTATCAACAAAAATCAAATCATCCTTTTTTGAATAAGCAGGGATAGCACTAGCAATAGTAGCAAATCCATAACTATACAAAATTGCTTCTTCACAACCCAAAAAGTCTGCCAATTGTTTTTCCAAGTTTAAATGAACATCAACAGTTCCATAAAAATTGCGAGGACCACAAGAACCAACACCATATTTAAATATTGTATTTTTTGCTGCTTCCTATTTTTTAAATTAAATATAATTGAATTTAATTTTAAAAAATCCGCAAAAATTATTTTGTCCGCAAAAATTAATTTGTCCGCAAAAAGAATTTTTTCCAGATTTAAACAAAGGAACCAGAAGCCTAATAAAAAAATAACCTCAATTCTTTCATTTCCAATTAATCCATAAAAATCAGAAGAGATCATATTTAGACACTCCTTTCTATTAATGTTGACATATTTGGTTATCTTCCTTTAAAAATTAATTTTTAATTATTCACAAAATAATCAAAAAATACCCTTCAATTGTTTGAGGTTCACGTATATTAGAATCACAAGTTTCTGGAACTAGAGGCAAAGGCTCCCAAGCAGTTATCCTAGCTTCCATTTCCTTAAAATTTTAAAAATGAGATAGTAATGTGCGCAAGTTTTGTCCGCAAAAAATTTTTTAAAGTCCGCAAGTTTTGTCCGCAAATTTTTTATGAAAGTCCGCAAGTCTTGTCCGCAAAATTTTTCAAAATCTTTCCAGGCGGAAATTTTTCCCTCCCCCTTAAAAAGCTAACCTCTTCACTCATCAACTGTTTCCTTGTTTTACCCAGCTGTAAACGATACTTCCAAAAAGCAAAAGAACAAAGCATAACAACCACCAAAAGTGACCAATTTCTTAAAAATAAGGCTGCAGCGAAAAGAATAAAAATAATAAAATAGCTTCTAAACGCATCCATTTTCTTCATTGTAAAGAAATTAAATGTTTAAGTCTATAGAATCACGAAAAAAATTAAAAAATAAATTAAAAAAAGTAAAATTGATAGAAAAATAAAACAAAATTATTTTTAAAAAATACAAAAATAAAGATATTTATTAAAATTTAATAAAATATTTAAAAAATATCACAAGTTGTGTCAACATTTAGGTTGGCGGATCCAAAAATCCTAAATACGAAAAAAAACCAGATATCCGGAAATTTTCGGTTCGGATCCGAATATCCGAAAATTTCCCAGGATCCACCAACCTTAACCAACAAGTAAAAGTCAAAAAATTAAAAAATACTTTTAAAAGTCTGGCCTTAAAAAATAATTTAAGAAGCATATCTTTTAGTCCAAATCCTTGCCATTTTCTCAAATTCTTCAAATTGGGTGAGATATTGTTTTGCAATATGAGGAATCAAAGGATTGTGTGTATTACAGGAGTAAAACAGAGAAATCAACATCTGTAAAATTAATTTTTTTTTCAAGTAGAAGTTTAGCCTCGGACAGGAGTTGATCCAGCCCCCCTCATGACAGTCCTGGGACCATCTAGCATTTATATGAATGATAGACGCTTTCGATCACCACGTATAACAAGGATAGGAGGGTTACCCTAAACCCGACTTCTTTCTCAACCCAACACATTCCTGACGGCTTTCCCAACTATGAGTTATCTGGGTACTACTATACTTCACTTGCTCTTTTAATTTTTCATTAAACCTCTGCCTAAGTGTTTTAAATGCTAGGTTAAATTCCCCCCTTCCTTACAGTTAAAAACAAAAATAAACAAAAAAAATACTTTAAGCACATCCACCACTCCCATCGTAGATTTCCAATTTCGAGTCAACCCCAAATAAACGTCTCCTTGACTAAATAAAAAATTTAATTAAAAAATACAATTAAAAAACCTGTTAATATTGCAATGATAAATTTTTGTAAGAAAGACAACTTCTGGCGGAGAAAAGGGATAATTAACTCCAAAAAGCAATTGAGCAAAAAAAGTCCCATTCTCATAAACTGTGTTGGGAGGTCCATCCAAAACTACAGACCATTTAAATATACTTTCACTGCTAGGATAAGCATGACAACTAGAAAAAGTAAAAAACTAAAATTGTTAATACCGAGTCCCGACCCCCATCTACCAGTCCCGTAACCAGGGGGAATTTTCTGACCAAGATTTGTTAATTTCCCAACATTAAAAAATAAAACCAACTGTTTTAAAGGAGCCTCGCGTAAACTATTAAGTTCTTCAAAAAGTCGACGACTAGCAATTGAAGTAGGTGCATTGATTATATATGGTTGAACACGAATATTTGTAGAAGACGATTGTGACTAAAGTTTTTATTTTAAAATCATTTTTAAAAGTTAAAAAAACCTTAAATTCAATATCCTCAGAAAATGTATTCGGCAATCCAACAGCCTGACAAGAGCTCGACGGGCGGCAATTATCTGATTTCATTGATTAACTGAAAATAAGAAAATAGTAAAAACCCTGAAAATGGAGTGTCAAGACGAAATTAGAAACCGGATTGTGAGGGTCGGAGGAGACTAAACCGAGATTCTCGATAAATTTCGATTCCGTTTTTTAGTCAAAATGTCCGTAGTGGCATTTTACAATATTTGAAAGAATTGACAAAATGACATTTGGTAAAATGAAAAATATAATTAAAATTATTTCTTTTTGTAAAATTTCATAATGTAAAAACTTTAAATGTCAATAATTTCTTCATTGTTTCTATTGTTCTATTTTCTAATTTTTAACAATAAATGACTAATTTAAGATTTTTTATGCTAAACAATTAAGCTCTTCATGTTTAATTATGATGACTTCCCTGTGCTGGCAAGTTCTATGGGACATGGCAGTCAGGAAACACAGGTTTTAATTTTTAGATATTTTTCTATATTTTTTACAGAAAAGTACCTCCTCCTCAAATGTCAACAACAAAACTTCACGTGAAAATGGCCCAACATCCTCGGAAGCACCAGAAGATGCAGGAATAAAAATACATCCGAATGGTATTTTTCTTTTTTGGTTAAATTGTCGTTTATGGCCCTCTTTTCCTCCCAAATTTTCCCTTCACCTGACGTTAGTCTTATTCTTTATGTCTTTTCGAGTGCTGCATTTTTTTTGTTTGATTGCAATATACAAAAACGTGAATTGAGAGGGAGGAAAGAAAAATTGTCTGACCATTCTGTACATTGATAGGAAAAGAATTTTGGGATGAAAAATGGGACTTCTAAACTACAATTTACCTTTAATCTTTTCCCTTAAAATTATTTTATTTTTTACAGGCCGTGTTACAAACATTCATCCAGGAATGCTTAATAACCAGTTTGAGTGATTTGAAATATTTTTAATTTTTTTAAAAATTGTAAAGATTTGGCATTGCTGGATTGCTTTCATTTCTGAGGACAATAGACAACTCTCCGTCAATAACTGGACTCGCCTTAGGCCAAGATTTGACTGGTCTGGGATTAAATCTGAACCCTGCAAAGTAATTTTTGAACTTGTTTAGTTTAGGTATACGCCCCATTTATTTGCAAGGAATAGGCCTATTATTGCGTACAAGAAGAATCATTGACTCCTGCGAGACGAGGCCATTTTTGTCTTGCGATTAAATGGGGTGTGTACCAAAACTAGACAAGTCGATCTTTTTTATATTAGTTTTACTTATTTTTCCTTGTTTCAGGAAAAATTTATTTCAAACATTTGGAGGTCCATGGGGCAATTTTTCTTGTCGAATTCAGGACTTGGATGCAAAAGTACCCGATGTTTATTTGACAAATGCTACAATCAGGGAAAAATTACCAAATATTAAATTGAATAAGCTTCATGAGGATGTTCTTTTCTATCTCTTTTATAACTGCCCTGGTGAAGTTTATCAAGTTGCTGCTGCTTCTGAATTGTTTGTTTTTTGAAATTGTTTTTGTTGGGAGCAGGGATGTCACGGATTGCCCGAAAATCACATACGACTTTTTTTCGATCGGAAACCCGACCCGAAGAAATTTTAAAACCTAACCCGACTTTTTCTCAATCTGTGACATTCTTGTTGGGGAGAGGATTTGAATAGGTATCCGAATCTTTGCGTATATCCTACTTATCCATTATCCTTGCGAACTTTTTGCGGACTTTTTTATATTGCGAATCTTTAATTTTTTATTAAAATTTGTTCAGATACGCGCGTGATTGGCGGTTTCATAAAATCGAACGTTTATGGCTTCAAAGGGCAGCTTTTTTTGCTCCTCCAAAGGAAATTGGTGGAACCTTTGAACGATGTCAATATAATACTTTTGACCCAATCCTTTGGAGAAAGGTTTTTTTAATTCGAAAAATATCCTTTAAATTATTTTTTAGGTCCCAAAAGAAATGGTTTTGGAATTTAAAGATTTGGAAGGAAAACCAACTGTTTCAGGACAGAAGCAAGCACCACAGCAACAACAAAATAAACAACCTCCTCTTCCTGCAGTTCAACAAACAACCAACAGCAACCTTTTCCTGAAGTCAACATCGGGGACACTTTCATAGTCAGTTCCAATGTTTAATCAAAAATTACCGGATCTTAATTTTGAAGTTGATGCTTCTTTGTATGAATTGTAATAAAAAAATTCTTTGAGAGGCTTAGCTCGGACAGGCATAGATCCTGTGACCTTTTGGCTGTTTTTTTGTTAGCATTTTCGTTTACCATTCGCTAGCATTTTGGGCTAAAATCAACCCTCTGCAATTTCCTCACCATCTTTTTAATTTTTTTTTAAAATAAAAATTTTATTTTTTATAGTGTAGAGAGACAATTAAAAAGAATTACAAGTGGTTCAACACTTCATCGAGTAGAAACTCGCCAGCTTATAGATATTCTTCAAGAAAATCCTGAACTTTTTTCTCATTCATCAGAACAGGTTTTTTTTTATTTAAATTTTTTTTGAAAAATAAATTTGTTTTTAAAGTTGCTCGATTTTATTCAATATGAACCCGAATTAGCTGGAATTTTGCTTGTATATCAATTATTGTATGAACCATCAAATTATCGTTCAAGCGTAGAAATTTTGTTAAATATGAATATTGATGTTTCTGTTCTTGTGGCAATTAATAAATTTGTTCAGCTTTGCGAATATAAGGTTTACTTTTAATATCTAGGGTAGAGTTATTGGTTTTTAGGAAATTTTGGGGTATTTGGAACCGAACTGGAAGCCCCCAACAGTTCCGACGTATCCTCGGTTCTTCAATTCGGTTATAAAACGATATCCTTTTAACGAGGGTTAATTGTAAGATTATAGATTGGCACACGTCGAAAAAAATTTTTTTTCAACTTGTTGTCTAACAATAAGCTTGGGATTGTGATCTAATTTTTTATTCATTAAAAAAATTCTCTTCAGAACATAAAAGTTCCTAATGATTTTCTCCACAAATTTATTTCTGTTTGTATCTTGTCTTGCGATAATGGTTCAACTTCTAATGGGTTGGCAACAGATCGTTTAGGTTTTTTTATTTTCTTTTATGTAATGCGCCTTTTCGTTCAGTTCGTATGGTTTGTATGTTTTTTAATGGTTTGCTTGATTTGAGGTACTTTGATGTTTCGGTGGGTTTTTTTATTAAAAAAATATTTTTTTCTTTTTTTCTTGCTCCTTTCCTCCCATTTTTTTATTTCTAAAAAATTCTCTTTTTTCCAGACGGTCCGGTCCGAAATTCAAAATTTTGCCTTCTCATACCTTTCGCTTAAAGAAGCATCTCAGCTTTATCAAAAAACACTTCATCTTTAAATTTAAATTTAAAAAAATGCCCGAAAAGAACAAAAAAAGTGTAATTATTTACAATAATTCTAACTCACTTTATTTTTTTCTTGTCTTAAACCCTAAGAAAAGCGACTTTAATGGATGACAAAAAATTTTTTTAAATATTCAAAAAAATTTCTTTTGGATCTTAATAAGATTGGCGCCTCATTTTAATTGCACTCACATTTACAATTTGATAAACCTCAATTTGGGGTTTTTCTTCAGTTTGGTTGTCCACATCGTTTAGGGGATCTGTCTAAAAACGAAAACACTTACTGTTAAATAAGGAATACTATTGATTTCAAACACATACAAAAATCTTTTTTAATCCCAAATATGTGTGTGATATTAGAGATGACTCGTTAAATCTTCTCCAAATAAAATTCTGATAAAAAAACCCAATCCGAACCCCGACTTTTTTTCTGAACCTGACCAGTCCCTGTTGTGTTTCAGAGATGGATCGGATTACCTGAAACCTGGACATTTTTTGACTTGATTCAAATCCCTGCCCGACTTTTCTCAGCTCCAATTTTGTATGCACGTAAATTGAGGTCCAATTTTATTTACTTTTTTAATAAAAAAAATTTTTTTGTCATCCATGTCGGCAATAAAAAATATCTCTTATATAATCTAGTTACAGATCTCTTCTGTTTTTTTCTGTCCCATTTATATATTTTTTCTTTAAATCTTCTAGTACCTATATCCCTTTTTGCATGTTTTAAAATCTAAAAATTTTAGAGTTATACATTTAATTTTAACTTCAAAAAATATATAAAAATTTTTATACTTTTTCAATAAAAAAGTTTTACATTTTTTGGCATTTTTATTAATTAGAGTTTAAATAAGACTTAAAAAAATGTTTTAAAAATTAGTTCTGGGGCTGTCGACTGACCTATCTGGCGCTGGATTTTTCTTGAATGGTGTCCCAAATCCGTGGTTTTTTTTCGATCTCAGATTATTTTCTGTACCGGGTTAGAGAGACTTAAAAATATGGTCGTATCCGGTCATGCTTCTAGTCGGATCCGACGCAAATCAAGGGGTTTTTCTCAATATCACCGGATTATTTTCCGGGCCGGATTAATTCAGAAAAATCCAGTAGAATTCGGGCCGTCTTACAAATCCGGATCAGTTTTTCCGGTCATTAAAAATTAGCGTGTGTATTTGTTTGTTCGTTTATTGTTGCTGTTGTTGTCCATTAATAGTCCATTCATAAGTGTTTTGTTGTTGTTGTGTTTCTTCTCCTTCTTGTTTTATTTGTTTAATTGTTTGATTAGTTTCTAATACTTGTTTAATTATATTTATTCTATTTTGTAATCTTGGAGGTAAATAATTATTTAAATTTGTCGGCTTTTCTCTTTTACGCCATTTTGCTCTTCGATTTTTGAACCAGACCTTTTTTTTGAAATTTTTTTAATTTTAGGAGGGTGTGAAATTAATTTTTTTAAATAAGAGCACAATGTTTATTTTGTCCTAAAACTTGGGTACTAATTCCCCTTGGGTGTTTACTTTCTAATTCTTCCTCCCTCTCCCCTCCTCTTACCCTCTCTTTTTAAATTAATTAGTCATTTTTGTTTCTTTTTCCTAAAATTTTTTTTCAAAGCTTCTAGTTTTCGAAATTATTTTCCAAAATCTACCCGAATGCATTGTTCAGCCAATCCAATAGCTCGAGCTATACTTCCTCTATTACTAACATCTGGATATTTATTTCTAGCAAATAAGCTTTCTAATTCATTTAATTGATGGGTGCTAAAAAAGAGATTTAATTTTTTTGAGATTTAATTTTTTAACTCATTTTTAAATCACCTAAAATGAGTGCGCTGTCTCCGCTGTTTAGGTAAATCCTGGGATATTGTAGTTGTTGTTCTGTTCCCTTCATATTTAATTTCTGTTTTTTGTAAATTTGTTGAAGCTGATTTTTGTCGGGTTTTCTCAGCTCTTTCATTTTCTTAAAAAAATTTTGTTCTAAAATTTTCAAAGATTTTTCTAGGATTTTAAGCTTTCTAAGCTTTTTCTAAGATGTCCTGGATTTTTCTTAGATTTCTAAGATTTTTTCTAAGACCTACTTTTTACGGGAGTTACACTGAAATTCGTTTTTTTAGTCTTCTTTTCATTTATTTTTGTAGCTTGATTTTGTGAGTTATTTGAGATTATGGGGGATATGTTAGTAAAGTTGCTGGCTTGTGTAGAAGTTACTATTTAAAAAGGGAAGGGAGGTGATTTTATTTGAGCTTAGAAAAAAGATTTACCATTCCCAATTAACGGAATTGTTGGTTTTATTGAATTTAATTTAATCCCATCAAAATTGTTATTGCTACAATCTATTAAATCATTACAAAATTCTAGGGGTGAAAGGTATGAGTGATTAAATGAGGGGGTTAATGAGGGATTTAATGAGGGATTTGGTAAGCCAAACTGTGTTGTTGAGTGAAAATGACTATTATTGGGAGGGTTAAATGTTTGTTGTTGTTGGTTTGTTAAATGTGATGGTTGTTGACTAGAAGAAATTGAAGGAGGTTGAATGAAATCATGATTAGAAACAAAATTATTGTAGTTGTGTTGAGTATTAAAGGGATAAGAAGCTGAAAATGTTAAATAACCCAAAGAAGTTGTTGCTGCGCCAAAAAATGTTGAAGAAGTATAGGAAGGAATTGAAGTTGGGGTTGTTATTGTTGTTGAAGGTGGGGGTATTCTCATTAACATCATTTCATAATCTTGGTGTTGTTGGAAGGGTGGTGGATTTTCCCAAAAACTGATAGGGGCAAAAGTTGAAGATGATGGCGAATTAGGCATAAACATTTATTTTTTTGGGAGGGAAAAGGGCGTGAACACTTTTTAGATATAATCCTTTCTCTAATTCTTTTTGATATCTAATCCACAAGGGGGATCAGAACAGGGAATTTAAAATTTTCTTTTTTAAGGGTAAGCCTTGTCCTTATATTATTATTTTTAATCCTTGCCGAATTAGGTGACTTTTTAAATGAGCTGGGGAGAGTGTAAAAATAATTCCAAGATAATGCCAAGTAGAGGGGAGAAGCTAGTTATTAGTATTTCTTTTTGTTTAAAAAGCAACCACCCCTCCTTATGGCAAAATTTACAGTAGTCACATTTTTGGTGAGTTAAAAAAGGGAGGGGAGGAAAAGCTTAGAAAGGGTGGAAGCAAATGAAGAGGAATAAACATAGACTGACTTTTTTAAAGCTTAATTCAGAATATCACCCTACTTTGGGATAAATTTTTTTGGTTGATATTTTGGGTAATTTCTTTGACTGTTTGAACCAGAAGTAAGAAGAACGTGTTTAAGTTTTGAGGACTTATGGCCAAATAAAGAGAAGAGAGGAAAAGGAAAGGATTTGTGGCTTTAAGGGGATAAACAAATAAGTTTTTATTAATTATAAGTTCAATGTTTCTTTTATTGTCGTGACTATCGTTCTACTATCTGTTCGAAATTTCTCTTAAAAAGTTGAATTAACGGATCCAGAATAACGAGCCTCTAGGCTATCTGAACCAGGTATAGAAACAGGTTTTAAGAAGTGAAAGATTAAAGGCCAACGTCAACTTAAAAAATGCAAGGCAAAACACTAAAGAAGCAAAAATTCGGCGGAAGTCGAAAGACTAAACGGCACATCCGGCTCTGAATCTAAGTTCTGGTTACCATAAATCTTTCTGTTATTTGTCAGTGTCTTATTATTCTTTTATTTCCTTCTCATCATTTCCCGCCATTTTGACAATTTCTTTAAAAAAGTAAAAAATTTGGCGCCTTCGAATTGCATAACGATATAATTTATAAAATCGGGAAAAATAAAAAATAAGGAAAGTAAGCCGAGAAAGATTGTAATTCATCACTTCGTGTCCATAACCATATGCCAATTCAATAATAACCATGAAAATGCCGAAAAAAGAATTTAGGAAGAAGAGGGGTCACTTAAAAGGGTAATAATGAAGGAGGGGGGGGGAGATTGTAGATGAACAAAAAAGATAAAAAAATTTTTTGAAACTAAAAAAATATTTTTAAAGAAAACCCCTCAAAAAAATTTTTTTATTACTTTTTTGCTTCTTGGAAAAAATAAGTGTAACACTTGGCCTATTATTAATCCGATTGTTGCTTGTCTGCTCGTTAGAAAAGAAGCAACAATAAGTTTATTATACAAACAATTATTTCCAGCATTTTTTACTCTTTTTCTCATCATCTCACTACACTTTTAGAATGAGAAGGCTTCTATAATTAATTTACATCTTTCCGGAAGCAGACATAAAACTTCCGGAAAGTTTATATTTTTTAATACAAAAATGCTCTATTTCCGGTTTTGCAACGGATAACTTTCTCTCTCTCTTTTACTCTCTTCTATTTTTACTTTAGCATAATATTCGCGCTCTCTTTTTCACACTCATTTTCATCCTCACAAAATTTATTTGAGAGAAGGGGGAGAGGGAGAGGAATAAAACCAGTCACCTCTCTCTCATTTCCTTTGTTTGGCCAATCGCTTGGCCATTTTAGCTCATCCGCAATCTTCACCCTTTAAAAAAACTATATAACGGCTTAGTCAACATTAAGTATATAACAAAGAGACTAAAAAATATACAAAAATATGTTACTCATTCTTTACCCTCATTCTTGTATATATTGATCTACAATTGTTGTATTTTTTTGACTTGATCACAAAAAAATTATTATTTTTTGTCTAAAAAATAATTGTATTATTACGTGAATATTTTTGCGAGACACAACAACAAAAACATAAAATTTCGAAAGCAGACAATAAAGTTTCCGGAAAGTTTCAGCAGAAATAATTAGAGAAAAGATGAGCGACAGAAAAATTTCTAGACAACATTTCCGGAAAAATATAACATAACTTTAAAGTGAGAGAAAGAAAATCTTTCCGGAATACTACTACTTTGCTTTAAAGGCAGACAACATTTCCGGAAAATCATCACCTTTAAAGAGAGAAAAGTTTCCGGAAAAACACTACACTATTTTAAAGATAGACAGAACTTTTCCGGAATGAGAAACAACATTATTGAAAGGATAGACAACATTTCCGGAAAGAAAGACTACACTTTTAGAGAGATAAAGAAAGCTGCTATAATTAATAAATATCTTTCCGGAAAAAGATATAAACCTTCCGGAATTATCACTAGAACACTAATTTTTACTCTTTTTCTCTTCCAAACAAATGCCCAGTGTCCAACATTACAATCCCCATGTAGATGTGCCCCTTCAATATACGAACCAATAGCTATTATTTGTGAAAAGGCTGGCAGTTTAGAAAATGCTTTAAGGGCAGCCCAACCTGCCAGACATTTATCAATTGATTCTCTAAGTATTTTGGATACTGCATTGCCTTCTTTACCTTCAAATGCTTTTTATGGTTGGACTGTATGTTTTTTTGAATATTTTAAAAATTAAAAAAATTTTTTTTAAAAGATTCTCCGTCTTGTATTAAATCGAAATACTCTTTCACATGTTTTGGATGGGGCTTTCAATGGTAATTTGGTTGATTCTCTTGTAGAGTTGGACTTGTCAGAAAATTCTCTTTCACAGATTGGGACACAGGTGTTATTTAAAAAAATATTTTTTTAATGCTGCTAATGTTTTAATAGAAGCCCGACTCTATTAGAGCCCTGCCTCCCCTCTCCTATAGTAGAAATCCATCTCCAGTAGAAATCCAGAAACCCAACCCTAATAGGAGCCCATCTCCAATAAAATTCCACACCTTATTAGAAGCCCATCTCCAATAGAAACTCATCCCCAATAAGACCCCCCAATAAGACCCATCTCCAATAGGAGTCCATTTCCAATAAAGGGCATCTCCAATAGAAACCCATGTCCTTTATTTTACTTTATTTTTTAAATATATTTTTTTTCAAGTTCGGCGGCCTTTCCCAACTTCGAAATCTTCGAAAACTTTATTTAAATAAAAACGGAATTTCTCAATTACCAACAAATTTGTTTGCCGAATTTTTAAGCAGAGAAACTTTATTAAAATTAGAATTGAGAGCAAATCATTTAACAGACCAATCATTTGGGACAACATTACAACAAAATAATGAAGGGACAAGTGTTTTCTCGCCTTTAAAAAATTTACAAGAATTGAGTTTGGAAACAAATCAATTAACAATGATTCCAAGTAGTGCTTTATCTGTTCAGAAAGAAACACTTAAAAATTTAAATTTGGGATTAAATATGGTGAGGAATTTATTTTTTTAAATTTATTATTAGAGAGGGGAAAGTATGTAACGGGTTAACCCGAAAGCTGGACCTTTTTGGTCCGGTAACCGCCCGAGAAGTTTTCGAAACCCGACCCGGAATATGGACTTCTTCCTCCTCTAATCCCCCAACTAACCCTACCCTCCGGACCTTTTTTTAGACCCGAAACGCGAGTCGACTTTTCTTCTTAACCTATAACATCCCTAGTTTTTAATAGTTGAGAATTTTGGAGTTACTATTGGTTACATAAATCTATTAAATACGCGGAATGTCCGCAAAAAATTGTCCGCAAATTTTCTTTTTGAATTCAATCAACTTTTCCTTTTTAAAATTATTTTTAAATCTTTTTTTTTAGATAAAAGACGTGCCTATTAGTGCATTAAACTTCCCTCAGGTATTTTAAAATTCTTTCCAATTGATTTTTTAATTTTTTCAGTTAAGTTCTTTATCACTTGAATTCAACGGTTTATCTGTTATTGTCCCACAAGCATTTCAGCACGTTCCAAAACTTGAATATCTTTACTTGACTGGAAATAAATTTCCTGCTTGGTCGTCAGAAATGTTTAGGTTTTAATTTTTAAAAATATTTTTTGTTGTCCGCAAATATTTGCGGACAAAATATTTTATCCGCAAATATGTCCGCAAAAATATAAAAATTTTTTCAAAAGATTTATTACCGAATTAAAAACTCTTGGAATTGGAGAGACCCCAATTTCTGTAATTCCTACAAATGCTTTTGTACATACTCCAAATTTGATGCGGTTGGAAATGTCTGAAGCGGCTGTGGTTTCTTTTAAATTTTTTAAATTAAAAATTTTCTATTTTTCAGGACACAATAGAGCCTGGAGCATTTCAAAGAACTCCAATAATCCAAGCAATTGTATTAAACAAAAATAGATTAACCAGGTTTTCTTAAATTGTTAATAGAGTTGTTGGTTCTTAGAAAATTTTTGGATATCCTTGGACAGGGCAGAAGAATTGAACAACCGAAAATTTATCGTTTCTTCGGTTCCGAACCGACAACCTTTAATTATGAATGACTTTTTAAAATTATAATTTTTCAAGAATTCGTAGTGACATGTTCCAAGGACTCCAAGAATTGTATTCGTTGGATTTACAAGGAAATAGACTAGAACAAGTGGAAAATAAAGCATTTGCTAATTTACCAGCGCTTAGACATCTGGATATTAGGTTGATTTTTTTTTGAACTTTTATTTTTTCCGTAAATATTCTAATGAAGTCTTGGGCATTTTTAGTGGTCTTCTAATAGGAGATGAACTTCCATTACAGCCGGGGGCAGCCGGGCTTCTTTTGGAAATGGGGGCTTCTATTAGAATAGAACATTCGGGCATTTTATATTCCTTATTTTCTAGTTACAACCTTCTTCAAACTTTACCTATGGATACTTTTGAAGGAACTTTTGAACCGACAAGTGACGATAGACGTGTAATTTATGCTTGTGGTATGCTTCTTTGAATTAATAAAATAAAAAAAAATTTTTTTTAAAGAAAATCCTTGGCTTTGTGATTCCAAATTAGAATGGTTTAGACAAATGTTACGCGACAATTTGGATATTGATATAGGTTTGGGGGGTTTTTATTTGGGATTTTTTTTGATTTTTTTAAGATAAACCAGGGTGTGTAGCTGCTTGTGGACCCAGCCCAACAAATTGCCCTCCAGAAGGAACGCCTCTCAGGGCATTAGATTTTTGCCCATCACAGGAAGGGACAGTCGAGCCAATGCCTCTTGTTGGAACAGCACTTTCGCTTGTTGGATGGATTATTTTGGGTTTTCTTTTATATTTTGTAGTGGTTATTCTCTGCTTCCTTAGTCTCTAGAAAAAAGTGCAAGTGTTCCCTCTGACTGGGATTTTGAAATAAATCGAACCTATTACCTGATGACATTTAAAATCTTGAAAAAGGACTTGTTAATTTTTTTCTAGGGACCAAAATAAATCAGAAGATTACTAATTTTTGGGGGTTTATTTATTTTTCCTTCTTTTTAAAGTAACCATAATGACTGTGCTTATAATTTCTATTTGTTTAATGGCATTAATTCGTTATGGAATGAGCCATAGAAGAAAGAAAATTAAAGATGCAGAAATTGAAGATGAACAAAGAATAATGTCTTCGGCATCTGCGGGTATTCAAATTATTTTAATTTTATATAATGCAGTTACGAAAAATACAAGATTAAACTGCTTTTCTATTTTTATTTAAAGTGGGTTTTTTGTTTTACGTTGAAAGTAGACAAGGTGTAGTGGTATAGTTGTAGGATTCACCCCTTACCAATAGAGGTTCGAATCCTCTCAAGTCCCTTTTATCTTCTTTTTATCTTTTTAACATTTTTAGCTCACTTATCATTCAAAATTAGTTTATAAAAATTTTTAAATAATCTTTTTTGATTACCCAGAATTTTATAACGTTGTAAAATTAACTATAAAACGTGAAAAATTCTAGATTTTCATTTTTTAGCCGCTTCCGCTTATCATGGTTCTACATTGCCTAGAAATACATATCATCCTTCAACTGTTTATGGTTCTCCAGCTGGCATAGATTTAGATTTACCACCAGCACATAATTTGGAAGAAAGACACCATCATTATTTTCTTTAAATATTTTCCTCATTCTCTTTAGCTTTTGTGTATTGTTTTTATAGCTTTCCTGTATTTTGTTTGAGTTTTTACAATTTAAAAGGTACTTATCAATAAGTAGAATATAAATATACAATTATCGAATTCAAATCTGATTTGGATTAGTTATAGCTCTTTCGAAAGGGCATGAAAAACTGTATATAAGAATCCGTGTGCAAATCTTTTAGCTATAAGTCCCGCCATATGTTTATTTATTTAGAGATGTGCGCAAGGCAATTTAATTATTTTATTTAAAGTTTAATAAATTATTTAAGTGAATAGTAATAGGATTATAAAGATGCCTAAATTCCTTAAAAATTTTCAAAAAATATATACATTCTAATTGTAAGGCTATAAAAATAACAAGTTTTAAGGGAATGCCACACAAATTACACAACTACAACAATAAATTTGTGTGTAGTTCATAAAATTAAATATATACACAAAAATATATTTAATTTAAGCAAGTCTCGATTCTTGTTAAAATAAAGATTGTGAAGACCCCGCGAGGAAAAAAATATTTTTTTAAATTTTTCTAGAAACTGAATTGCTTGGAACCGAGACTTTTTAGTACTTGAAAAAAAGATTATAAAAAAAATAAGTAGATAATTGGCAAGACAAAAAAAAGGAAAAGTAGAAAAAAAGGTTTAAGTATATAAACAACCTGAGAAAATTAAAAAAAGAAAAACAAGAAAAATTTAAATAATAAAAATCTCAAAAAAGGGGAAGATAAAAAAAGGAAGGAGAACAACCAATTAAATAAATTATTAGAGACGCCCAGGCCAAAAAAAAAGAAAAGACTGACAAGAAGAACACAAAGACCCGTACAATAAACCAGATCCCAAAAGACACCCCCCCTTCCCTCCCCGAAAAAATTTTTTTAATTAAACCCAAGGATTCCGGACGTCTCTAAAAATTATTAAAGATTAAAACAAAAAAACCTTGTTAAAATTTGAGAGAAAAAAATTGGTTGCCAATAAAAGAACACAATAAAATAAAAAATTTTTAATTAATGTTATTTGCCTTCAATTGTAGTTGTTGATTGTTCACCATTTCCATCAGTTTTTTGCTCATCACAAAGTTTTAAGGTTGTTGCTGTTGTTGGTATTGCTATTGTTGTCGATGAACCCTTCTTTTTAATATTTTCCTAGAAAAAATTATTTTAAAAATGTTTGGGAATTTGTCCGCAAATTTGGTTGCGGACACTTTTTGCGGATTGTCCGCAAATTTTTTGCGGACAGAAAAAATTTTTCTAGACAAAATTTAAAAACAACATAAAAACCTCTTTTCTATTGTCATTTCCATCGATCGAAACTGATTTAGGATGCATCATAAATCGACGTGTTAAACGATGTAAACGACGTGTTGTTGGTGTTGTAGCAGTTGCGGGCAATGTTTGGGAAGTAGAACCATACAAAGTTTGAATTCCAGGATCACCAGGAATATTTGATGTTGGCGATAAATTATTACAAGAGTTGCTGGATTCCCGTCTTCCTTCAAAAAAATAAAATTTTTAATTCCGGAAAAATTTTTGTCCGCAAATTTTTTGCGGACAAAAAATAAAAAGCGGACAAAAAACTAAAAAATTAAAAAAAAATTAAAAAGAACTTTTTTCGGCATGCTTTCGATGTCTATAATGTTGATATAATTGACGCCATTTTTCTGCAGCTTCAGCAGTCATTTTTGGTGCAGTCTGTCCCAATCGACGACACATCAAGTTTTCATGAAGATTACGACATACCTTTAATTTAAAAAAATTTGATATTTTTTGATTTAATATTTGAGTTAATTAAGGATGTTAGGCTTATAAAAAAATTCAAAAATTTTCCAAAAAAATTCTAACCATAAAAAATAATTTTATGACACCTTTAAGAAGGGAAAAAACGTCTAACTCGCCTCGGGAGTCGAACCCACGAGAAATCAACTAAAAACGAGAAACTTAACCACTATACCACCGACTTATTAATTAGCTTCCCTATTTTTCTCAATTTATTTAATTAAAAAAATTCAAACCTTATAATGTATTCCAATTAATTCAACACCTCTAACCCACAAAATATATCCACGACTTATTGGACGTTTTTGAATTACACCAAAATTTGTTTGTTGATTTTTTGAAGGTTTTCTTTTTGGAATTCCTCTATAGAAAGTTAACCATTTTGGAAGTATTTTCTTTGACGGAATTGATGCAACAATCTTTAAAAATAGAAAAATTGAAGGAGAAATCAGCGGAAAAGGGAAGGAAATTTATAAAAAAAAATTCGAAAAAATTTTTTAGAGTAATTTTAAAATATTTTATCAAGTTTCTAGTTCGAAAAAAGCTTCAAAAAAATTTTTTAAATTGGAATTTTGGGTAGAAAATAAATTTTTTTTCGAAGGAACTGATTGGGACAAAATGTCATCTCAAAAAAATTTAAAGACCTGTCCAAGTACTAATTCAAAAATGCCTAATCCAAAACAAAACATCCATTGACTAAAAAAAGTTTTAAAAATTTATTTAAAAAAAATATAAACCTAAAAGTTAGAGGAGCAGTTGAAAACCATTTTCCACCAAATTGAACAATTAAAATTTGTGCAATAAATGTAGATGTCCAAATAATACAAAACATTCGATTTGATAAAAGATGCTGAAGAAAAAAATAATTTTTTTGGATAAAATGTCTTTTAAAAAATTTTTTGCGGACAAAAATTGCGGACATTTTCTCCCTCAAAATTTTTTAAAATAATTTTTGGGATCAAATGTCACCCCTTAAAAAATTAACAAAAAAAAACCTTAAAAACATTTCTTTCTCCATGTACTTTTCTTGAATTAATTTCATTAAATAGCGTCATCATAACAAAAGTATTAAATATAATAGTAAAATGTTCCGTTGGTGGAGCAAAAAGGGGAGCACCAATACCAGAAGAAATTGAAAATAATTTAGGGCCTTGAAAGACGAGGAGTATTAAAATTGTTAATTGAAAGAGTGCATGACATCCAATATTTTTTATCTTTAAAATTGAAAAAAAAATTTTTTTAATTAATAAAAAAAATTAATTGCGGACAAAATTTGCGGACATTTTCTCCTCGAAAATTTCAAAAAAAAAAATTTTTTTTCGCAATTTTGGGGACAAACTGTCACCTCAAAAAAATTCTCATAAAAACCCTTTATAATATAAAAAAATTTTTCGGAATTTTTGGGACAAAATGTCACCTCAGAAAAAATTTTAAAAATTTTTTAATTAAAAAATTAAATACCATAGTACGAGAAATCAAGGGTTTTTTGCGTCCATAAGGCTTTCGTTGTAATAATTCTTCTGTTGGCATTTCTGTTGCTAAAGCCAAGGAGGCTAATGTGTCCATAATTAAATTCTAAAATGAAAGAAATTTCAAAAAAAATTTTTTTCAAATTTACCAGCCAAAGCATATGAACAGCTTTTAATGGAGAATCACCAATAGTACAGGCACAAATAAATGCTGTTAATACGGCAACCTTTAAAAAAATTTTTTAATCGAAAATATTTTTGCGGACAAAATTTGCAGACAAAAAAATTTAAAAAAAATTAAAAAAATCACCATATTCACAGTTAATTGAAATTGTAAAAATTTTGATATAGAATCATAAACATTTCTGCCCCACATTACTGCCTGAAAAAAATTAGAATTGAAAAGGTGTCCATTATTTAAGAAAAAATTTGCGGACAAAATTTTGCGGACATTCTCGTCAAAAAAAATTTTTTTAATTTTTTGCCGACGAACCTACGGACATTCTCCACAAAAAATTTAAAAGAAACCTTAACAATTGAAGTAAAATTATCATCAGTCAAAATTATATCAGAAGCTTCTTTAGCCACATCAGTACCAGCAATACCCATAGCAAAGCCAACATCTGCTTTTTTAAGTGCCGGTCCATCGTTGGTTCCATCTCCTGTTACTGCTACAATTTCTCTTTAAAATTTGTAAAAATCAAATAAAAAAAATTTTTTTTTAAAAAACCTTTGCGGATTTAATTTACTATCAATTATTCCTTTAACTAAAATATATTTATCGGTAGGTTGTGCTCTAGCCAAAACACGAAGACGGGGCCAAATCTTTAAAAAAAATATTTTTTTTCATTTTTTAAAATTTTTAAAAATATTAAAAAACATTTTTGGCCACTTTAAATCAAAGGAGAAAAGATTGAACACAAAGAGGATTCGAACCTATGACTAAAAACCTTCGAATCAAACACACTACCAACTGACCCACAGACTAACTTAATCAGATTTGCTTTTTTCATTACTTAATTAATCCACAAAATTCCGAAAATTATTTTCAAATTTTCATCTATGTGCCGGTCCCAAATTAATTTTTAAAAATTTTAAAAAATTTAAAAAATCTAAAAATTAAAAAAAATACCAAATCAAATTTAGCTTGATCTACTTTATCATTTTCATCTTTAATTTGTTTATTAAATTCTTTTCCATCAAGAACAAGAAAATCTTCTCCAGGCGAAATAATACCACAACTTATAGCTATTGCTCGAGCAGTCATTACATTATCTCCAGTAACCATTCTTACAGTTATTCCAGCTCTTTTACATTTTGCAATGGCTGCGGGAACTTCATCGCGGACCTGTGAGAAAAGGAAAAATTAAAAAAAAATTTTTTTAGAAAATTTTACTGGATCTTGAATTCCACAAATTGCTAATCCAACAAGTTGTGAAGCTATTTCTTGCTCATTTTCCCAACAGATGTCTTCTTCAGAATGAATTTGGATCTGTTAAAAAAATAGAGAAAATATTAAATTTAGAAAACTGGGATATTAAGGAATGGGTTTGGCTCGAAGATTCGGATCCCAAGCCAAGAGATTTGAAAAAGGTCGAAGCCACAACACGCTCAATATACCCCTAGTACTGCTTGGAGTCGGAAAGCACTAATGGAGATAGAAATTTTGGGTTGGGCAGAGGTTGAGAATTCTCCAAAATAGACTTGCAAATGCTGTCAATAAAGTCAGAACCCCCCAAATTGTTAAAAAATATTTTTCTAAACTGATTGTAAGGTCATGTTCCCTCCTCGAAAAAAAACCCAAAAACTCTATCAGATCAAAAATCAAAAATATATTTCTTACTTCAGACTCTGTAGCACTTCTAACACTATCCAAAATATAATCTTTATAGGCTATAGTTAATGTTCTTAAACCATCTTCTGCCATTTTATGAATTACTTGTTGTGAAAGACGTTCTTTTGATTCATTTTTAAATTCTTCTACAGCCCCATTTGAATCAACAAAAAATTGACAACGATTTAAAAGAATTTCTGAAGCACCTTTACAGAATAATCTATAACCTATTAATTCGTCAGAATTTTTGTTTTTCAATTCAATAACAGTCATCATCATTTTACGAGAGGAATTGAATGTATAGACTGAAATAAAAAATAATTTTTTTAAGTTATGCAAATTTTGGGGAAGTAAGAAGGATATCGGGGGATTTGGGTGGATTAAGAAGATATCTATGGATTTGAAAGATATCGAGAAATTTGGAGACAAAAGGATACCAATTGGAGGATTAAGAAGATATTAAGAGCTTGGATGGATTAGAGCGATTAAGAGTAGGGTTGGATTTTTCGAATCAGGCCGACGTTCGAGTCATTTTTTCGGGCCTCATTTTTATAAAAACTGGGCCGCTCGAGTCTTTTTTAAGCAAATCTTCGAGGCCCGGTTCTATCTTTCGAACCGAGCCGGGCCCCCAACCCTAATTAAGAGGTATAGCTTGGGATTAAAGAGATATTGAGGGAGCTGGAGGAACCTGCCTAAGAAAATGTTTCTCAAAAACAGCCTTAATAATCTGTATGGTAAAAACGAACCGAAGATCTCATTAAATTTAAAATCCAATTTTTAATAAAAATCCGCAAAAAAGTTTTGTGTTCGCAAATATTCTCCCCAAACCCCCCATTTATAAAAATAAATTCCACAAACCTTTATATAATTTTTCTTCTGGAAATTCTCTTCTAATTTCATCATAATCTCCCCCAATTTGTTTTACCCAACCCAAAAGTCCACATTCAGTTTTATTTCCCAATTGTTGTAAACGTTCTCCAATTTTCTTTGGTTCAACAATCATTGAATTATAAGCACAATTTAAAGTTATTGCTTCACTCAAAAGTAAACTGACATCTTTGGGTAATTCTCCTTTTGATGGTTGACTTTTTTCTGTATTGTAAAGACGTCCACAAACAAATGATTGAACTACAGTCATTCTGTTTGTTGTTAATGTTCCTGTTTTGTCAGAACAAATTGTTGTAGCTGTGTAAAAATTAAATTAGTTAATCAAAAACGACGAAACATTTGTGGCTAGGGTACTAGTGCTTCACCGGAACTGAAATTTTGACTGGATCAGGAACCGGATCCAATTTTTTAGTTCCGGAACGGAACCAAAAAAATCCCGAAACTTCTGGCCTACCGGAACCGGAACTTCCGGTGAAGCTCTAGTATAGACCCGTCGTGGAGAACTTTTCAGAGAAACCGGGAAAAGTAGGGTCAGGAAGTGGGAGTATGTCAAAAAGTGTGGTCAAGTAATCATCCTTAGGAAATCACCGTTAGCTGGGGACGGGGAATCGAGTACCAAACTAGTTACGAATTTGTAGTTGTCGCATACTTGTAGTCTAGTGTTGGTGGTTACGGGTATCCGGAACAGAAAAAACTTAAAAAACTCTGAAAGTTCAGTTCCAGTATCACACTTCTCAAAAAAATGATTTTCCCTCGAAAAAAAATTAAATTTATACCATTTCCCATAGTTTCACAAGCATCCAAATGTCGAACCAAATTATTGTCCAACATCATTTTTCGAACAGAATAAGTTAAAGATAAAGCAATTGCTAGTGGTAAACCTTCAGGTATTGAAATAACCAAACTAGAAAAAATTTAAAAATTACAAATAAAAATAAATTTACATTGTAACAGCAATAATAAAAAATTTAACAAAATTGTGTAAATGTTCCAACTAAAAAAAGTAAAAAAAATATTCAAAAAAATATTTTTAAAAAAACCTCAAAAATAGAACCAGTTTCAGAATATTCTCTAATGCAATATGGAATGATGAGTATTAACAAAGCCAACACCTAGAAAAAATTTTCAAAGAATTTCTAAAAAATTTCTTGCAAAGTCCGCAAATGTTTGTCCGCAATATTTGTTTTACCTTCTCGTTCTTTCCTTTTCTCCTCGCATGAAGTTTAAAAATTGTAAAACGATTAATAATGGAAAAGGTAAATATTAAGCAATTTTATAATATTGCGGACAAACATTTGCGGACTTTGAAAGGGGCTAATGCTTTATGTAGCAAAAAAATTTACAGCAACACTAGTTCCACAATAAATTATTTGAAGGGCTAAAGCAGACAATTTTGTTTGTAAAATTGATTTTGAATGAATATCATCCATATTTTCATCATTTGAAGAGGAAGACGAGGAAGAAGAATGTGAAGATGAACTAGAAAATGATGAGGTGTCTGAATCGGAGGAGGAAGTTGTTGTGGAGGAGGAAATATCTGGACGGCCACCACCCAGTAATGTCCTGAAATTTTGAAAAAAATTTTTGACATTTTGACACATTTTCTGGCAATTTTTGTATTTTTTTCAAGATGCGGACTCAAGTTGCAGATTTTTTATAAATCCGGCAAAAAATGCAGAATTTTAGACATTTTTTAATTTGTGGCATTTTTGGACTTTTTTCCAAAAATTTATTTTTTAAACATTTATTCAAATTCAAATAAACTTACATTATAATGCCCGTTTGTGAGTAAACTCCAACTGCCGTAATTACCATTTTTGCACTTCCCTCCATTGCATATGTGCCTAAAAAAATTTTTTAACGATAATAAAAAATTTTAAAAAACCAGAAAGCAAAGCCAAATCCCTTTCCAAACTTTTAGTAACATGTTCAGATTCTCCAGTTAAAGAAGATTCATCAACTTTAAGATCATTACTTTGAACTATTAAACCATCTGCTGGAATTAAATCGCCATATTTCACACGAGCAATGTCACCAACAACTAACTGAAAAAATTAAAAATAATTTTTTCAATAATTATTCTGTCTTGTTCATACGCTAAAGGAGACGGGTTGAGAACAGGGGTCGGTCGGAATTCCGATTTCCGACAGTTCCGATTTCCGAAATCTTCGTCATTTCCGACCGACCCCTGGTTGAGAAAAAAAGGTCGGCTCTAGTTTCGGGTGGGGGTTTCAAAAATTTTCTTCGGATTCGGGGTTTCCAGGTTAAAAACCAGAAAAAAGACTTTTCGGGTAAACAAATAGAATCAGTGGTTCCAAAGTAATCCGTCTCATCCCTCTTCCAAACTTACATCAGAAACAGGAATATCCATAGGTTCACCATCTCGAATTACCGAAAATTTTTGGCCTGTTTCAATTTTAGCTTGAAGATCTGAAAGAAACAAAAATTAAAAAAAAATTTTATAATTTAAAAAATACTTCTAAATTGCCTTTCCTTTGAGTAATCATTAATTGCTGTCACAAGGCACACGACAACAACACATAAAAGAATGGCAACTCCTTCAATCCATGCAGATTCATGCTCTTCTTTAGGTTGTTGTTGTTGATTTAATATGTCCGGCGGTTTTATTAAGGATAAATTGGAGTCTTTAAATTAGAAAAAAAATTTTTTGGAAAAAAATTTCGAAAAAATCGGTTCTTTTTTTAATTTCCCAAAAGTCCGCAAGTTTTGTCCGCAAGTCATGTTGACCATTTATAATGAAATAAATAATACTTCTAATACGATTTGCGGACTTTTGAAAGCACAAAGTAGGGTCGCCCCCGATATGCCCTCCCCGGCAAACCCAATATCCGAAGCTCTAGACCCGGAAAGTCAAGAAGACAGGGTCGGGTGCTACCCCAGTACCCCAGTATAAAGTGAAAGCACCAGAAAACCCCAACAAAATTCCCTCCTTTCTTACTCGATAAAGTAACAGGTAAAGGTTTGGCTGAGGCATTCCAATTTCTTTCTCTTCTAGCGACATTATTATTGTTCGTTTCAGTCTCATTTAATAATCCCTCAAGTCCAGTTGTTGTTGTCATATTCCCTCCAAAGTTGTTAGTGTTGTTGTTATTTCCTCCATTAACAGCAACAACACCTCCGCCTTGGCCAGGCTCGACAAAGGACAATAATAAAGAGACGAAACCTGCGACTATCAGGATAATTAATGTTGGATCCTTGAAAATTTTTTTGAAAATTTTTGAAATTTTTTTTTGAAAAAAGGAGGGTCTCTTTTAATCGCCTAAAAGCCGGCAAATTTAATCCTCAAAAAATACTAATCAAAAAAGATTATCAAAGTACCAAAATTATAACTAATCTACTGTTCATTATCAGCTTATTTTATTTTTTATTTTCTTTTTTATTTTCTTTTTTTATTTTATCAGTTGACGACTTTTAATAATCAAGCAAAAAAGTATGTGTAAACAACCCTCCAAAAAAATATTTTTAAAAATATTAAAACCCTCCAAAAATACACCTTGATAGCGTCGAAAAGAAGTCGCCAAAATGGTTTTGCTTTTGTACTTGGAATTGTATTTGGTCCATACTTTTCACGTCTTTTAGCCAATTCTGGTGAAGCAACATCTGATGGCAATCCCTTGATTGGATCTACACCCATTTTTGCACAAAGTCCTTCAATTCCTCCAAATTCCTCATTCACCTTTAAAAATCCCTTGGTTAACTCAACTCCAAAAATTTTTTAAAAAACCTTCAAAATAGCATCAGCCCCTCTAGATTCCATCAATTTACACAGTGTTTGTCTACTTGGCCAGGTAGCCGATACATCCTCTTTGATGCCCACAGATTTTGAAGGCTTCCGTTGTATTGACCCCAACATTTTCTGAAGTTTATTATTCTTTTTGAATAAATTCATAATTTATTTTTTAAATTAATTTTTAAGGTGTTTGATAAATAGAAGAAAGAGTAATTAACTGATGGATGATGAAAGCAACAAAAAAATTATTTTAAAAATAAAAAAAGAAGGAAATTAAGCGAAGGAATACAACTAAAAATGTACACAGTTATTTAATTTAATAATTAATTTTTGATAGCAAAAAAAGTAGCAAAAATTAATTTTTTTTCTGTTTCTAAAAATGAGAAGAAGAAACACTTTTTTTAATTTGGGTGAGGGAGGTGAAGAAAAATCAAAAAACGAGAATTAATTAATTTTAAGTGTCTCTAATTAATTTATTTATTGATCATAATTAAAAAATATTTTTCTTCTTCATTTAAAATTAATTAATGAAAGGAAAAGGTAAAAGTGTATTTTTGATTATTTCACAAATTTACAGTAAAGTTTTTTAAATCTTACTAGTAAACAATAGAAATAGTACATAATACTATATTTTTTTCTCTGTTTGTCTTAAACAAATAAATCAGAATTAAATGTGTTTTTAAAATCAGAAAAATTCTGGTTTGTGTTTTTCGGTTTAAATTAAATTACTATTTTCCGGAAAGTTCATTACATGTGTTTTCTTATTAAATAATTCTGATTTAATGTGTTTTCCGGAAAGTGTAAATGTATTATTTATCTAAAAATTCTGATTTAAATAATTCTGATGTATTTTCCGAAACATCAGAATTTTTTGTATTTTTTATATTTAAAAAGTTCTGATTTTTAAAATTCGCATGTGTTTTCCGGAAAATTAATTATATGTATTTTCCGGAAAGTATAATTACATGTGTGTGTTTTCCGGAAAGGTAATTACATGTATTTTCCTTATTAAAAATTCTGATTTAGATAATTCTGATACTTCAAATGTGTTTTCCGGAAATTTTAATTATGTATTTTCTCTAGCAAAATCAGAATTTATATTTACACCACGTCATTTATTAATTTAAAGAAATTCTGTTTTAATTGGAATATAGCCAGAAAAAGTGCTGACGGGGAGAAATAAACACATTCTCTTATTTATTAGTTTAAAGACGAATATATTAAAAGAATAATTTTAAAATAAATTGATTAATTTAAATAAAGAAAAGGATGATTAACATATGATTGAATAATGATTTATATTTTTATTTTAAGAGCGCGAAAATTTTTTTCTGAATTTTTTGTCTAAGAAAAAAAATAAAATAGTTAACCCCGAGGGCGGTTGATCTGCCAAAGAACAAAAATATTTTTATAGAAAAAAGGAAATGAGTAAGAATAATTTTTCAAGGGTACATTAAATAAACAAAAAATATTTTTTTCTATTTTTAGGGTCAACTAGAGACATTCTAAAAAATTCCTAGACAAGTCAGTTTAAAAAAGAAATTATTTAATGATATTTGGACTAAAAATGAGTAAAAGTATCCAGAAACACCTCGAAATTTTTTTTAAAAATTTTTTTTAATTTAAAAAAAAACCAGCCTCATTCCCCTCCTTACTGCAATAACCACCAACACCCCCTCCACCATCGTTGAAGACGTGACGTGCACCATTCAGCTTATTATTGTTGTTATCATCGTTTAAAACAGACATATAGGGCCCATTCTTTTCGAAGACTTTCATCTCCTGAAAAAAATTTAAATTAAATTAAGGGCAAAAATCTTTTCTAAGAAAAGTTGATGGGAGGGGAAAAAGTTCGGCCACTAGCCGGAATCGAACCTATAACCCTCGACAAAAAAGTTCAGAGCACTACTGACTAAGCCACAGAGTCAATATTTTTTGTTCCTTATTCAAATGACCCAAACTCACGTTAAACGTTTCAGGTTGAGAGAACAAAAAATTTTTCCAAAACAAAAAAAAATTTTTTTTGTTCTATTAAATAACCCGAGGGAAGTCTTAAAAACAAGCAGACACTAAAAATAATTTTTTAAGCATTTTAAAAATTAAGAGGGATGAGTCAGTCAAAATTCCCAAAATTAGTAAAAGTGAAATGACAAAAAAATAAGCGTTCCCCTCCCATAAATTATAAAAAAAGAAAGTCTAACCTTAAATTGTTTTTTTTTGACGAGCCTGGCCCTGGCTTCAGTGAAAATAATTAAAAATTTAATAAAACTTTTGCTGAAAAAAAAATAAAATTAAAAATTTGTATGAGTAATAATATAATTTGTGTGTCATTTTAAGAAATGACACACAAAAATTAAAAAAAAATTTTTTTATAGCAATTAAAAAGTGAAGGAGGATGTTGATAAATAAAATAAAGTAAAAGATATAAAAAAAATTATTAATGTTATATTGGACAAATAAACACACACAAAAGTTAGTTTTGAGGGTTTGAAAAAAATGTGATTAGAATATTTGGATGGGGGAAACTTAAACAACTAAACAACTAAAACTAACTCTCCTCTTAAAACAGTTAGAAAAACCCCACAACAAAGTATATTATACAATAAAAATGAGGAAAATGAGGGAAGGTTTTTGTAGAATGAGGGAAGGTATTGGGACTTTAAGGCGTGGGGTTGTTAGGGCGCTGCTGTCCTCGGAGTGATTTTTGCGGACATTTAACAAGCAATTGCGGACAATATTCAAGGAGCCGATTTTCTCAGAATTTTTTACGAATAAAATTTCTAAAATTTAGAAGATAGCCAAGAGAACCTGTAGGCATGCCAAAGAAAATTAAGGAGTATTTAAAGCGAGCGCCCAAAGTAACCCTGCGCCGTAAAAACCAAGAGAGGTGATTGCGTTATAAGAGGGGATGCGTTAAAATATAAGTCTCTCTCTCTCCTCTCTATTTATAATCCAGAAAATGTGTAAAATAAATAAAATATATACATAATCTGATTAAAAATATGGGGGAATTATAAACAAATGTTTGTAGGAATAAGTTGATGTAAAACGTACTAAAATGCTTTAAGAGAAATATAAAAAAAAACACGAGAAAAAACACGAGGGTTTTTTAGGGGTTTTAAAAAGTCATATGCAAAGAATCTGCAAGATAAATATGAGAAAAATAAATTTAAAAATAATTTGGAGGAGTTGCAAAAATTTGGCAACTGAAAGGATTCGAACCTGTAACCTCCAGTGAGAAAGTCAGAAGTAATACCGACTGAGCCACCGAGACAACATTTAATAATCCTTATTTAATTAACTTAAATCCTCACGGAAATTTTTTAAATATCAGAGAAAATTAAGAATTAAGGAACTCTAAACAATTTTTAAAAAAAGCTTTATAAAATAAAGAAAGAATATATTAAGAAAATATTCACAGAAAAAATTGAAAAAGTTTTTAAAATAATTCGCCAAACATATAAAACTTTTTGTTTAATTGAAAAAATTAATTTTAAGATAATTAATTAGGTATGAAAAGGTAAGCAGACTTACTAATCATTAGAAAATGAAAATTAAAAAAAAATTTTTTTTGGAAGAAAAAAATTAAAAAAGGAAGAAAAAAAATAATTTTTACAAGCAAAATGGACTTTTATCTTGTTTATGATTTTGTTTTTGGTAAACATTTTAAACGTTATCTATTGACTGGGTATTTACTTCCATATGATTTATTTAATTATGATGAGATAAAAATGTTGAATTTATTTTAAAAAATGTTTCAAAAGAAAAAAATAATTTTTTGAATAAGAAAATTTTTAAAAAATAATAAAGGCAACAGGAATCGAACCTCCAACCTACTCCGCCCAAAGTTCAAAGCTACCTACTGAGCCACCGAAGCCACACAAGGCAAGTTTAAAAAAACAAACCTTAATAATAAAATTAAAAGTCCATTTTCTTTTTTTTATTTCTGATTTTTAAATTCCGGTTAAATTTTAAAGTAAACAAAATTTGTTGTACCAAAAACGTACTTGAAAATTGTAAACAAAAGACCTTAAACTTGATACAAATTAACCTATAAATTACTGATTTTGGTAAATTAACCCCCGTTTATTTTCTTTTTTTAATTTAATTTCCGGCCAGTGTTAAAATAAATGAACTAAACAAAGAAAAGAAAAAAAAATTAAATTTTGCGGACAAACATTTGCGGATAAATTTGGATTCGGAAATGTTTGCCTGTTTTTTAGGGAAATTTTTTTAAGTTTAGAGGTCCTATTTTGGTCGGAATTAATCACAAATTTGTTGACAACTTTAAAACAAAAAAAGTTACAAGTTCAAAGGAGGAACAGAAATTCAAACCTAATAATAAAAAATCGAATATTTGCGGACTGGAATAGCGGACAAAAAATTTTGCGGATAAATTAAATTCGGAAATGACCTTTTAGATGCCCCATTCTTTTCATTTTCTTCCCCTATTTTCACTTGTCTTAATCTTTACAACTAATTCGACCAAAAAATGTAGTTCGGCCTCCTTTTTCATTTACTGTCCGCAAATGTTTTGTCCGCAACTTTTTCGAATCAAAAAAGGAAAAAAGAAGCGAAAAGAAGGGAGAAAAGACTGATTAAAAATTAAAAAGTGATGAATTAATAGGGAACGTTTAAAGTTAAAAAATTCAAAAAATGGGTTAAAAAAGAGAAGAGAAAAGTTGTTGGCGTTATTTTATCAATTTTTATCGTCATTGATGTTTTAAATATTTTATATGTTAGCATAAAAAATTATGCTTTTCTCTTCACTTTTTGGCCTTGAAAAAAGAGAAATGATGGGAGAATGAAAATGAGAGGGGGAAATATTCAAGGAAGAGCTGTTAAATTGTCTAATATAAACTATAATCGAAAAGTGGGTCACAAAATATGTATTAAAAATTGGAGGAGGTTCTGATTATGAATTTTGATTATTTTAATTTTTTTATTTAAAAAGAGAAAATGAGAGAATAAAAAATGAAATAGAGACAGATTTTTATTCAAAAAGTCCGCAAGAATTATCCGCAAAAGTACAACCGGTTAGTTGCACTTCCGCAAAAGTGCAAAACCAAGAGACAAAAGTACTACCGTAAATCCTCTAATAGAACCACACTTGCTTGTATTTTCAACCCTTTCATAGGGTGTTTCTATTAAAAAGGGTGGGGTTATATTAGAGGATTTACAGTCCGCAAACGGGCATCCTCCCCCAAGGACAAAAATTAATCATAGTTAAAGGTATTTAAAAATCAAATTTTATGATTATTAAAAAGTCAAAAAAATTAAATTAAAAAAAAGTTTATTCAAAAATGATGCAAAAAAATATACAAATTAAAACAAAAAATAATTCAACAATTATTCATCCGCCTCAGCATTAACAAAAGGATTCGCAATTTGTTCAATTCCATCGTTTGGAGCTATAACAGTTATGGCTGTTCCTAAAATTAAAAAAATATTTTTGAGAAGGGAATCCTTTATTTTAATGATCCCTAGAAAATGAGTAAGAAGTGTTTTTTGATATTTTTGAGGGTTGTCAACAAGTAATAGAAAGCATTGCCCGAATATGAGTCCAAATTTTATTTATTTCGAACCCTGAACCAGAATTAGACCTGGTGAGAAAACTCAAAAATATAAAAAAAACCATTCCTGCTCCTTTCCTTTTAGAGACCAAAAGAGTAAGTAATTAACAAAAAAAGTCTAGCAAGAAATTAAAAAAAAACAAACCTCTAGCGACAATTAATCCCAAACTTTTAGTTTCATCGGTTACTCGAAGAGGGTCTTCCGGATCCCTCAAATATTCAATTGCGTTGTCTAAAACTAAGTTTAACAGAGCATCGTATCCCTTTAGAATTCCGGAAGCTGAAAATAAAAAATAAATAATTTAGAAGAAAAAACCTTCTCTGCCTCCCTGAAGCTTAATTCGAACACTTTTGTCAATAAAACGTGAAAGGTCGACAATACTTTCTTTCTTCTTTTTGTTTGCGTCGTCTATAACCATTATAAATTTTAGGAAATTACTTAAAAATTTTAAAAAATATAGAAAACAATAGTAGAACAAGGAAAAACTCTTGAGACGCCCAAGTTGGCGCGCGGCCATAACGGCGCAAACCCATAATTTGCTAGAAAATATCTGGCCCTCATCAATTTTGGTAACAACCTCTTTAGCTCGATGAGAGGAATCGTTTAATACTAAATTTGTTAAGATTCGGACAACTTGAAGCATGTTATGGCTATGCGCCGTTATGGATCTGCGCCTACTTGGGCTGTACCCAAATAAAACAATTTTCCCCGCCTTACCATTTTTAAAGTTTATGTTATGAAAGAGACAATTTTATAAATATTTTTCTTATTTCCACTTTTACAACACTATTTTCATTTCTCTAATTATCTCGCATATTTGTGGCTCCCATACAAAATACCGAATTCTTAAAATATGGAATCTCAAAATCGCGAATCGGCTAAAAAAGCTCAAAATATGGAATCTCAAAATATCGAATCTCAAAATATGGAATAGGCAAAAAAAGCTCAAAATATCGAAAAATATCGACAATGCGGCAAAGGCCAGTTGAGTCTGAACAAAGTTGTGACCAACTTCTTCGTAAAAAAATTTTAAAAATAAGAGAAAGTATTTTTCTAAGGTAAAAAAATGTGCTGATTACGAATCTCAGCTCGGATTTTGAAAAAGTCGAATCCCGGACCCGAACCGAATTTCGAATCCCGAACCGAATTTCGAGTTTCCGAATGATAGCTCATCTGAAAGAGCACGTCGAGCTGCATCGAATGATACCAAAATCAATGAAATCCGACCTGATTGGACTGAGTTACAGATCCCTGAATAATCAGAAAAAGACCTGCAGCGGCACTCAAACGGCCCTTTTCGTTTTTAAAAAATCGACATTTTTAACTACTTTTTAGCCGATTCGGTATTTTGAGCTTTTTTGGCCGATTCGCGATTTTGAGATTCGATATTTTAAGATTCCATATTTTGAGCTTTTTTGGCCGATTCCATATTTTGAGATATTTTTACCGATTCGCGATTTTGAGCTTTTTTAGCCTATTCGCGATTTTGAGAATTCGGTATTTTGTGCGGGCACGATATTTGTCTCTCATCATTTCATCATGCTCTCTCATTGATCTTTCTCTACTTTCTTCTTAATTTTTAATCACACTTTTTTCGAGAAACTTTTAAAGAATTTTTAGAAATTTTAGGGGTTTTTGGGGTGGGTTTTTGCAGTTTTTCCTTGTTTTTTCCGGGTTTCCTTGTCGATTTTCCGACCTTTTATTTTAGTTAGAGAGTAGTTTCTGCCTTTCCTTCAAGAAAAAATGTTCAACCTGCAAGACAGAATTAAGGGTATTGATATGGACCGTGACTACCACGCTACTCGCATTTCTATTCGAGATAAATTGCTTTCTCAAGGTTTCTTTTTTTAATTTTTAAATTTTTAAATTTTTCTTTCTAATCTTCAAAGAAATCAAACAACTCGAGCAAAATCTTCGAGATCTTCCAACCTGCAAATTAACTTTTCCATCAACTTCAAAAAATGGGGAAGTTAACCTTCACGAAATGGACTTGATTGTTAAACCAAACACTGGGTTGTACAAAGGAGGAGTTTTTAAATTTAAAATTACTGTTCCTCCAGAATACAATAATGTGGTTTGTTTTTGCGGTAATATTGAACCTGACAGACCCCCTTTTTTTTCTTCCCAAGTTTCTTCCTATATGTTTGCAGAAGGGTCAGTCTTCCTTTAATTTTTTTATTTCCATTTAAGGGGGAATAAAAATTAGTTCCTTTCGATTGTTTGTAGGAAAATATAGAAGGGCAACTGGGATGGAAGAAATGAAAAAGTCTGACCATTCTGTAAAAATATAGGAGGGAAACTTGGGGAGGAAGAAATGGGGTCTGTCAAGTTCAATATTACCGTTTTTGCTTTCAATAAAGTTTTTATTTGACTTCTATTTTTAAGCCGCCATTAGTCAAATGCTTGACTAGAGTCTGGCATCCTAATATCAACGAAGATGGAAGTATTTGTTTAAGTTTGTTGCGTCAAAACTCTCTGGATGGATTTGGTTTTTGCTTAAAAATTAAAAAATCTTTAAAATCGTTTAAAGGTTGGATGCCTACTCGCCGTATTCACGACGTTATTCTTGGCCTTGACCAGCTCTTTACCGACCTGATAGACTTTGACGATCCTCTCAATGCTCAAGCTTCTCAACAATGGCAAAGCAACAAGGTTTTCTTTTTTACATTTGAGAAGGCTTACAATTCTCTTTTTAGGAGACGTTCGCTGCTAAAGTCAAGGAGTACATAAACAAGTATTGCTCAAAACATTGAAGAAGACAATTGCTCGAAGATGCTTTCTATGGACCATCATGGCCTATCATATTTTGTTTTGAGAAGAAAATACTTTTATGTTAGGGTTGACCCCGACCTCAAACTGGACCTAGACATTCGCAAAATCTTTCTGATCTTACAAGGGAACCTTCCGACTTTTCACCATCGTGTAGAGATTTTGATAATCTATTGGCCATTTTTTGTTTTTCCCACTAATCCCTAAATAGAAAAGTTATAGCTGATCAAAATTTCAGTATTCCACCTCTACAGCCTCGACAAACCCAGACTCCTTAACTTTCTACCCTGTAGGGCCGGGGTCTAACCCTATTTTGTAATACGTCATTAAATTTAAATTGAATTTATTTTTATCGTAATTCATTTTGTTTTTTCTTTAAATTTCTTTGGATTCATAAAAAAAATTTTTAATTTTTTTATTATTTTGGTTGACAGCCAGCTTATTTTCTTTCCTTCTAAATTCTAATTAAAAAATTACACAAAAAATAGTTTAAAATGTCTTCTTCTGATCTTAGACCAATTGTCTCGTTTGAAGTGGTGCCTGAGCATTGCATTCGAAATGATCAACTTGAGCTGATTTTGGGCACCCCGATAAACCAGGTTATTTAGTTTTGAAAGCTCTTTGATTTTTCTTGTTTTTAGGTTATTAATGGAATCCAAAACGTCTACAGAACAATTAAAAATGTGGAATTAACTTATTGTACAAAGGTTTAAATTAAGAGTATAGATTTTTTGGATACCTTCCTCCTATGAAAGGAGTGCCGGGAGTCATATCCTAGGAATGTGATATGATTTTTTCCTCGAAATGGGGGGGGGGCAACATTATAGGGAAGTAAGGAAAAAGCTATCTCGTCACTTCTCTCACATAAACTCATACTGATTCGGAAAATTGAATGATTGACATGAAAGGGGAGAATGACTCTGACTTATGTTAGACTAACATAAGGGGAGGGGGTATATTTATAATTAAAAAAATAATTTTTTAGGAACCTTTTGGACGTGATATAACAATTACTCTTCAAAATAATGGCATTCGAATGTATTTTGATTCGCACAGTCAAGTATTAAGAATGATTGAATTATTCGATTTTTCACATGTTACTCTACACTATTGGTATTTTAAATTAATTTTTATTTTTTAAAATTTGTTTTTAAAGTCATAATGTATTTTCATCTCCGGAGGAGCCTGCAGATGTTGGAAAAGTTGAAAAATGTTTTGGGGCGACGGTTCCTGGAGGTTTTGAATTTTTGACAAATTTGTTGAATTAAAAAATAAATTTTCTAGTTTACGACGAAAAACAACAAAAATACATTATGAATTGGCGAGGCAAGTTTTCTAGACGTTAAAATAAATTTAAGATTTTGAGGTGTGTTTGGGATGATTTGTCTTATTTTCTGTTTTTATTATAGTAGTGTTGGGGGTTTTTTCATTAATAGGTACTCTTGGTTTCCGTTTATAACTTGTTTGTGACCCTAGGTTTTTGGTTTCGGGTAACTCGCCATAAACACCGCGTTCCGGTTAGGTTAACCTTCCTTCAACCTTTAATTTTTAAAGTTTAACTATAAGCCCGGCTTTTTTAGAATCTCGTATCTAATATAAAATTGACTCTATTTAACGGAATATCAGAGACATGGTGATAAATAGAAGCCCAGGGCTTAGAGCATTTTTGTTTAATTTATTCCCTTTCTAGGAGTCTCGTTCTGTTTCCCAGCCAAAGAAAGCTCTTCAGTTCAAGCTAGTTATGCTCATGGACTAAGTTCACTCAGTTTTGCAAGTTCAGCACTTCCTCAACTTGAAAGAATGACTTTATTTAATGGTCTATCTCCTGCTAAAATGAAGTTTTTTTTATTTTAAAAATTTCTTAAAAATTAATTTAGAACACCAGAAATTCCTCAAGTTGTATATTGTGGCAATCCAAGAATAGTATTGGCAGAAAATATAAATTCGGAAGATGGACGTTTAATTGGACTTAAAATCAAGTTTAAAATTGAAGGTTTTTTGGGCTTGAAATAATTTTAAAAAATTTTTTTAATTTTAGAAGTAACTGATCATTCGGTAGATGAACTTCAATTAGTTGAAATAGAAAGACCAATATTTTTTAATGATACACAAGAGGTTTATTTTTTAATTTTCTGGTAATATTTAATTTTGTCTTCCCTCTCTTCTTTTCTTTTTGAGAGGGCGCTGAAATACCAAACATTTAAGGCTGCCAATATCAAATTGGAAAATAAAACATACATGAGTATTTTCCAATTTCGTAAAATTTTTTTAACAAAGGTGGAGGTGCTCCGTCCCTCATTTTATAGTATTTCGGCATGTCTTTTTGGGGTCTTTTTTCCTTCCTCAAAATTCTAAAAATGTCCAGGCTTCCTTTTTCAATTTCGCTTTATTTACTTATTGTATTCAACCAGTCGCAATAGAAGAATCGCTTAGATTATTAGATAGTTGTGCCAAGGAAATTAAGGTAAATATGTTGAGGAAGGAAAAATAAGAAGGGGGTACATAATTGAATATTACCTAACTTTTTTCTTAAAATAAAAAATTGTCTTTTTTGAAGGCTGTAATGACTAAATTGGGTGCTCCTTCAAAAATTTATTACAAATCTGAAGAAAAAATGTTAATACAACGAAGTACTACAGGCTCGGAGAGATTAAATGATGGAGAAGATGACAAGGCCGATTTCTTTTTTAATTACTTCTCGTTGGGAATGGTTGGTTTAATCTTTAAAAATTTTTAAAAATTATTTTTGGGGGTTTATTTTTATCAAAATATTTTTTATAAAATAAGGGGGAATGAAAAAATAAAATTCTTTTGAGCTAAAATATTTGTGAAAGAAAGAGAGACATTTGAATTAAATATTTTTTTCTTTTATTTTTGGGGGACAATAAATTTTCAAAAAAATTTCGAAAAAAAAATCAAAAATTTTCGAAAAAATTTTCAAAACATTTTTAATTCAAATGATCTTCTTCTCTTTCTCAAACAAATTTTTGAGAGAATTTTTTTCAAAAAAAATTTTTTTTATTTAATTTATCAAAAAGTTAACATAGTCCTTCTCTCTTCTTCTTCTTGGGCAATTATTCTTCCTTTCCCAAAAGTTTTATATTCTTCATAAATCTTTTTTTCTTTTTCTCTTGGCGTGACGCAATTATTATTAAAATAATTATTATTTATTAAATTATCCTCTTTCAAAGTATTTTGTTGAATTAGTAAGGGTTGTTGTTGTTGATTTATTATTCGAAGCAAGTTAGTTGGGGGAAGAGGTTGGGGTATTGATATTTGACTTCTTGATGTTGATTGGGGGATTTGACATTCTAATAGTGTTGAGGGAGGTGAATTATCTGTGAATTTGATGAGGGATGTAAAATTAATTTTTTTGAGATGATTTGTTTAGGGGAAATGTTAGAAGAATTTTTCTTTGTTTTTACCTAAATCCTTAATTTTTGAATTTTTTGAGATATGTTTAGGATTTTTTATTTTTGGGTTGGAAGGGAGAGGGCTGTATAGGATTAAAAAAAAATTTTTTTTAATCTTTTGGTATTTTTTGTGTTTTTTGGGGGAAGAGGGGGGAGTAGTTAGATAGTGTTTTTTATTTTTGGGGAGATGTTTAAGGTTTTCTTTATTTTTTATCCTAATTTTGGGTATTGTATGTTTTGTATTAATTTTTTTAATCAATTAATTTACCTAAATCCTTAATTGCACATTCTAAAGGTGATAGTCCACTATTTAAGGTCATTTTGCTCAAATCATTTGGAAGTGTTTTTGTTGTCGTTATTGTTTCATCATTCTTCTCATTAGTAATATAACTTCCTTTTTGTTTAGAATCACGTCCCCAGTAAAGCAAAAGTATAAGAATAAGTGAAAGGAAAAATGCAGAAATTAGTAAAGCTGAGAGGATTAAGACTAGTTCTGTGTTCTTTAAAAAGAAGTAATTTTAAAAAAATTGAAAGGAAAAAGAGGAGATATAGCAAATTAAGAATAGGTGAGGGTCTAAGATTATTAGAAGGAAAAGGTAAAAGTCCTCCGAAAGATGTCGGTAGAGCACATGTATCAAGGAACGTACGCCTACCGAAAGAATAGATTGGCGATTCGGGAATAGGATGGCACGGTCCCTGATCTGTACGTGGTGAGCGGGTTTTTTAGCTATAACTGTTAGGTTACAAGATGCCCGGGGCTAAAAGTTTACCCGAGGACTGCCTTTGGATAAACGTTTATCTCTCATATTTTCTGTTTATAAGAGTTTACCTGAGTTATTCCAAAATTACTTCCAAAAATAATAGCACAATCATTTATTTTTTGTACTCGATGTAATGGTTGCCCTTTTAAAAGTTGTGGAACATTGCAAAGAGTTTCATCAAAACGTAATTGTTCTTGTAGTGGCAGTCGTTTTAACATGTGTAATTGTAAACTTTGAGCAGCACATTCACAATCCCAAGGGTTGTGGTGGAGATAGACTAGGTGTAAATGATCCACAAAATCTAGCAATAAATGAGGAAGTTTGCTGAAATTGTGTGAAAATGTTTTTTTGAAATTTGAAATATCTTTTGATTCGTTAGTTGGGGTGATGGTCACTTCCCTCTACTACTGTCCAACCAAAAATTTACTCTTGAACAGGTCCCCCAACTTTGGGGCTTACTAATATTAGGAAAAAGGCGTCTCTTAAATGGGGAGGTTTATCTAGTATTGTTTCTAATACATCTAAATTTGAAAGTATTCTTTATAGAGAGGTCCGATAAGAAGACAAAAAATTTTTACCTAAATTGATTATTAGAAATATCCAAAACTTTTAATTGAGGCAATAAAGCATCCAAATTTGGAGGTAAATGATCTAGTCCATTAGTTGATAAATTCAAGAATTTCAATTTTTGATAAGATTTTGAAAGACTGTAAGGAATATTATTTAAAGAGCAATCTGCCAAATGTAATTCTTTTAATCTTGGAAGTGTTGAAATTAAATTTAAATTCATTTCAATTTGATTTCCGCTTAAATGAAGTTTTTCTAATGTTGCTTGAGCTCCTGAAAGAGTGGTGTTTGTCAGCGACGCTTCTAGTTTGATTAATTGGGTGTGTGTGTGTGATCGTGGTTGTGGACCGACTATATCAGGGAGTAGCATGTCGGGGTTTGGAGTTAAGGATGGCCTAAAAATCATTCCGAGGAACTTGGAGTGTCGGAACTATGGAATGACCTCATCGTCTTAGACGGGTTGGGGACCACCAAACCCAATCCTACCTGAAAGTATTGAAGAATCAAAGTTTCGAAAATGATTCCATCCTAAATCTAATTCAATTAATTGTGTGTCTGCAAAAGATTCACGATGGAAAGGTTTTGAATTTGTTAATCCCAAAAGATTTCCTTCAAGAAGCACTGTTGTTATATTCATCCCACAAAAGGCACAGGGACCGATTGAACGAATTAAATTTTCGCGTAGATCGAGAATTTGTAGGGAAGGTAGAGCTCTGAAAAAATTTTCTTTTAATTTTTTGAACAGTTTCCTATTTCTACCTAAGCGAAGCACTTGGAACTTGTGTTAAATTATTGCTTGCTAAACCAATTCGTTTCAATTTTGGAACTACACTCAAATTTAAAGACCAAAGCTCCGCGTCATTTAAGCCGCAATTATTTAATTCAAGCCTTTCTAGTGATGTTACATCCGGAAGTAATTCGTTCAATTGTTTGGCACTTAATTTGTTCCCGTCCAATTGTAATTCTTTTAAATGTCTTGGGCCTCGAAGCAAATTGCCAGTAGAAAGGTCTGGGCCTCCAAGTCGATTATGGCTGAGTCTGAGATGGCGAAGATTCTGTGAAAAATTTTATTTTTTTGAAAAATTCTGATTTTGCAATTCTGAAAAAAATTCTGATTCTGAAAATTCTGAAAAAAAATTCTGATTCTGAAAATTCTGAAAAATTCTGATTCTGAAAATTCTGAAAAAATTCTGATTCTGAAAATTCTGAAAAAAATTCTGATTCTGAAAATTTTGAAAAAATTCTGATTTTTAAAATTCTGAAAAAATTCTGATTTTAAAAAAAAAATTCCGATTAGGAAAATTTTGAAAAAAATTCTGATTCTGAAATTTCTTTTTATAAGCTGTAATACCTTTAAATAAATAAAAGCTCCAGTTGAGAGTGCACTTATTCTATTACCACTTAAATCTAGCATTTCTAACATTGGCATACCAACAAAAGACCCAAGCTGAATTTGTTCCAGTTCATTACCCATTAAATAAAGCTGTGAAAGTAGAGGTAATCTAATAGATTGAGAAAGGGCAGGCATTGAACAATCAACTAAGGCGAGATGTTGAAGACGGGATAGTCGATTGAGATTATCGGACCTTTAAAGAGATTAAAAGATTTGTTGTAGTGATTGATATAAAAATCATCGTTAGTCTAGTTGGGTCATACCAAAGATCCTCTCAACCCGATTCCCGATATCGGAAATTTATTTTTTATGTCGACAAGATCCTTGGACCATACTAGCCGGTTAGTTTCTGATCTCCTTTGTCTTCTCCAGCCTCAATCCTCCTTGGCCTTCACTTTACTTTCTGCTATGCTCGTCGACTTTTCTAAACCTTCGGGCAGACCCTCGAACATAACTAACGAAACTTTCAAAATATTTATTTACCAATGCAATTTATTTGGTTTCCCGGGTGCCCCACGTATTTCCAAATGTTCAACATCAACAGGCACATTTTGTAGTAATGAAAGAAATTCGCTGTCATTCATAGATCCTTTTAAACATCTAACTGAAAGGCCAACAAATTGTGAATATTCTTCTTCCTCTTCCTCCTCTTCACTTTTATTTTTTGGAAGGGAATAATCCATTCCAGTGATTTTAGCTCTCCCAATTCTTTGGCATTCACATTTGGATGGACAATTTTCAAGTATTTGTGGTTGTGTGTTGAAATGGTCAGTATTAAATGTTGTTGAAATTGCTGCTAATGTTTCTTTGTAAATTGAAGCTAATTGGGCGAGAAAAATTATGGCGGGGATAATAAGGGAGGAGGAAGTCTGCATTTGTGTAGTTGCTACTTTAAGAAAAAAAGATTTGGATTTTTAAGTTGAAAATTTAAGTAAAAATTTTATTTTAAAAAGAATGAGTGAGTTGAGGGAGATTGGTTAAGCTTTTAAGGCGTTGTAAAAGTTTGGGGTGTTTTTTTTTTTGAATTTTTTCTTCAAAAAAATTTTTTTGTGAGCAATTTTTGAATGGACAATTTAGAGGGCATATTTTCACGTAAAAAATATTTTTCTATCCCTAAATTTTCAATTAAGTTTAAAAATGATTTGTTTTTAAAAATGCTTTGTTTTCGTTTATTTTAATGGATATAATCATCAAAAATTCATGCATTTTTAACAAATTTATTTTTGGGAGTGTTGTGGGAGAGTATATAATCGAAAAATAAATAAATTATGGACAGACGATTATTATTTTAGGCAAAAATGAGGCGAAAAAATGTGTTAAAAATAGTAGTTTTTAAGGGGAATTGAGAGAGTAGTTGAGGGATAGGGGGGGATGGGGATATATTTTTGTGTGTGTTTTAGACGGTTTTCCGGACATTCTAGGACAATCTAAAAATGGAGATAGATGATGATATTGAGGATTTGAGCAAGTTATTAAGCAAGTTTGCGAAGGGACAAAAAAATTTTTGTTAGAAAAAAAGAAACTGGCCAATATAATTTTTATTTACATGTTGGCAACTTTTTTTTTAATATTATATCCTTTTTCAGGAAGAATTGGGGGGAAGAGGACTCAATTTCTTTTCCTAGAGGAGACATAAATTTAATCTAATAAGCTTATTATTTTTCTACAAGTTTTTATAAGTATGTGGAATGTTGGCAAAAAATTATTTTTTATTAAAAAACAGAGGAGAAAAGTGGATCAAGCTCTAGTTTAAATCATACTGGAAATTGTTGCAAACTATACGGATTATAACACATAAATATTTGTTTAGTTAAGCAACTTTATAGGGCAGTCTGTGAGGATTTAAATGTGGCAGTTTTTTAAAGTACTATAAAATTTTTCGAATTTTTTTGAAATTTTTTTATAAAAATTTTCGAGCATTCCTATTATGATTTCTGTAGGAAAAAAATATTGTTTGATTTTTAGAATTGTCTGGAGGGGATTAAATGGGGCCAGTCTTTTTAATCTAAATTTTAAAGATTTTTAGAAATTAAAAAAAAAATGAAAAAAATTTTTTTCTTGAAAATTAAAATAAAAATAGAGAGAGAAGATAAAATAAATAAGGACAACAAACACACACACAATTGGTTTGACATTTACATAAAATTGGGCAATATTTTTAAAAACCTTTTTTTGGGAGGGATGGGGGATGTGAATTTATTTATGTCGTTTTGCAAGCAATTCTTCCTCTTATTTTTACAATCCCTTCCCTTTATCCCCCTCTTATTTTCTCGCTTTTCTCTCTTTTCTCCCGCATTTTTGGCCCATCAATCTTTTTTGGAAAAACGGCACTGCGCGGTTGGTGACTCTAAATAATTTTTACAGTTGTTGTGGCCTTAACCGTTTATAAAAAAAGAAAATTGAGGAAGAAAACCCCCAAGGGAGCAATATATAAAGTGGTAAAGAGGGAGATTGGTGGTTGGTACACAGGTCATGAAAAATTGTTTTTTTTTAGTCGAAAAAAATTTTTTAGGGTGAGGTTCGAGATCTGAGTCTTTAAAAATTTTTTTCTGATTTTTGTTCTGATTTCTTCTGATTTTTAATTCTAATTTTGTTTCTGGTTTCTGATTTTTTCTGATTTTGTTCTGGCAAATTTAGATGAAAATTTGGAAATAGAAAAAAAGGGGAAGAAGCTGGTTGTTCTAAATATAAACAAATTGACCAATTGAAGGGGAAAGTATATTTATTTAGTGGGTTGGACGACTTTCTTTGTTATTTATATATCCAATTTTTATATTTATAATTTTAAACACAATGTTTGTGCCTATTTTGAATTGAGATATAAGGGGGGGGGGGGAGGAGGAGAGGGTTGCATTTCCATAAAAGAAAAAATATTCTTCTCTTCCTGTTCAATTTAAAAATTATTCTCGAATTTCATAAAAAATATGAGCAGCCAGCCGGCTTTTGCAAAAGCCGATTTGGAAAAATTTGCATTTTTAAAAGAATTTTTTGTATAATTGGGAAGAAGAGAAGGGAAAAGAGCGTTGAGTAGCTGGAGTAAGTTTCTGAGAAGGATGATGAGTTTAAAGTTAAATTAGTGGAAAAATAAGTTGTGAATTAGGTTGAAAATTTTTAAAAATATTTGGGAAGCGATTTAATTTTATAAGCACGATTTATTAAAAATTTTCGATAGGCATCGAATTTTGGCCCTAAAAATGACTTGAACGTCGGCCCGGGTTCGAAAAATACAACCTTAATTAGAAGCACAACAATAATGATAAGGCAAGTATAAAAAATAATTTTTTCTCGGCTTAATTTTATGACCAATTATAGGTTGTATGTCGTAAATAATAATAGTATTTATAACAGAGAATAACCTATTAACTTTAATATTATTTTTGTATTTGTATGTATGTTTTGCTGCTTTTACTGCCAATTATTTGAAAGAAGGCTTTGTTGTTCAACTGCGCGAAAAGGGGGAAAATATAGGGGAGGGAGTAATACTAAGGGATTAGCCGATATAAGGGAAAGAGACTTAGACTTTTTGCTACTATAAACTAGAGACTGACCGCTTTACAAAGAATTGGGGGTGGTTTTTAGTGTTCTTCCCTAGAGGGGGGGGGGGAAGAAGTAGACAGGAGATAATGAGGGAGGAAAGGGCACGTGTTCGCATATTTTCTTGTTTTTCTCGTTTTTCCCCGACCATCTTTTTAAATTATGTGTGTCCATTTGGATGATTTAGAAAGGAAAAATAAGCTTTTTTGATATAAAATTTTTTAAGTATTTTTGGAGAAAAAAAATATATAGCTCTCTTGAGATAAGAGAGAATATTTAAAAAAGGAAGAGGGAAGGGGAAGAAAAAAAATTGAAACAAATAAAAATGTAGAAGAAAAAAGGCCATATATAAAATTAGCTTCAATTGACCGGAAATCTACTGCAAAACATGAAAAAAAATTTTTTTTTGGACAAAAAATTTGCTTAACAATAGAAAAGAGAGGGTCAAGAGAGTTAGTTAGTTGGTAGAATTTGGTAGAATTTTATTTAAAAATTTTTCCATATGGGTGAGGGAGAGGGGGGAATACTTGGAGGGGAGGACGATTTTTGGAGGAATATTTTCTTCTAAATTTTTTCTTTCATCTCTTTTTCCCCCCATTTTTGTTTCATCCCCTCCCTTTTGAAGCGTCAAATAATTAATTGGGCGCAAAAGAGGACGACAGAAAATTGGAAAAAAAAGTACTTGGATGTGTACCAGGTCAAATCCTTCCCCAAAACACCTAAACGAGCGTCGAATGGCTTTGGGGGATAACGAGGTAATCCTGTGCGGATTTTAATGTTTGGAGGAGGGGGGAAGGAAGACTTTTTTGTATTAAGGCATAAATTGCTTTTTTTCTTGAATGAATAGGTGGGGAAGGTAGAAGAAAAAATTGGATTGGTAAAGGGAATAGATGGGAGAGGGAGAACAATAAAAGAAGAAAAAAAGTTTTAATCGGGTTGTTTTTGGTAGAAACTTTTTATGGTTTTTGGGCGATTTTTGACGATTTTTAATATAAATTTATCGTTACATGTAGAGAGAAATCGGCGACTTAAAGTCATTCGAGAAAAATCTTTTTTGAGAAATCCTGTGTGCTTGCGGATGGAGTTGGGGATTGAGTAGGGTTGTCGGTCTCTGGAAATTCTTTGGATATCTGAAACAGAACCGAAGAACCTAGCCGAAGAACCGAACCGAAAATCATCGGTAAGATTGAGGGTTGACTTGAGGCTTGGAGCTGCTCCAAGGAACAGAGACTTGGGGCCTCGAGCTGCTTGGGGAGAGATTGAGCCTTGTGGCTGCTCCAGAGAACATTGATTCTTAAACAAGATTTCTTTCTATCCGATCCTCTAGCCTTGAAGTTTTGATAAAATTGGAAGAGTCGAAGATTGAGGAGGGGGTTTTCATTAAGATGAAAACAAAGAATGGAGACTAGTTAGATATAACCGAGCTTTTAATATACCCTAAAAATATATGGCAAATGACTAGCAAAATGTATATGTTTAATGAGCATATTGTGGGGCCAGGTGTTCACCGTTTCGTTGTCCAAACAACCCCGAGAAGACTATTATTTTATCTTCTGTCGCTTTGCTTTTTTTCCCCAAAATTTTGGTGAGGAGGGGGGACCTTTTAAGGGGGGGGGTGCGCATTTACCTATATATCCTTAAAAGGACATTTTATTATTTTTTCTCATTATTTTCAATTTTTGTACCTAAAAAGATGAAAGATTTTTGAAAGAGATTTTTCATGCTGAGAGAAAATTATGGATGTTTTACCCTATTTTTGGTGTGGGAAAATTGATGGCACTTTTAGAAAAAGTATGTATTTTAGGTGAATTCTAGCTGAAAGCTTGTGGGAATATTTATTTAAGTAAAAGTTTTGAGTAAAAGAAACTTTTTAAGAAAAAATGACAAACTCCCTTTGGGAATAGTTAGATAGAAGTGTTGCAGGAACAAAAAATAGTTAGAAAAATGAATGTTTTTGGGGGTTTTTTTGGGTTTTTTTGGGTTTTATTTGATATCCAAGCTTGGTAGAATTGTATATATGGACCAAGGGGGTGTCCGCAATTGCGGACTGCGTAAATTGTGTTGTTTTTTGGACTTGCGCATTGCGTCTGTGGATTTTAAAAATAAATGCTGCTGCGGAAACTTTTTTTCATTTACGGACGGACACCCCTGATATGGACTAAGATTGGGGTTTATATTTTTTATAATCAAGGAGGGACACTAACAAAACGCGAAGGCATTTTTGTCTCAATGATGAAAATGAAGGAAGACTGAAAGACTGTTTGAAAATGAAGAGAATCCATACCCAAGGCCATTCCTCCTTCATTCACTTTAAAAAATCTTTCTGTCCGTTTTTCTCTTTTGTATTATGCTGCTAAATTGTGTTTGAATGAATGGAAGAATGGGGAAATTGAGGAAAAATTGAATGAGTAAAAAAAAACGGAAAATTAAAAATTAAATGGGGAAGAGAAGGAGGAGGTAGATGACCAAATATCGAGGTTGTTGAACGGTTATTCTCCCTCTTTTTTCTTTTTTTCTATTTTTTTTTTCAATTTTACCTCGCTCAACATTAAAAATTGCATAAAAATGCGCGCCGAATTTTTTTTAAAGATTAAAAAAATATATTTAAGAAAAGTCAAATTAAGGAGAGGGGTTTTTGTAGATTGAGTGAAGGAAGGCTGGTTGTTGTTGGAAGGGAGATAGGGGAGATGAAGGAGTGAGTGAAATGGAAATAAGGTTTGAGGAGAAAATGACAAGCCACTTATTAGTATGAAAAATTGGGGGAGATCAAATGATGCCGAAATATTTTGAATAAATTAATTTTTTTGTTGTAAAAAGTGAAGGGAGAGAGGGAATATGGGGGGAGATTGAAAATAGTCTGGGGGGGGGGGGGGGTTATGAAATTATTAAAAATTATTAAAAATTGAAAAGAAAATATAAAAAAATTAATTTTTGGATTTTTTTTGTAAAAATATTTTTGCATTAAAAATAGAGGGAAAAAATTTTTTGAGTTTGCCACTAATAATAGGTAAAAACTCATTTTTAATAGCTAACTAATAACGGTACTTTTCTCCAATTTTTTTCTTCTTCTACCAATTGTCATTAAAAGTGTGCCTCTAATTGTTGGGTTTGTTATATTTTTTTAAAAATTGTCACCCAGCGGGTGTTGGTTGTGCCTTTCATTTTGATCATTTCTTTTGTCTGTGTGGCATTTTAATTTTCAATTTTTTTCTATTCTCTCTTATGGCCACTTTTCTTATGGCCAAAAGACTTACTTTTCAAGACTTGCGCGACGCCGCTTTTCTTTCCTTTCCTTTTTTTTAGACATTTATTTGTACTTGGTTATAAGAAAGAGTGGAGATCGTTATAACAAGCGGTTGTCCATCATCTTTCATATTTCTTTTTTTTTGATGGCCATAAAGCGCCTTGTTTAAAAGAAAGTTGAAGGCCACCAACCAAACACAATACAAAAACACAATACTCCCGCAGATGGAAAAGAGGAGGGAGGGAATTTACATAAATTTAAATAAAGCTTTTTGTTGCAAGGAAGGAAGGCTTTTCCTTCTTTTATTTATTATTAGTTAGCTTGTTATAATTTTTCTTCTATTCTTTTAATTCACGTTTAAATTTGCATGTTTAATTATGGGGAAAGGCTTATTTTTTTCAGTCTAAAAATTAAGAGTGAGGGGGAAAATGAAGAAAAAAATGAGGAGAAGATGGGAAGAGACAGATGGGCAACTAATAACCCTCCAACCCTTCCTCGAGAAGGGAGAGTTGGGGGGGGGGGTGTTATATTTTTAATATCTTGACGGGATTAAAGTCTTGAAGACGGAGGGGGGGGGGGTGTTGGATATATTATTCAAATTTATTTCCAAATCTCTCATTTTGTTTTCTTCAGGATTTACTTTTTGACATTGAAACTCGCCGATTAGTCAAATTCGTTTTACACACAAACGTCCCAGGCCATTTTGATTTTGGTATTTATGATAGATGTGAATTTATATTAAAAGCTGAAACTAAATCGATGGAAGAATTAAATATTGGGACTGAATCGAAAGTAGGAAAAATTTCTGTTAATTTTCAGAAAAAAATTTAGAAATTTAAAAAAATTTTAATTCTATAAAAATTCTAACTAAAATTTATTTTCTTAAGCTGGAATCTTTCCGTTCACTTTTTGATCACCAACCCAATTCAAACATTACGTCAGGGAATAATGATACTTTCAGTGGTCCTGTAGTATTAAACAAAAGTTCGTCTGAAGGGGAAAATCCTTTTGGATCTTCATTTTGTTATGGAACAGATCAAATGATTTTTGAAGTTTTGGATAATGGGCATATTGCTAGTGTTGTACTTTTTGACCCTTTATTAGGGCCTTGAAAGGGAGAATTTTGTGGAGAGAAAAATAGATATGTAAATTTATGTATTTAATATATACCTCACCTTACCCTATAATTTTAGAGACCCCCCTCCAACTTAGAGCTATATTGCCTATTTTTGTACATTATATACCCTAACAAAGTTTTATATTACCCACAATTGTATATATTTTATATATTAGTGTAGTAAATGTATATATAAAACTTTTTTCTAAAAACTTTTCTAAAACCTTTTTTAAAAACTTGGTTAAATTCAAGTTTATTTATTAATATTTCAAGTTTCAGGTTTATTATACCTATTTCAAGTTTATTTAATTAATCCAAGTTTATTTCTATTTAATGCAAGTTTATTTTATTAATTCAGGTTTATTTTTTTACAAATTCAAGTTTATTTATGAATTTTAAGTTTACTTATTTAATTAAAACTTGTTTGTTATCAAGTTTGTTTCCAGGTTTATTTTCAAATGTTTTAAGTTTATTTAAAACGAATAATAAATAAATGTTTTTCTCTTCTAGTTACGCAATTGTGCTTTTAGAGACCAACATATTTTAACAACAACAACAAAATAAACAACCGGTTAATTTTATTTTCTTTTACTACCATGTTAATAATCTCTTTAATAAATGTTTTTATTTGCAACGTTTTTACAACAAAACAAAACAATGAGAATTTAATTTTATCAACTTATAGTTTCCAACTTTCCATTACACAAATGTAATAAAAAATTAGTGAGTTTTTTTTCTAATAATTTTTTATTTTTGTTATTTGCATATTTTTTTATTAATATTTCCGGTTGCAACAAATTTAATCCTCTTATACCATGATATTTTCTAAGAAAATTTTTTCATTATATAATTTTTTAGAAAATTTCGGGGAGATCTTAAATATTCTAAAATTTTTTTTTTAATTTTCTTTTGTTTTTAAAAAATCTTTTTTTTTTTCGTTTTATGTTCCAACTAAAACTCATCTTTTTTTATTCAACAAAATAATAATAAGTAAAGTGAACGGGGGAGGGATAGTTAAGGATGTGAGGGAGAAAGGGGGAAAAACGTGAGCGCAACACACACACAATTCTCGAGTAAGCAAATAAACATTTGTTTAATTTTTTTATTATTTTTTGTTTGTAAAAATGTCCACATACACATAATATATATTTTATCTTTTCCACGTTTTTCTCTCCCAAAAAATTAAATATTTCCAGTTTTATTATTTCATCAATTTATTGTTTCTCTAAAGGGTTATTTCGGCGCGGACATTTTAACAACAAACTTGTTTTAAAACAAACAAACTTTCTTTTGAAAACAAACTTTCTCTTTAAAACAAACTTTTTTTAAAACATTTTTAAAACTTTTTTACAAACAAGTTTGTTTTTAAAATTTGTTTAAATTCAAGTTTATTTTTATAAATCAAGTTTTTTAATTTAATTCAAGTTCTACTTTCAAATTTATTTATTTTATTCCAAGTTTATTTATTAATTCAAGTTTATTTGTATTTTTGTCTTTTTTTCTTATTCTAAAAATACACCAACTTTCCGGAAACTTAAATTAAAAACACAACTGTGTATTTTAATTTATATAATTTTTCATGGTATTTTTGACTATTCTGGTAACGTCTTAAACACTTTCTTTTTTGACTTACTTTTTTCTTCTTTCTTCTTACCTGTTTAATTTTCTTATCAATTCAAAAAACAATAAAAAGTTATAATTTTTGGTCTAAAAATTAAATTCCTTTAAAAATTGATATTTTTTTATTACCTTTTTTATTTACAAATTTTTGGTTGTTCTACGACCTCTCTCGATGTTTAAATTTTTTTGTTTCGAAAATCTACTCCCCTATTTTAAATAATAATTAAATTCCACACACTCAACAATTTTTCCTTCCTCTCCACCTTTCTCCCCCAAAAAAATTTTTTCTCTCTCATCTGACTTTTTTTTATTAAAATATATTTTTCTGGCCCCATTTATTTATTCTCTTTTTTTCTTCTTCAATTTTTTCTGGATAAATTTTAAAATTAAAAAAATTGATTTTTAATTTTTTAATTTAATTAAATTAAAAAAATTAAAATTAAAAAAAAATTAATTTTGTTTAGGATTTAAATGGGTGGAGGTAAGGGAGATGAATTTGTTGATGAAACATCACTTTGTAAAATACCTCCATCCAAACAACAACGAAAAACACGTCGACGTAAAAAAGAATTGTTTAGAGAAAATATACTTTTGTTGTTTACAATATTTAGTGTTTTTGCTGGTTTTGGTATTGGGTTTGGATTGAGACATTTACATTTAACACAGAGGTTGGTTTAGAGAAAAATAAAGAAAATACCTAATAAACTTTCCGGAAAATACAAAAAACACATTAAAAATAAATATATAAAAAATAAACTTGACAGAAATTAATTCCGGAAAACACAAATTAAAAATAATTGACTATTAAATAAAATTATTTGATAGAAACTTTCCGGAAAACACTGGAAAATACAAAATAAAATAAATAAACTTGAGATTCCGGAAAATACAAAAACACTAAAAAGAAATGACACTTTCCGGAAAATACATATTAAATAAACTTGATAAAGAAATAAATAAACTTGTTAGAGAAATAAAATAACTTGAGATTCCGGAAAATACAAAAATTTTAAAAATAAATAAAATAAACTTGGCAGAGAAATAAAACTTTATTTTTTAAGAGAAATTGATTTAATCGGCTTCCCAGGAGAAATATTCATGAATATTCTTAAAGCAATGATATTGCCATTAATAGCAGCTAGTTTAGTTTCTGGATTAAGCCAACTTGAAGCTAAACAGTCTGGGTGGATTGGATTGTTTGCATTAATTTACTATTCTGTTACAATGATTTTGGCTGTAGTGGTAACTAAAAATATTTTTTTGAAAAATTAAATTTTATTTGAAGACTGGTATATGTCTTGTTTTATTAATACACCCTGGAGATCCTTCAATTAAGAAAGAACATGGTAGTAAACTGGATAACACTACTGCTGATATTTCTGCATTAGATAAATTAACAGATGTTTTAAGGTGAGAGAGAATGAAAAAAATCATAAATAAACGTGACAGAGAAAATTAAAAATAAACTTGATTTTCCGGAACTTGAATTTCCGGAAAATACATTGAAAAATAAACTTGACTGTATAAGCAAATAAATATTAAATTAAATAAACTTGGTAGAGAAAATAAGCTTTAAAATAAACTTGTATTTCCGGAAAACACAAAAAATAAACTCTACTGTATAACCAAATAAATATTAATTAAATAAACTTGACAGAGATAAGTAAAATAAACTTGAAAAATAAATAAACTTGAATTTCCGGAAAACACATTAAAAATACAAATATTAAATAAAATAAACTTGTTTTTATAGAAACATGTTTCCTGACAATATTGTACGAGCAACTTTCCAACAAATTGAAACAGAATATGTTGACAAAAATGTTTCTAATCCTAAACTTGGAACTTTCACTGTTGTAACAAGTTCTGTACATAAATATATTGATGGAATGAATTCTTTGGGTAATTTTTGAAAATTAATTTAAGAAAAAATTAATTTTTCTAATAGGTTTAATTGTATTTTTTATTGCACTTGGCTTGGTTATGGGGCAACTTGGGGATGAAGCTAAGGTGTGGGAAAAATTATTTTTTTCTGAAAATTTCGATGAAAAATTTTTTTTTGAATTTTTTTTTCAAGAAATTTTTTTTTGGAATTTAATTTAAAAAATAAAAAAATTTTTTTAAGCCATTAGCTGATTTATTCATTTCATTGGATAAAGTAATTATTGCATTAGTTAGTATTGTAATGTGGTAAGTTTAGATTAAAAATATAAACAAATTTTTTAAATTAAATTTAAAAAGGTATTCACCAATAGGAATATCCTCACTCATTGCAGCAAAAATTTTGGAAATTACAGATTTGGCTAAAACTGCAAAAATGTTGGGACTTTATATGTTGACTGGTAATTGGGGGGATTAATTTTAAATTCAAAAAATTTTTTACTTTTTAAAGTTATAACTGGCCTTCTTATACACCTATTTATAACACTACCAACACTTTTGTTTATTGGAACAAGAAGAAATCCGTACAAATTTATGCAAGGGTTAACTCAGGCGGGTTTAACTGCTTTAGGGACTTCTTCATCTGCTGCTTCTTTGTAAGAGAGACAAATTTTTTTGAAAATTTTTTGAAATTTTTTTTGAAATTACTTTTTTAAATTTTTTATCAAAAATAAATAATTAAAAATTTCAAAAAAATTTCTGAAAAATTTTCTTAAAAAATTTTTCAAATTTTCATAAAAATTCTTTTCTCTCAGACCAGTAACCTTCAAATGTTTGGAAGAAATTATTGGAGTTTCACCAAAATATACAAAATTTGTTTTACCTGTTGGGGCAATGGTTAATATGGATGGAACAGCTTTATATGAGGCTGTCGCTTCTGTGTTTATTGCACAAATGAATGGGTTGGAAATGGATGCGGGGACTGTTGTGACTATTGCGTTGGTTTTTTCTGATTGTTTTACTTATTTTTCGTTATCAGTCTTATCAAAAAAAAATTTTTTCCATTTTCAGTTTAACAGCTACTTTGGCCTCTGTAGGAGCAGCTACAATTCCCTCGGCTGGTCTAGTCACAATGCTTATTGTTTTAACAGCGGTTGGGTTGCCTGCATCAGATGTTACTTTAATAATTGCGGTTGATTGGCTTTTGTGGGTTTTCATAAGTTAATTTAAAAAATAAAATTAAAAGAATACAGAGCTTATAAAGTCCACAGAAAATTTCAAAAAAAAATTTTGGGAAAAAATTTAAACAATTTTTAAAATTTTCTAAAAATTGTTCAAAAAAAAATTTTTTTAAAGGGATAGATTCCGCACATCAGTAAATGTAATTGGTGATGGTATAGGTTGTGGTTTTGTTGAGGCAATGGTTGAAAAACGCTTTAGAAATTCAAAAATAATAGCACCAACAGATTGTTGGGCAATTGGAGGAGGTGAAAATAAAAATAATAATAAAGTAAGAAAGGTTAAAAAAGGGGAAAAAATTAATTATTATAGGAGGATAAATTAAATAATGTATTTACTAAAGTTGAATTATGGCCTTCAACAAGGGAAAATGGGGGAAATTGAAAAATATAAGAAGAAATTATTTTTAAATAAAGAAATTAAAAATATATAAAGCAAAATTTTTAAATTTTTAGCCACAAAATTTTTTTTTATTTTTTAACTCAAAAAAGTCAACCTTGGTTGAACTACATTAATATACACAAAGTAAATATTTATACCTTCTTTCCGGAAAGCAACAACTAAATATCAACTAGTATATGCTTGTTATAAACATTCCGGAAAGAATATAATAATATTAAATTAAATTTCCGGAAAGAATATAACCAAAAGAATATTCCTGAAAGAATATAACGAAAAGAATATTCCGGAAAGAATATACTACACATTCCGGAAGCAATATTAAATTAACTTTCCGGAAAAGATAATTATTTTAAATTAAATTTCCGGAAAGAACTATAATTTTAAATTATTATTCCGGAAAGAACTATTAAATTCACTTTCCGGAAATTAAATAAACTGTAATATAAACCTTCCGGAAAGGTTTATATGTTCAACCAAGGTATATTTTCTTTATTTTATTTTTTCTCTTATCCTTTCTCATATTTTTTAAACAATTCTTATTTCTCAGTCAAATTATTATTTTATCATATACAAAAATGTATAAAAATTAATTTCTGAAAAATTTAACTATTTTTTAAAAGAAAAATAATTCCCTTTTTACCCTCTTCAAATTAATTTCTTCTTCTTTTAATTCTTCATCATTTAAATCTATACTATTCGAAACTGTTGAAATATTAGTTCTTTTTAGTCCACTATTGAGGTAATGATTTAAATGGCTAAATTGCTTCTGGTTGTCAGTAAAATGACTAGAAGGTTGTTGTTGTATGTTTGAGGGGGTAAATGAATTCTTACAAGGGGGAAGATTAAACTGAAAAGAGAGAATAAATAAAATTTCCGGAAAGAAAATAGATGTGTTTTCCGGAAAGAATTATTGAATCAGATTTCCGGAAGAAAATAGGTGTATTTTCCGGAAAGAGTATAGTTTGTCTGTTTTTCCGGAATTATAACTTTTCTGGAATATTTTAAATATTTTTCCGGAATTCTTTTGACTTGCCTTCATTCTCTGTCGATTTTTCTTTATTCTGGTCTTCCGTTTTGTAAAATATTCATTGAGTAATTTACAATTAAAAATTAATATTCCTTTAGCGATCATTATAAAAACAGCTAAAATACCCAAACCGATCATTGCAATGACAACAACTAAAAATTAAACTTTAATATAAACTTTCCGGAAAGGAAATAATAATATTAAATTAACATTTCCGGAAAGAATATAATAATCGTAAATTAACATTCCGGAAAGTATAATATTAAATACATTTTAATCTAAACATTCCGGAAAGGAAATAATAAAGAGTTTTCCTGAAGGAATATAATAAACTTTCCGGAAAATAAACTTTCTATTCGATAAATATTAAATAGAATTTAATATAAACTTTCCGGAAAGAATTTATTCTATTAAAACTCGCCAAGTTTTAACACAAACCATCCATTCTCTTCTTTGTTAGATTTTTTTAAAACACCTTCTTCTTCCTCTTCTATTAAAGCATTAATTTCTTCCTCAATACTTTTAGCTGTATTATTATTAGTTTCATTATTTAATAAAAAATTATCATTATTTTTTATTTCTTGATTTTCTTCTATTTTAATTTCTTTACTTTCATTTTTCCTTTTTATTTGTGTTAAAAATTTCAAATTTTTTAAATTATTAATTCTTTTATTCTTCTTCTTTTCTACTATTTCATTTCCGGGTTTGTTTCCGTAAAGTGTTGTTGTCGTTGTTTTTGGTTTTAATGTTGTTTTGGTTGTTTGCCTTAAATTGTTTATTGTTTTTGTGTTTTTATTAAGTTTTGTGTTTTGTATTTTGTTTGTATTTTTCTTTCGGAATGTTTTTCCGGAAAGTTCTAACTCTGACTTGTGTTTTATTTCTTATATAATTTCTTTCCGGAAAATTTTTTGTGTTTTATTTCTTAATCAAGTTTTGTATTTTCTTTCCGGAAAGTTTTGTTTGTATTTTTCTTTCGTAATCAAGTTTTGTCTCTCTTTAAATTACTTTATATTTCCATCACCAACAACACCAATCTTTGCTAATTCAATAATATTTTGTTGTTGTTCTCCCATTCCGGAACAACTTTAATTTTTAATTACTATGTTTTTATTTAATTTCTCTATTAAAAACCTTCCCAAAATTCGAACTTTTCCCCTTAATGAAAATATCCAATCAGTTTCGTTTGGACTGCAATTAATCGGATTTCCTGAGGAAAAATTTCTTGTTTAACTAAAAATTTTTTAATTTTTTACCAGTTAAATCAAGTATCTGCACATTTGCAGCATTTTCTGACTGCAAAAATGATCCCCTAAAAGTATTGGAATCAAATGTTTTCAGTTGATTATAGCTTAAATCGATAGATTGGAGCTGGGGCAAACCGGCAAAAGCGAAGTTATCAACTTTTTCAATCTTTAAAAAAATTTAAAAAATTTTTCAATAGAAGAAAGGACCTGATTATGTCCCAAATCTATAGAAACAAGAAATTCAAGTTTTGAATTTTCTCCCCCAAATAATTCATTTGAAATAAATTTAATTTTATTTCCACGTAAATTAATAAATTGAAGACGTGAAATTGGTGAGAAACAATTATTTAAATAATTAATTTTGCAGTGAGACAGGTCTAGGCGAAGTAATGAATTTGCAAAAGAAAATGCTAAGGAAATTTTGAAAAATTTAAAAGTTAAAAAAAATTTTTTTTTAAAGACTTAAAGGAAACGTGTCTACTTTCCGGAAAATAGAATAATAGATAAAATATTTTTTCCGGAAATATAAACAGAAAATAATAATTTTTCGGACTTTCCGGAAATATAATAATAAATAAATAAATATTTTCCGGAAGAATATTGAATAGAATATAATACTTTCCGGAAAAAGTATAACTTATTTTATAACTAATTATTTTCCGGAGAGTAGAAAACTTTCAGGAAATAAAATTCCTTATATATACCTGACCTAAAAAATTTTAAAAAAAATTTCAAAAAAATTTACAATTATCTTCAATCCTTTCAATTGGATTACCACCCATTGAGAGCACTTTTAATTCAGGTATAGAAGCAAAAATTGAAGAAGGAATAAATGTAAATTGGTTTTGACTTAAATATAAATACCAGAGTGAAGGTATTGAAGTAAATATATTTGAATTTAGTTGACTTATCTTTGAAGAAAAGGAGATAAAATTACTTTTTAATTTAAAGTTTAGAGGGCTTGACTATTAGTATTATTTTCCGGAAATAATAAAACAATCCGAAAAAAGAATATAGAATAGAGTATACTTTCCGGAAATGAGTAGAAACCTTCCGGAAAATGAGTATTAAATGAATTCTACTTTCCGGAAACAGTTTAGCTATAAAAATAAACTTTCCGGAAATAGTTTAGCTATAAAAATAAACTTTCCGGAAATAGTTTAGCTATAAAAATAAACTTTCCGGAAATAGTTTAGCTATAAAAATAAACTTTCCGGAAATAGTTTAGCTATAAAAATAAACTTTCCGGAAATAGTTTAGCTATAAAAATAAACTTTCCGGAAATAGTTTAGCTATAAAAATAAACTTTCCGGAAATAGAATATAATAAAATATTATTTTCCGGAAATAATGTAATATGGGAGAACCTTCCGGAAAATTAATATTAAATAAATTATACTTTCCGGAAACAGAATAATTAAATATTATTTTCCGGGAATAATTTAATGGGGGGAACCTTCCGGAAATTTAATTCCTTGTATATACCTGATTAACATCCAACCCCAAACTTTTAAGCCTTGGAAGGGGTGGAATATCTCCAGGTTCTAAACTATCAATTTGATTTGCACTTGCAAACAATTCTTGTAAAGAATCAGATAATTTAGCTATAGCTTTGGTTGGTAGTTTGTTTAATTGATTCTTGTCTAGAAAAAGTTTTTGTAAAAATTCCAGTCCAACAAAAGCTTTGGAATTAATCGAAGTGTCGGAGAGAAGGTTTTCGCTTAAATCGAGTCTGAAAAAAAATTTAAAAAAAATTTTTAATTTCAAAAATTTTTTTTAACTGTTGAAGCGTTTTGCGTGAATTAAAATAAGCAAAAGTGTTGTCTAATATTTTATTTATTTTATTCCCAGCGAGGGAAAGTGACTGCAAATTTGTAAACAAAGTTAAAGCTGGACAGTCTTGAATATTTTCAATTTCATTATTTTGTATTTCCAATTGTTCTACATTATCAAAAAGTGTTGAGGTTATTGAGAGTTCAGTGCTACTTGAAGATAAAACTTTAAAATGAGAGAGTGTGTTGTTGCGTAGAATGAGGTGACGAATTGGTAGAGAAGCTAGAGTATCAATTGACAACTAAATAGAGGTTTTATGAGTTTAACTTTTTCCGGAAGAGGAGTAATTAATAAACCCTTCCGGAAAGAAAATTAATTGTAAAGAAAAAACTTTCCGGAAAGAAAATAATTAAACTTTTTCCGGAAATAAATAAAACTTTTCCGGAACCTTTTTCCAATTAAAAATCTTTCCGGAAAAATATTTAAATTATAACTGAATAAAATATTTCAAACTTTCCGGAAATAGTTTAATTTCCAGAAAGAAAATAGTACATATGTATTCGTTTATAACCTCAGGAATTTGTGTATTCTCAATTCGTAAAAATTCAATTTTAATATTAGGCCTTTCCATAAAAGGTAGTAAAAAATCCAAAATCTGTTCGAATGGTTGTCCTTCAGAACAGATAATGCCAAATCCTTTTATGCCCATAGAAACACAAGAACACGAACTGTTTAACTTAAATTACATAATTAAAAGGTATGATAATTTTTTAATTGGTTTGCCTGAAAATTAATTGGGCATGTTTCTGACTTGATTTTCAGGAAGAATATTATAAGAAGAAAGTAGAATGAGTTAAATTTTGGAAGCATAGTAAAGATAAACTTTCCGGAAGTATTAGAATAATAAATAAAATAATTATTTTCCGGAAACAAATAGAACTTTCCGGAAAAAGAATATTGAATAAAATATAGTTTCCGGAAAAATATAAACTTTCCGGAAATAGAATAATATGTGAAATATTATTTTCCGGAAATATAATGTAATAGAAAACTTTCCGGAAATAGTTTATTTAATGCTGATATTCTTCGTATTTTTTACTAATGATTAGGTGAATAATAAAAAAATTGAAGATGAGTAACAACATGTGTTGGTTGACCAAAGCTTAAGAGAACACTAGAGATATATTTAGCTGGCCATCAAAAAATAAAAATAGGAGTGGCCGATTGAAAAAGACTTTGTATAGAGTATATTAAAAACAAACACAGCTGTCTAACTGGATAAATTTAATTGGAGACATCCTATGCTTTTTGAGGTAAGTTGATATTTAGGATAACATAAATCCGAGGTTCCACATCTCAAAAATTTTTTTATTTATTCAATCTTACGAAATCTACAATCAATTTCTCGCGACTTTTTTCCCTCTTCATGTCCTCGGCCCTTTTCCTTGACAATTTTGGAGCGCGCGGATTGGCCATAATTTGTGAAGGGAAGGGAGGAGGAGGAGGGAAAGAGGAGCGATTTGCCTTATTTGCCTATGCTTTTCCTTTTTCTTCTCTCTTAGTCGATCAATATAATCCTTTACATCCATTCCCGTCTTCTCCTCTATATCCCTCTCAATCACTCCCTTGCCGTTTAAATAAAAATTTTTAATTGAAAAAAAAAATAAAACTTTCCGGAAAATACATTGTAATATTTACTGAATTAAAACCTTCCGGAAAGAATATAACTCTAATCTAATGAAATAATAAACTTTCCGGAACAATTAAATTCCGGAAAAGTTTTAATAAATTAAAAGTCACTGAAAAGACATGGGTGAATAAAACTTTCCGGAAAGAATATAACTCTGAATATAACTCAAAAAAATATTTTTCAGAACATTCAGATAAAATAAAACTTGAATTATAAAAGAAATTCTGATTTATTCAAATGCCCTCGGTTGTCTGGGATTATTTTGAAGAATTTGAAGGGGGTGGAAAATGTCGATTATGTGGGTGTATTAGAAATAGAAAAGATAAATCAACATCTACATTTTGGGTTTTAAACAAATTTTTTTTATTTATAAAACTATTTTTTAGCAACATCTTGAAAGAGTGCATGGATTGGATAAACGTTTAATGTTGTCAACCAGTCCGGCAAATTCTTTGGGGGAAGGGAAAAAAGTAAAACAAACAAATAATTTTAATCAAATAAATAATTATAGTAATAATAATTTTAATATTACTCAAAAAAGACATTTGGAAGTTAATAATGAAATGTTTGTCGAAGAACCTGTTGACAAAATGCCTAAGGTGGGGACTGGATTTTTGTTAAAAATAATAGGCAATTTAATTAGTTCAGGAGAAAATATAACAAACTTTCCGGAAGGAATATAACTCTGAATCAAACTTTCCGGAATAAACATAGTAATGAATTTTCCGGAAAGTAATAAATTAATTTAACTTTCCGGAAAAGTTATAACAAATTAAAAGGTTCCGGAAAATATATATATTAAATTACAACTTTCCGGAAACAATATAACTCTGAATATCTGTATTCTTTTCCGAAAATTTTTTAAAATTAATTTATTTAAAATCCTTCCTTGTTTAAGCTCGAATTAATGACAGAATTAGATAAAAGGGCAACAGAAGAAACTTTAAAATTTATTTCTGAATTAGTAAATCAACAACAAAAGCAAACAGAATCACCCCAGCCTTGTAGTTCTTCTAGTGATTGGCAAAATAATAATTTAATTTATTCACAAAATTTGAAAGGAAACGAGTTAAATGTTAAAAATGAAGGAATTAATAGTTGTCCAATATCTTCACCCATTGGAATTAATTTTAATAACAATTTTGATTATAATCAGAATTCAATGATTGCGTTCAATAAAGTTTGTTCTGTTTTTAAAATAAATTAAAGAATATAATTATAGAATATATAACTTTCCGGAAAAGAGTTGTAGTGAATTAAAATTTTCCGGAACGAATATAACTCTAAAAGAGAGTAATAAACTTTCCGGAAGAGTTTAACATCAAGCTCTAGTTTAACATCCCCCCCTTAACCGAAAAAGTTTTCCGGAACGAATATAACTCTAAATATAACTCAAAAGACATAGCAGACTTTCCGGAAAAGTTATAACTAATTAAAAGGTTCCGGAAAAGAGTTGTAGTTAATTAAAACTTTCCGGAAAGAATATAACTCTGAATATAACTCAAAAAAATATTTTTCAGAACATTCAGATAAAATAAAACTTGAATTATAAAAGAAATTCTGATTTATTCAAATGCCCTCGGTTGTCTGGGATTATTTTGAAGAATTTGAAGGGGGTGGAAAATGTCGATTATGTGGGTGTATTAGAAATAGAAAAGATAAATCAACATCTACATTTTGGGTTTTAAACAAATTTTTTTTATTTATAAAACTATTTTTTAGCAACATCTTGAAAGAGTGCATGGATTGGATAAACGTTTAATGTTGTCAACCAGTCCGGCAAATTCTTTGGGGGAAGGGAAAAAAGTAAAACAAACAAATAATTTTAATCAAATAAATAATTATAGTAATAATAATTTTAATATTACTCAAAAAAGACATTTGGAAGTTAATAATGAAATGTTTGTCGAAGAACCTGTTGACAAAATGCCTAAGGTGGGGACTGGATTTTTGTTAAAAATAATAGGCAATTTAATTAGTTCAGGAGAAAATATAACAAACTTTCCGGAAGGAATATAACTCTGAATCAAACTTTCCGGAATAAACATAGTAATGAATTTTCCGGAAAGTAATAAATTAATTTAACTTTCCGGAAAAGTTATAACAAATTAAAAGGTTCCGGAAAATATATATATTAAATTACAACTTTCCGGAAACAATATAACTCTGAATATCTGTATTCTTTTCCGAAAATTTTTTAAAATTAATTTATTTAAAATCCTTCCTTGTTTAAGCTCGAATTAATGACAGAATTAGATAAAAGGGCAACAGAAGAAACTTTAAAATTTATTTCTGAATTAGTAAATCAACAACAAAAGCAAACAGAATCACCCCAGCCTTGTAGTTCTTCTAGTGATTGGCAAAATAATAATTTAATTTATTCACAAAATTTGAAAGGAAACGAGTTAAATGTTAAAAATGAAGGAATTAATAGTTGTCCAATATCTTCACCCATTGGAATTAATTTTAATAACAATTTTGATTATAATCAGAATTCAATGATTGCGTTCAATAAAGTTTGTTCTGTTTTTAAAATAAATTAAAGAATATAATTATAGAATATATAACTTTCCGGAAAAGAGTTGTAGTGAATTAAAATTTTCCGGAACGAATATAACTCTAAAAGAGAGTAATAAACTTTCCGGAAGAGTTTAACATCAAGCTCTAGTTTAACATCCCCCCCTTAACCGAAAAAGTTTTCCGGAACGAATATAACTCTAAATATAACTCAAAAGACATAGCAGACTTTCCGGAAAAGTTATAACTAATTAAAAGGTTCCGGAAAAGAGTTGTAGTTAATTAAAACTTTCCGGAAAGAGTATAACTCTAAAAAACATAGTAATAAACTTTCCGGAAAAGTTTAACTTCAAGCTCTAATGAATTAAAACCGGAAAGAGTATAACTCAGAATTAATATTTTTTATACTTTAAACATTCCGCCAAAAATGTTTTTCTTTTCGAAATTAATTTAACTGTAATTTCATTTTGTCAACTAATGAAAATATTTTTGTTTTGCCAAAAGTTTTCTAATTTGGCTTTGTTTATCGATTTTCTTCTAGTTTTTTTCTTGTTTTTTCTTTTTTTTTAAATTTATCATTTTAATTTTAGAAGGTAGAACCCTTTGAAGGAAGCGGGTTATCTTTCAACGGATATATGAGTGGATTACTTGAAGGAAATCATTCAATTCAAAATGGAAGGTTTCTTTAGCTTTTCTTTTTTTTTTCAAAATTTCTCTTTTCCAGTGTTCATTCCGATTTAAAAACAAAATGTTTATTGGATAACAACAACCAAAAACGTTCTGATTATCTCAACTGGGAAGAATTTTTTATGGGTTCAGCAATATTGGCTTCTCTTCGAAGTAAAGACCCGTGTACACAAGTTGGGGCTTGTATAGTTAAAGAGAACAAAATTGTTGGAACTGGCTATAATGGAATGCCTAATGGATGCAATGATGACGATATGCCGTGGGGGAAGGACAGCTCTGACATGTTTAACACAAAGTGGAGAAACGTTTATTTTTAAATTTTTGGGGGAAATGTAGTTAACTATGGGGGTCTCATATTTAAGAATGGGAAATATGTGTGGGTTTCCCAAGGTTGTTGAAAGCATGTTTGATTCGTTTGTCTTTATAGTTCGTCTCACTAGGATCCAGAGCCAATCTTAAAGTATTTTTTAGAGTTCCTTGATTCTTTCTTGACTCAAGGACATGAATCTGGTCAAGATTTCCGATCTCTAGTAATCATGACCTAACACACAGATTAGCTCTTCAGCGAGCCAAATAGCTTTCCGGTACTACTGAAGAAAAGGGTGCTTTTTCTGCGGACTTATTTTGCGGACTTTTCCTTTCCTTTACATATTTTACTTGTAGCAACTAACTGTCAACGGCCCTCCCCCCATTATTTTTCTTACCTAAGATTGTACACAATGGTCAGATTTTCTTCTTTCTCTTTTCCTCTATTTGCCGTGTGGCATATTCAAACAAAAGACATTGATACAGAGAAGATTAATTTTATTTTTTTCATTTCTGTTTAAATGTTTTGCTTATAGCAACTAACAGTCAACGGATTATTTTTTATGCCGGTCTGAAAAATGTCGTTCACAAATAATTTAAACATTATAAACGAAAAAAATGTTACAATCAATAAAAAATTTTACTTTAACTAAATTGTATGATAAAATTAAATTACCCAATGATGAATTTCAACAATGGATCAAGGGCGTATCCAGGGGGTCGGTTTCGGGGGGGGGGCTAACACTGGGTGGGCGCAAAAATTTTTGGCGTTTACCTTGGCGTTCCTGACGCAAATTTTTTTGTACATAAATTTTCATCTTTTCTGCGCCGCAGGCGAAAATTTTTTGAATTTTAGAAGACCGTAGGCAAAAAAATTCACTTATTCAGCGCCGCAGGCGAAAATTTTTTGGAATTTGGAGCCCAAGAAGCCAAATTTCTTCCATTTTTTGCGCCGCAAGCGAAAATTTTTTAAAATTTGGGGGCCGTAGGCCAAAAAAGTTCACTTTTTAGCGCCGCAGGCGAAAATTTCTTGGAATTTGGAGCCCAAGAAGCCAAATTTCTTCCATTTTTTGCGCCGCAGGCGAAAATTTTTTAAAATTTGAGGGCCGTAGGCCAAAAAAGTTCACTTTTTAGCGCCGCAGGCGAAAATTTTTTGTTGGAGCCCAAGAAGCCAAAAAAAATTTGGAGCCCAAGAAGCCAAATTTCTTCCATTTTTTGCGCCGCAGGCGAAAATTTTTTAAAATTTGAGGGTTGTAGGCGAAAAAAATTCACTTTTTCGACCATCCATCTCCTAATTTCTTCCCCCTTTCCCCCATTTCGGGGGGGGGGGGGCTCTAGCCCCCCCCCCAGCCCCCCCCTGGATACGCCCTTGCAATGGATCACTGATCTCGGAATGCTTCATAGAAAAAGAACATGTGATTGTGGAAAAGAAATGCGTAAAGAGAAGCGTGGACAAAATGGAAGATGGATATGTGAGAAATCAGTATGCAGAAAAACAAAGGGTGCTTTAGTTGGAACATTTTTCGAAAATTCAAAACTTTCTTTGACACAAATCATACAGGTACAATTTAATTTCACAAATAACAAATAATCAAAAATATTTGTGCGAATAAAAATTAATCCTTTGACAGTTAGTTTGCTACAAGCTAAAACATTATCTTTTAAAAAAAAGGGAAAAAGAAGGAAAGGAAAAGTCCGCAAAATAAGTCCGCAGAAAAAGCACCCTTTTCTTCAGTAGTACCAGCTTTCCAATTGAACTGATAACTTTTTTCTGTTTTCCTTTGAATTTTATAACTAGCCTTATAGGCTGGAGCTCACTTTTCTCCCTTGTATCTCTCTTTAGGGTCTAACAATAATTTTTTAAAATTTTTTATTTTTGAAGGTATTTGTATGTTTGCCATGCTGAGATGAATGCAATTGCAAATGGAAATTCTGCTCAATTTAAGGATGCTACAATATGTTTGGAAATTATTTTTTGTAATTTTAAACTTAATTCTCTTTTAGATATAACCCGTTTTCCTTGTAATGAATGTGCAAAGTTAATTATTCAATCTGGAATCAAAACTGTTATTTATTTGAAGGATAAGGATTGTATTGAAACTAGGGCTTCTAAACGGTTATTTGATGCTACTAAAGTTAATTACAGGTTTTTTTATTTTTAGGGTTTTTCGGGCCTAGGAAAGGGGTGGGGGCTAACTCGTGGAATTCAAAATCACTGAACAGACTTGTCACGGAACGACAAGTCACAGAATTAACAAATCACGGAACGTTAGCCTGATAGGTGGGAAAGTATCCATTCCAATGGAGTTTTTTCCCTATTTTCGGAAACACTTTGGAAACTCGGCAAAGGAGAGTTTCGGTGAACTCTGTTGACTTTTCCTCCTCATCAATTTTCTTTTCCCCAATTTTGTGTATTTGCTTTTCTCAAATGCCTCAATCAATAAATAAATAACTTTGAATACAAGGGCACATTCCCACTCTAGAATTCCACTCTAGGGCACTTTCCATTATAGAAATGACCTCCCCGATGGAGTGAGATTGAGTATAAGGTTGATGGATTCTCCCATTAGAAAGTTTACTAACCTCTAATAGTTGATGGGAGCTTTTAAAATTAATTTAAAAAATTTTTAAAGTCAATTCCAACCAATTCGAAGCCAGATTGTTATCAATTTTGATTGATTTTCTGTGGGAATATTACATATTTATTGTTAGATTTTATATGGGTATAGACCAAAAAATTTATTTTAAATCAGGGAATTTTTTCTGTTGTTTTTTCTGTTTAATTTTATTTAAAAAATATTTAATTTCTATATATAAGTATCTAAATTATTCATTTTTTTGTGTGTGGTTTTCAATTTTCTTCTTCCCTTTTTTCTCCTTCCCCTTTTTTCTCCTTCCCCTTTTTTCCAATTTCCCCCATTTTTTTCCCTTTTAATAGATTAAAATTTGTGTTTTTGGTACTCGCGGGTTGTCCCCTGAACTTTTTTGCGGACTTTTTTTTTGCGGACACACTTGTAATAATGGTAAGAGTATAGGAGAAAGGGAAGAGAAATTTTTACCATTATGTAAAATTGTGTCCATAAAAAAGTCCGGGGGATAACCCACAAGTACTTTTTTTCTGTTTTTTTAAATATTTATCTGATCATTATCTGAAAATAAATTTTTAATTTATATAAATATCACATCAAAAATTAATTTTTTGTGTTTTTGATTCATTCAAATATTTTTTTCTAATTTTTTTCCAAGCTTAAAAACTAGCAAATTTTTTCAAAGCAAAAATGCCGTATAAAGTTAAAAGAGAACCAAACTCACCAAAAAATGGAGGAGATATTGACGAAGGAGAGGATTTGGTTTTGGACTTTGTTGAGGTTTTTTTGACTTTTTTGAATAATTTTTAAAGAAAAATGTTTTGTTTTGAAGGAAGCGGGGGATGAATTGGAAGAGGCTGACAGAATTCCAAGTCCCCGTTCAATGTCGCCGCCACACTCTCCGGATGGGAGGGAGGAGGTTTTGCAGGCTGATGCGGAAGAGGATTCGAGCGAGAATGGAAAGAAGATGAAGAATAATAAGCAATTGGGACCTAAAACTCCGCCGGGAAATGAGGAGGAAGATGAGGATAAAATGGATGATACGAAGGTTTTGTTTTTGGGGTTTGCTTTAGGGGGGTGTTAACTTTTGATGTTAACTTTTGTTAACATCAAAAGTTAACTTTTGAATCTTTTGCAGTTCGATTTTCTTGAGGGATAGGGTGTTTGAGAAATAATCGAGTTTCAAGCCTGGTTTTCCAAAATTCTCGTCGGGTCGGGGTCAGTGGGGTAATCCCTGAACCCACATTTGGTACTAATATTCAAGTATCCATTAACTTGGACTCCTAATCATCAATATAATCTGCAAAAATATTTCCGCAATTGTGGTCCCTCCCATCCTTATTATTCCAGAAACTGACTAATTCTTAGCTAAAATCTATTCAACGTTCTTTCCTTTTTCACACCCTTGTTGGTTGGATGTCTCCTCTCTTCACCAAGAAATTAAAAAAAAAATTTTTCTCTATTTCAGAGTGACGGTCATGATGACAGTTTGTCTGATTTAAACGATTCTCGCGATCGAAAGAGACGAAGGAGGTCTTCAAGTACTTCTTCACGTTCACGTTCGAGATCTTCACGATCACGAAGTTCTCGTTCACGTCGAAGCAGCAATAGTTCTGATGGGGATAGATCTCCTCCACAAAAGTATCGACAAACACGCAGACGTGACAGGGTTTTTTTGAGAATTTTTTTGGATATTTAAAAATTTTTTTTAATTTAAGGATGATGATTATGTGTCTGTAGAAGAGCGTTTACGTCAGAATAGAAAAGCTCGACTTGTTCGTTTAAGGTTATAATTTTTCTTTTAGTTTTTTGATTGGGGTTGGATTTAGTTATTCTGGTTCTTAATAATCGCCACGGGTAGAGAATAAAATGTTGGATAGTATTTCGAGTATTTTTTTACTCGAAATTTCGAGTTGCTTTCGAAAAGAGAAGAAATTTTTTGTGGTTTTTATCTGAGTTTTTTTAACCTGTGACGTTACTTGATATTCTTGTTGGGTCCAAAAAATTTTTTTTTGATTTTCTTGGGCCATGCAATTCATTTTTTTACACTTCAATTTCCATCAGGGATGGAGTTGGAGTTGTTGAGAAATAGTCGAGTTTCAGACCTGATTTTCAAAACTCCTTCTGGTCGGGACTAATGGGTTTTCTCACAATCTACAGTGTCCTATAATTTAGTTGTGAAATAAAAATTCAATTTTATTCTTTAAAAATTCAAAAAAATTTTTTTTCCTCCTCTTCAGAGATGCTCGTTCTCGTCATCTCGGTTATACTTATGTTCCACGTATGGGAGGAAAACCTGGATTTCCACCGCAACCTTACTTCAAAAATCCTTCATATTATCCTACTGACGATTCACGTGACAACAAAACAAAGAAAACTCCAAACCCGCCTCCACTTGCCCAAAAAATTGAGCCGTTGCCTGGTGGACGTTTACCTCTAGTTCAACGACGCTCTTCACCGGCACCTTTTGACAGAAGCTCTTCGTCTGGAGGTGGAAGACGCTCTCCTGGAAGTGGAGGAAGACGTTCTTCACGTTCACCAACACCAACTTATCATCGTTCTGGTGCTCCTCCGAGACGTGTTGCTAGAGGAATTGTTGAAGAAGTTTTTACTGTACGGGCTTCTGGACGGTATTTTTAAACTTTTTTTAATTTTAAAAAATTTATTTGGGCTCAAAAATGTCCAAAATTAATTTATTTGCACTAAAAAACCGGAATAATTACTAACTGCTTCAAAAACTATATTTTATAAAAAAAATTTATATTTCTATAAAATCTCGCGTTTATCTAGAGCGCATCAATTTAATAAAACAACCAACATAGACATAATAAACACACAAAATTTACAGAAAATAATAACTACATAAAATGTACAACCATTAATTAACCTTTAAATAAATACACAGACTCATCAGAAAAAAAAATTTTTTTCGGGAGTTTAAGGGGAAAATTTTTCTACTCTATTAAAAAATTGCTACATACTTCCCTGGAGAAAGAAAAATTTTTTTTGGCGCGATGAATAAAAAAATGATTAAAAGCAAAAAAAAGAAAAACGACAATTGGGAAAAAATCGAGAAAATTGGTGTTGAAATTAAAAAAAAAACAACAACAATTTATAAAAAAAAATAAACAACCTTTCATCTTTCAACCCAAAAATAATTTAAAAATAATTAAATTAATTATGTAATTAATAACAACCTAAAATAAATTAATTTTAAAAATGCACAAACACACACACACAAAACAACTTTTATATTAAAAAAAACTACCACAAAAAATATTTGTCCGCAAAAATTTTTTTGCGGACAAATACCTCTTAATTGCTAAAAAAAATTTTTTTATTTTTTTTTTCAAAAATATACAGATCATCACCAACTTCCCACCACCATTACAGCAGCAGTGGAAGTACTCGACGTTCTTCACGTTCACCACAGCCTTTAAGCCGTTATAATCCTTCAAGTTATTATCGACGTTCTTCAACCTCAACATATATTAAAAATAATTTGGGACCCCAAACATTGTATCCTTCAAGAAGAAATCCTTATCCTCCACCAAAATATGAAAGAGGATGGGGGTCTTATAGAGGAGGTGGAGGAAGAAGTTATTACAATAATGGAGGAAGTTATAGAGGAAGTGGAGGAAGTTCTTCTTCATATCGTGAACGACGAGGAGGGTATATTTTATTTTAAAAATTTAAAAAAAATATGAAAAAACTTTTTTGCGGACAAAAAATATTTTTGCGGACAAATTTTTGCGGATTTTTTAAAATTATATTAAAAATTTTTTCCAATTTGAAATGAAAAATGGTAAAGACTAAGAATATGAATAAGAGATAATAAGATGCTAAAAAATATTGAAAAAATGAAAACTGGTGATATCTTTGCGGACAAACTTATATTTGCAGATTTCTTTAAAATTTCTTTTTGGGCTAAATTACGTTTTTAGTTGGCTAAAATTTTTTTGGAATAATATTAAAAGTTATGTAAAATAAATGATAAATAGGTAGAAAATGATAAAAAGATAAATATATATTGTCCGTAAAAATATTTTTGTCCGCAAAAATTGTCCGCAAATTTTTTGCGGACAAATTTTTTAAATTTTTTTCCATTTTTACAGCGATTCCAACGGTGGCAATTACATCTTTACTGGATCTAAATATGTGGAGCGTCCTTGGATTCCTCCACCGCCTCCTGGTAAAAAGTGGAATTGTCCGAGACGGGATGAACCATAGTAAATTTTAATTTTTTTTTTGAATAATTTGGGGGATTTTTTTGAAATTCTTCCACAAAATTAAAAAAAAAATTTTCAGAAAATCGGGAAAAATTTTTTTTTGATTTTACGACTGATTTTTTAAGAGTCCACAAATAATTTTTTTAAATTTCGGAAAATCGGGAAAAAAAAATTTTATCCAATTATTTGCCGTTACAGGCATTTACTGTTTATTCAGCGAACGTTTTGAAACTTTTTTGGTGACCATGACCCTGTCCTCCAAAAAAATTGTTTAAATTTTAAATTTGTGTGTAGTTTGTAAATTCTTGAAAAAATTTTTTTCTAAATTTAAAGCGTTCCATCAAGAAAATGTCCAAAGCGGGACGATGACAAGGATGAAGGAGACGATTCATCTTCATAAAAGGTAAAACGTTCCACTAGTTTAATCTTTTCTAAAAAAATTTTTTTTAAGAAGGAAAGGAGAGAGGGGAAGGTAAAAGGAAGGAAATTTTAAGTTTTGAATAATTATATAATATTTTTCAATTTTTTTATTTTGCAAAGACCACAAAAAATCTTTCTTGTGTGTTTCCCCCTTCACCTTTATATATTTGTATTACTAATATATTTTTTTAATTAAAAATTGAAAATGAAGAAAAAAGGGTTAGAAATTGACGGCATGAATTTCTCGTTATAAAGATACCCATACTTTTTTTAAGCATAACAATTTTTAGTTTTTGTTGTCCAATAAGAGAAGAAAGAACAATGCGCCCCCTCCCTCCAGAGGTGGGTCGGAACAGTCAGGGGTGTCGGAAATCGGAAGAGCCGGAAATCGGAACTGGCTCAAAAGTCGGAAATCGGAAATTTTTTTTTCGGAAATCGGAATTGGAAGGAAAAAACGTCGGAAATAGGAATTCCTACCCACCTCTGCCTCCCTCCCATATAAACAATAAACATTCCATATTTAAAATAGGACTTAGGGTATCTTGTAATTGAGAATCAAGTTAGAATCTTTAATTTATTCCAAAAAATACCACATCCATTTTTTGGACAATTTTTTTGAATAAAAAATTGTTTGAATTAAAGGTTCTACTACATACTAGTGATGTTCGGGAGAAGAAAAAACTCGGGAAACGGGAGTCGGGTCGGGAAATGACCTCGGGATCGGAATACCCGAACATCACTATTACATACCAGACCTGCCCACGGATACTGATTTTGGTATCCGTATCCCCATATTTACGGCGGATACAGACGGATATCCGCAGACCTTTTGATATTATCTGTATCCGTATCCACGAGCAAGTCTGCTACATACTAAATATTACTGCTACAATATTTTTATTTTTTAATTTTATTTTTTCTCTACATATTTTTCTGTAACGCAAGAATATATTTTTCGTTTATTTTTAACGTTTTCCTCCTCTCTATTTTATTTTTAAATTTTTTTTTAAAATTAAATTTCACACATTGTAATATTTTTTTTCTTCAGTTATATCAATGAATAATGTATTTTTTTAACGAATAAATAAAAATTTTTCCACCTCCTCTTCGCCCAATTAAGAAATTTTTATTTAAAAAAAGTTTTGCTGGAATTTATAGCCCCTAGTTTTGTTGTTTTTTGTCTGCGCGTATTTATTTTGGTGTGCGCAACAGACTTCAAATGCCCATATATGTTCCCTTCACATTACCCTTGTTCCCTTCAGACTATCTATGTTCCTCTCAAACTACCCCTTGTTCCCTTCACACTACCCCTGTCCTTTTGCATTCCTGCCTATGTTCCTTTCACATTACTTATGCCCCTTCACACTACCTATGCCGCTTACAATACCCTTTTACATTTCCCCCTGTTCCCTTCATACTACTCTTGTTCCGCTCACTTGTGCCTTTTTCCTTCCATTCTACCCTTGTTCTTGTTACACTTTGCCAATTTTGGCGTTAAGTTGGAAATTTAAATTTTGCGCACCTTAAAACACTTGACTACTCCCTTTTCAAAAAATTTATTCACCAAATTTCTATATATCAATGTTCACCAAAAATAAAAAGAAATGGCCATCCCACCATTACTAAAATATATTTAGTTATACAGGGTGCACCATAAGTAATTGGACACTTTTAAATTCCTTATAACTTTTTTTGTTGTCAATATTTTTAATCGATTTTATGCTTATTTTTTAGCTCATTCAATTCTCTATTATGGCTAATCAACGTGATTCTATAATTTCACTTTTTTTGAAAAAAAATTCAGTCCGCAAAATTTCACCTCTTTTGAATGTCCCAAAGAGCACTGTACAATACACTTTCAAAAAATTCTGGTGAAAATTTTTTGGGAGAAAATTTTTTTGAAATTAATTTAGTAATGATGGCACAACTAAGAACTTACAAAAAAGTGGAAGACCGAGTACCGTCAGCACTTCCAAGAATATTAAAATGATCAAAAACTAGGTGCATCGCAATTCTCGACCCTCCATGAGAAAAGTGGCTCGTGAAACCGGAATAAGTGAGAGGACCGTCAGACGAATAGCTAAAAATAAACTAGGGTTAATACCCTACAAAATCCAAAAAGCACAACTGCTAACAGAAAAAACAAAAAAAGTTAGGCTTGCAGGATGCAAACTGCTCCTTCAGTGGCACGCATGTCCGGACATTCCCTTCTCAGACGAAAAAATTTTTACAATAAAAATCGTACACAACCATCAAAATTATAGAATCTGGACTACAGAATCTCCTCTTTCCGATGAGCTTATCACTCATTTCCAACATCCCCAATCTGTCATGGTTTAGGCCGGTATTTGCGCGTCAGTCAAAAAACCCCTTATTTTCGTGGATTTTGGTGTAAAAGTCAACAAAGACTATTACTTGCGAGAATTTTTTCAGCGTGTTCTGAAGCCTCGGTTCAAGAGCCATTTCGGTCGCAGAGTCTGGATTTTCCAACAGGACTCTGCTCCGGCACACAAAGCGAAAGAAGTTAAGGACTGGTGCTAGGCCAATTTTCCTGGGTTCATTAGCGCTCAGGAATAGCCGCCATACTCCCCGGATTTGAATTCGATGGATTATTCTTTTTGGTACATTTTGGAGTCCAGGGTCTGTGCTAAGCCTCAAAAAAGTTTGGAGTCTCTGAGCCATTCTCTCACCCGGGAGTGGGACTTAATTACACTCAAGGAGGTGCGTGCTATTTGCGAAAATTTTTCTTCGCGCCTTCGCCTCTGTATCAAAGCCAAGGGTGGGCATTTCGAAACTTCTTGATTATTATTGTTCCATATTTAATTCTCTATCATTTGATTGTATTTCGATTTTATTTGATTGTGTTTTAATAAAGTTATGAGAGAAAACATGTGTCCAATTACTTATGGTGCACCCTGTAAAGAGAAGAATTACAACAAAACATTTTATATTTTTAGCATTGTAAGGGATATTTTCATGTGAATTTGGTGATTAAAAATACAATTATGGGGGTCCGATTTTTTTAAATTGTTTTTTGGATTGTTTTTGGTGTTCTAAAAAACCATCCAAGTGCCATCCTCTCTTGTTTATTTTTTTAATTTTTATTGTTTAAAATAGGATGGAGAGTGGTGTGCTTTTCACACGGAGAACCATGTTCCCTTCACCCTACCTACCCATGTTCCCTTCACCCTACTCCTGTTCCCTTCCCTTCATCATTTGTTTTGAAGCTTAAATGGGTGATTAAGATCAACTAGTGTTCAACTCCCTTTTGTTTATCTTTGTCTAAAAAAGGAACGAAGGGTTTGTGTGCTTTTCACGGGAAGAACACAATGTTCCCTTCGCACTACTCACCCATGTTCCCTTCGCTTTACATCAATAACTTCTTTGTTTCAAGCTTAAAATGGAGATCAAGATATCAACTAGTGTTCATCTTTCTTTTGTTTAAAAAGGAACGAAGAGGTGCTTGTGCTTTTCACATGGAGAACCATGTTCCCTTCACACTACCTCTGTTCCCTTCACACTACCCTTGTTCCCTTCCCTTTACAATTATAACTCTTTTGTTATGAAGCTTAAATGACGATTAAGATCAACTAGTGTCCATCTTTCTTTTGATTATCTTTGTCTAAAAAAGGAGCAAAGGGTGGGTGTGCTTTTCACACGGAGAACCATGTTCCCTTCACCCTACCCACCAATGTTCCCTTCGCTTTACATCAATAACTTCTTTGTTTTCAAGCTCAAATGGATGATTAAGATCAACCAGTGTTCATCTCTCTTTTGTTTATTTTTGTCTAAAAAAGGAACAAGAGGTGTATGTGCTTTTCACATGGAATAACACAATGTTCCCTTCACCCTACCCTTGTTCCCTTCCCTTTACATCAATAATTTCTTTTGTTCTGAAGCTTAAAATGGAGATCAAGATCAACTAGTGTTCACCTCTTTTTCGGGTGTTCTTTAATTTTTATTGTCTAAAAAAGAGAACATGGTCGCTGTGTGCCTTTCACACTACCCAGTTAATGTTCCCTTCGCACTACCCACACACCAATGTTATTTTTTACTTCCTTTGTTTTTTTTAAAAGCTGATCAAGATTACTAAGCTATTAATAATCAGAGAACATTTTTTTCGGCGTTTTTGGAGGGGTACACGTGAACGCGCAAAGATTAGGGGGAGGTGTTTAAAATAAGGCGAATAAAGCGAAGGATGAAGAAGAAAAAATGTTTAATAAAAAAACGGGAGAGGGGAGGGGCTGGATTCCGACGGGAGAGGAGAAGAGGAGAGGAATGTGTGCAAGGGGGAGAATAAATACAAAAAGGTATTGGCTGTCAGAAAAATAAAAAAAATTATTTATTTAGGAGGGAGATTTATTTGTTGGACTGCGCATTCATTTAATTTAATATTTTTACTCTTATTTTTGTGATCAAAAAAAAATTTTTGGTGGGAGAGAGTAAAGTAAATTTAAAGCCTTTTTATTTAAAAATTTTTATTTTTGCTATCTCTTTCTTTGTGTTCCCATATTTCTTTTCAATATCATGTCCCATTCACACTACCCTACCAATGTTCCCTTCACATTACCCTAACAATGTCCCTTTCACATTACCTACTAATCCTCACTTCGCATTACCCTTCCAATGCCCCCTTCACATTACCTAACAACGTCCCTTTCACATTACCTTGCCACCCTTCACACTACTTACCAATGTCCCCTTCACAGTACCCAAGAATGTTTCCTTCACACTACCTACCAATGTCCCATTCATACTACGTACCTATGTTTCTTTCACATTACCCAGTAAAATATCCTATTCCTACAATCGAACAATGTCCTCTTCACACTACCTAACAATGTCCTCTTCACATTACCTACCTATGTTCCTGTGCCGAAACAGATTTTAAAAAATAAAAGACGAAAGTCGATTGTCAAAAGAAAGACAAAGACGAAAGGCAAACGGCACCTATTTCACACTACTCTAATTATCGCCCATTATTACTCAAATAAAGTTTTTTATATTTTTAGCTGTTAATTTCTACAGTCATTTTACACTTAAAAAATAAACTTTAAAAAATCCAAAAAAATGGAAGCATTACCCTCACATATAAACGGAATTGTAACAGAAAATGGAGTTATATCAAATAAATGTGACGACCAACACCCAACAAAAAATGGTTATCACCACCAAAATGGATATATTAATGGAGTAAACAAAAATTTAAAAAATGTTGTTGGAAATGGCTGTGAAATGCCAGCTTTGAATGGGTTAACTAATGGGCATGCTAAAGGTAATAATTATATTTGGTTTTTGTAAGAGGACCGTGGTCCTTTTGAACTAGTCCCAATGTTCCTTTCGCACTAACACGGGTTCCTTTAATATATCCTGTTCCCTTCCGTCTATGTTCCCTTCACACTACTCCAGGTTCCCTTCACCCCAGTTACAAATGTTCCCTTCACAGTACCGCTCAAAGTTCCCTTCGCACTATACAAAGGTCACTTCACACTAGAAAGATATTTGCGGACAGAAAAAAATATTTGCGGACAAGTACCTTTTTACTTGAAAAAATATTTTTTAGAAGCAATAATGCTATTATTTATTTTATTATAAGGTGACTCATAAATATTTTTGTTCCAATTCCAATAATTTTCAGTTTTGTCCGCAAAAATTTCTCCGCAAGTGTCCGCAAAATTTTTGCGGACAAAAATTTATATAAATTTTTAAGATGCAGTTAATGGAACTATCGCCCACATTCCTCGTCCATTACGGCCCAATCAACGTCTTCGAATAGCCCAAATAGCTCCTCTATTTGAAAGTGTACCTCCAAAATTGTATGGAGGTACTGAACGTGTAGTTCATTATTTAACAGAAGAATTGGTACGTAGAGGGCATCAAGTTACTCTTTTTTGTTCCTCTGACAGTAAAACTAGTGCAGAAATGGTTGCTAATGATTTTTGGTAAAAAAATTAGAAAATTAAAAAGCTAGGGGGTTATTAACTTACTTCCTCCTCCCCTTCCCTCCCCTTGACACCCTTTGGTTATATTTAATACCGAGAGGTATTTAAAACAAATTTTTTGAGGTCTTAGGAGATAGACGACACCTTAGGACATAAAAACTCGTACTTTTTAATGGAAGTTAATCTTAAATTTGGTAGAATTATATAGACAGTTCCCCTTACTTTTTTTCTCCCCCCCCTAAAGTTGTATCTAAAATATTTTATACTACCTAATTTAAGGCCAGCTTTACGTCTAAATCCTGTTTGTATACCTATAATTCCATTTTTGTGTATGTTGGAAGATGTAAGAAAAAGACAGAATGATTTTGATATTTTGGTGGGTTTTAAGAAATTTGTTTAGAAAAATCTCAGGAATGTCCGCAAAAAGTTTGCGGATCGCCGTGTCTCGAGGTCTTATTTTGGCCATAACTTTTTTCATACTTAACCGATTTAAATAAATATTATACCATTCGAAAGCTCTGAATGCGAGGATTATTTTAGCTAAAAGGATCGATTTGATTAGATCATCCTACTTAAACTTACAGTCAAATAAAGAGCAAAAATCACGATTGCACGCATTTATCCGGCCATAACTTTTTGTAGGATTATCCTATCAAATCAATCCTGTTAGCTAAAATAATCCACACATTCAGAGCTTTCGATTGGTATAATACTTATTTAAATCGGTTAAGAATCAAAAAAGTTATAGACCAAAATATGGCCTCGAGACTGAGACTTTGATTCTGATACCTCTATTAATCCCCCTTCAATTTAATTAAAAATTTTTCTTCAGCACTTCCACACATTCGAACATTTCGGCATGTTAAAAGACATTAGTGAACGTTCAGTAACTACACTACACGGAAAGCTTTGTATTCCGGACTTGGTCCCCCTCTTTTCATGCTTTCCCCACTCCAAACTAATTTCAATCTCCGACAATCAACGAACACATTTAAAACACAAAAATCCAAATTTTGTTGGAACTGTTTACCACGGAATACCAAAAGATATGTTCAATTTCACCAAGAAACCTAAAGGAGAAGAGCCTTATTTGGCCTTTCTGGGACGCATTGCAGAGGAGAAAAGACCTGATATTGCAATTAAAATAGCGGTGAAGGCTGGGATTCCGTTAAAAATAGCTGCAAAAATTGATAAAGTAGATGTTGAATTTTGGGAGACTGAAGTTAAGCCGTTAGTTGATCAAAATCCGGAATTGGTGGAGTATATTGGGGAGATTACTGATAGTCAAAAGGGAGAATTTTTGGGAAATGCGAGAGCGTTATTGTTCCCGATTGATTGGAATGAACCTTTTGGACTTGTTCTGGCCGAGTCTATGGCTTGTGGAACACCTGTGGGTTTTCTGAAAAATTTTTTTGAAATTTTTGAAAAATTTTTTAGATAGTTGCCCGTCCTTGTGGGTCTGTTCCAGAGGTTTTTATTAGAAAAAATCTAAAAAAAATTTTTAAAAATAAAATACTTAAAGGTTGTAGAGGAGGGAGTAACAGGAATAATTTTTGATACAATCGATGAAGGTGTAGAAGCCGTTAAACGAGTACACAAAATGGATAGGGCATTGGTACGTGAAACTTTTGAGAAGCGATTTACTTCAGAAATAATGGCAGGGAATTATTTGAAGGTAAAAAATAAAATAAAAATCAGAATTTAATTTTTATGGAAAATAACTCAGAAATTAATTAGTTTAGAACGTCCAATAAAAACAATAAATCAGAATTATTTTTTAAAAATCAGAATCCTTTTAAAACAATCAGAATTAAAAATTAAGAGTTATACTCGGAATTATTTTCAGAATTAAAATTAACTCAGAGTTATACCATAATACAGAAATCAGAATTATTTTATTTTTATAAATCAGAATTTAATTAAAAACACATAGTTATATTTAAAAATACAAAATCAGAATTTTTGTATTTTCTTTCCGGTTTTTATTATTTATATAACTTTCCGGAAAGAATAACAATAAATACAAAATCACAACATTAATTAATAACTCTAACAATTTTCAGATTTTTGAGAAGATGATGACTCAGACAGAATAAAAATTACCGTATTGCTTTCTTTTAGATTTTTATAAATGTTTTTTTAATACTCACTTACCCCTTACAAATTAATTGAGGGGCATAATAATTATTAATTTTGTAAAATTAAGAGAATTTTTTTTACTTTTTTTCTTTTTTTGGAAAAAAAAATATTTTCTTACTAACCATCAAAAAATAAGCAAAAACTTCAACTATATTATACTTTGTATTTTCCTGCTTTACATTTTAGTTTATTTAAAATGTATTTTTCTTTATTTTCTACAAAAATAATTAATTTTGATATTAATTTTGTTGATGTAATCTTTCGTTTTTTCTTTCACTTTAATTTACTCGACAAGCCACACCTCGATATTACGATTTGTTGTGCTCAAAAAAATATTTTTTAATTTTAATGACAGCCAATTTTATGGTATTATTGAATAAATATTTTATTTGTTTGATGGTTATTTTATAAATCAGAATTATTTAAATCAGAAAATAAAATTAATTTTCCGGAAACTAAACTAAATCAGAATTAACAATTTTCCGGAAACATGTAACTATTAAATTAGAATACTAATATTTTCCGGAAACTATTTTTTCCGGAAACTAAATATATATAACTTTCCGGAAACTATAAATAAAGTAGATTATAAATTAAATTAGCTTTCCGGAAAAAGTATAACTCAGAATTATTTTCCGGAAACTATGTATAAATCAGAATTAAATTAGAATTTTAGTACATTCCGGAAAGTATTAGTATAAAATTTAATATTTACATGTTTCCGGAAATTTTTTTTCCGGAAAAATAACTATAAATTAACTTTCCGGAAACAAGTATAACTCAGAATTATTTTCCGGAAACTATAAATCAGAATTTATAATTTCCGGAAATTACACATATACATAAACTTAACTTTCCGGAAACTTAAGTTTACAAATCAGAACTAATAAAAACACAGTATAATTCTTATTTTAATTTTATAAAATACAAAGTATACTAAAAAAGTTTATTTTTGATAAAAAAACACAAAATACATTTTTTAACATTATTAACAAAATTAAAATTGTAAATATTTTTAAGTACAAGTTTAAAGTTTTTAATTTAACAAACACATTACTAGACAATAATAAAATCAGAATTAATTAAAACTTAGAAGGGTTGAAGTTTAAAATACAGAAAAAATTAAGGGTATGACCGGAAGAAGAAAGGAAAAATAATATTTATAATATCCTTAATAAATCAACACTTTTAATTAAAAAAATATTTTTTAATTTAATTTTTGGGCTTTTTAAATTTTAAATTAAAAGTATTGATTTATAAGATTTTTTAATTAAATTAGTAAAGTTCGTTCATTTAATTTATTGCACTCCTATTTTGGGGGAAGATTCTTTCTCATTTTTCCATAAAACCAGAATAAATTTAAAATCAGAAAAAATTCTGATTCAGTTCTGTTTTAATTTAATTCTGGTTTAATAAATTAATCTGAGTTATAAAAAAGTTCTGATTTAATAATTCTGATTTTATAAATAAATCAGAATATTTAATTAAATCAGAATAAATAATAACCGATTGTTCTGATTTTAATAATTAAATCAGAACAAATTTATACTGCTCAAATGAGAGAGAATTTCCTCTGCAGGTAGTTGCGCACCTTTTTTACAGTTTAAAAATAATTAAAAATTAAGAAAAAATTTTTTAAATTTCATCATTCTCCTCAATCATTATTTACCTATTTTTAAGTACATTTATTTTAATTTTTTCTTCAGTTAATAAGTATTTGATAAAATCTTTAATATTAAAGTTGTCCAGCCCGTAAAAGGATGATTGCCTTCTCCTTGCCCATTTTTATCATTATATGTCTCCCACAAAAATCCAGTTTTTTCGTACTGCATCGCTACATTCTTCAACAAATTGTCACGCAATTCAAAATGTAAACGACCAGCTTCCTCTTTAAAAGGGCCGTCAATCAGCGAATAATGTTTTAGAGCTGCGATCGCAAAATAATTCCTTTAAAAAATAAAAGATTGATTAATTAATTAATTTAAATGTGTGGGGAAAGGATGGAAAAAAGTAAAATAATTTTTTAAATAAATAAAAAAAAGAAAAAATAAATTTTCTAGAAAATTCGAAAATTTAGTAAATTAATTATTATTATTAGTTTGGGTAAATAATAATCAGAATTAATAGGGGGAAAATACAAATATCAGAATTATTAATTCTGATTTAAAAACTTAAGTTTCCGGAAAGTTTATTTTATTTATAGTTTCCGGAACTGAAAATTATTTGTTCTGATTTGTATTTTCCGGAATATATGTATTCTATTAAATATTTTCCGGAAAAGTATATTCTAGTATATATTATAATATTGTTCCGGAATTCTGGTTTATTTTAAAAATACCAGAGTTAATTAAAAATACCGGGATTAATTAAATCAGAATTATTTTAATTAAAAATTCAGAGTTATACATTTTTTAATTAATCAGAATTAATAATTATTTAAATCAGAATAATCAAAACTCCTATAATTTATTTGGTGATAGCTATAAATTAAAAATCCCAAAAAATATATTTTAAAAATTAAAAAAAACTTACATATTAATCCAAACAGGCCCTCTCCAATAAGGCGACCCTGATTTAGAATTCCAAGTAAAATAATAAGGTGAAAGTGTGGATATTGAACGTAATCCAAAATCTGTCCAAAATTGCTCAGGGTCTCTCATTTGTTTAAATAAAGGGCCAATATGTGGTGAATTTGCAGGCAAAATACGCATAAATAGAGGGAATAAATTGCTATATCCATTTACATTTTCAACAAATTTGTATTGAGGTTCTTTAAGTACTTTACGTACCAAAATAGTGTCTCCTTCTGGTGTTGTTTCTGGTACTAATTTAACAGAGTCACTGAAATAAAATAAATAAAATATCAGAAATATAAATTCTGATCTGTTTTAACTATCAGAATAATTTAAAAATGAAAATTAGAGTTAAACCAGAATTATTAAATAATCAGAAATATTCGGTAAAGGCCGTATCAGAATCGAAATTTCAGTAAAGAGGTTATATTTCTGGTCATAACTTTTTTGATTCTTAACCAATTTAAATAATTATTATACCATTCAAAAGCTCTGGGTTTGGGGATTATTTTAACTAACAGGATTATTTTGATCTGATAATT